GCCAATGTATCGGCGATCTGCGCTGCCGAGTGGCCCTCGTTCTCGCAGATCTGTTTCACTCAGATCTGAATGATGAGCAGAGGGAGAAGGGAGATGAGAATGAGAATGGTGGCAGAAGGCGACAGAGGAGAAGTAGGTTCCTCTGCATCCACCCACCAATTAGGACGAAGGCAGATGATGTCGGTTCAGGCGACGGTAACCTCGCGACGAAGCAAGTCGATTGGAAGTTTCTACCCACCAATCTCGCCTAGACACTGCCATCGTCCACTGCATTCACCTTCGTCGCGACCGTCTCCGTTTCCGATGCCATCACTTCACTCGCCTTTCCTTTGGGTCTCTACAAATCACTGCAGCTGGTTCTTGTTCCAATTTAAGGTTGCAATCTGAAATTAGTGGGGTTAAAAGGTTTTGGTTATGTAGGAGACTTTATTTCCACCGATGAAGTGTTTGGACAGGAGAAGGAAGGCGAGAGGTTTTTGGTGGGAATAACACGGCCCAAGGCCGGATGGAGGGTGGATCGACGGAGGGATGTGGCCGGCGATCAGGAGTTTTGGTGGAGGGGTTCGACTGCGGGGAGAGAAGTTGAAAGTGGGTAAAAGTCTAAAATGGTATAGTGAAGAGGGCGACTTTTGATCTTCTTTTTTCTTTCAACTAATAAAATTACAAGGGTAGCTTTCCACTTAGCATGCCATGTTGATAAAAAAAATGCCATGTCATCAAGTACCGTTTGTCCAGTCAGCAATTATGAGAAAACCGTTAATTTTATGGACGGAATGGCTATATCTGTGTATTTTCCAAAATGTGGCTATTATTGTCACAATGCGAATAGTTATGGCTATGGAGTTGTATTTTGCCTTTTTTTTTTTTATTTCTCTGCCTTGATACAGGGTGGTTTGTTTGCGGGATTTGAAAAATGATAGTGTTTTGTTGATGGATTTGCAAAAAAAAAGTTGTTTGCTTGCTGCTGAGTTTGATGAAGGATTTTGGTTAATTAGATTTGTGTGTACTTAATACAATTATTTTACTATCATTATTTAATAATTGATTTATTGTTATCTGCTTTCCCCTAAATGCGGGCGGGCAGGGAGAACCGAAATTAGGTGGGGATATACGGGTAATATCCCATCACGGACTTGTGACCACTGACCATCTCTCATATCCCACCTATAAACGTAAGATTTGCAAGTCTGTGGATACAAAAAAAATTGAACACTCCAAATCCATGTGCCGCACAAATTCTGCACCACCAAATCCTTTAAGCAAATAATGAATTCTTACCAAGTTTATGATGAATGAAATTTATTGCTACCCAATTCCATCATCTCAATTGATGAAGCAAACGACCTCATAAAATTTCAATTGGGAATAACCCTCGTGGATTTGTAAAGTAAATCTACTTCTAAATACAGTTAAAATTTGAGCATTGTATGTATTATTTGTAACTCGTTAGTGGTATAGCTGAAACAACTCATCCTCGTGAACCTAACAATGTAAGGATAGGAATAGAATGAGTTCCTTCTTTCTCCTTCTTATCCTAAGGCAACCTTTTTGTTTTGCTTGGAGAGAGAGAGAGAGAGAGGTGTATGGAAATGTAGCTACGTCGTTGGCTGACAGGGGTGAACAGAGCATGGAAGCAGGAGGAACAGAAGGCTTAAAAGAGAAAGGTGATGAGGGTAAGGGGGAAATTTCGAAAAAAGGGGCAGAAGATTGGGTTTTGCCACTTTGCACCTTCTACTTTGTCCTTCTACGATTCTCGTTTTGTTTGCCTAAATAACCATATGGAGGGTTGGCAAGAACATTGATTCCAAGCCCAAGAGCCAGTCTTATTGTGCTTATATATACATGCGCAAAGAGACAAGTAGTCAAACGACTAGCTACCCAAGAAATGGTGGTCTTCTTCCTTTATCTTTTTTTTTGCTTAGGGTTGGTTGGCTAGCTTGTATTTATTACCCTTTGCCAATAATTTTGTGCAACGGACAATGACAATGTTGGTTGCCGCCATATTGAATACCAGAATGGATTCCTATGGAAATCAAAGCTAGGTGTGTTCGTTTGCTTTGTTAAAAGAATTCTTAAATATATATCCATGAATTCTTAAATACGGATGTCTTCTGACGACTATAAACGATGGGATTCGATCGAGATACTGATAACTTGTCGAAGACAGATCTTAATCGTTTTATATATAAATAATTAACTAATGACATAGTAACACTTTTACAAAAATAATCAACGCATTATGAGAATATATGTATTTATTAAATGACGTGATTCGTTTATCAAAAGGCAATGATACTTTCCGTACCCACGACAAATGTCATCTAACAAATATACTAAAAAAATGACCGTTTTTCTTAATTAACCTCATGAATACTCAAGTTTAGGCCTTATGGGACATATCCATTAGATGATGTTCGATTCTATTTCTATGGGTATATGCCTCCTTTATTTTTATCATGACTTGCTGGTCAAAAATTCAAGAGGCTCGACGACTCTGTTGACCACCCTCATCCCTCTCTCTCTTCTTTTGCCCTGCCATGCACAGACGTACAGTTTATTTAAGTTGATACATCTGCATAAATTGAATGGAGCTAAAAAGGAAAGTAATCGTATATATTTTTCCAAATAAATGGCTACTTTTAATTATATTTAATGGCGTCCTAATACTGTTTGCCATTGCAGGCAAGGAGACTATAGTCTACTTTTCCTTGCTTTCTTTTAGATCAGACAGGCATTGTGTCGGCAGCCATGGAAGCGGGTTTTTTTTGTGTGGAGATCACTGTTCTTCCTGGGATGTCAAAAAAACGCTATTGCTGATGCCATCCTATATAACTACGTACGCACGATACTATTGCTCGATCGATCTCTTGTAATGGAAAGTCTTGATCTCTTCTTAATACTCACATATTTGGAAATCAAACTTTCTTTTTTGTGGTCACCATTGTTGTACATTTCTTTGTTATGGTTGAGTAGTTCAAGTTATAAGTGTTACCCTTAAAGATCAACTACTTCAATTAGTAGGAAGCTTGATAACTAGAAAAAGGGTTCGCTAGCTCTTCAACATGGATTATCTCTACGACGTCGTTATCGAGTTAATCACTTCTAACGAGTTCGAGTTTACTTAATTGTTGTGGCAGCCAACATTTATCTCCATTTCAATAACATGAAATACTGTCACGAGTTTCATTCCTGATCGACGACCATTTTCGTACATATCAATAATCCAATTGTTACTACTTGCAAGATTGATGTGAATATATATGTATAAACTCTGCTAAGTACTTCGAAATACTGTCACGAGTTTCGTTCATGATGAATGTGGTTATACTGAGTACATGTGTTCTCCACCCTTTTAGTGAGTTACTAGCACTTCCACCTTGATAGTTTTTGGTTCCTTGGGTCTCTTTGAATCATCACATGCATATATGCTATAAAAGAATGATAAATGTAGGTAGCAAAACCCCATCTTTATTCAGTACGTACCATTGCTCAACTACCAGTTCCAGTTAATGACAGAATGAATGAAAATGTTTTGTACACTGCTGATGTATGGCCCGAGCAATTAATTAAGGTCCGTACGGTTTGTCGAAAACTCAAAGTCCAAAGGGACAAAACAAATTATGTGATAAGGAACTTCACTATAGTCATGAAAGGAATTGGTAGTGTTTCTTTGGTATGGTGGAACCGATTGGGGAATGCTACAGTACTCTTTTTAGTATTTGGTCTGAAGTTCAAATGTATATATTATATGTGGCGAAAACATAGAAAATAGCAGGATAAACACTAAATATTGTCTCTAAAACATTATATTAGTGTTAATGATTAGAATATTTATAATTAAATCTCTCAAGTAACTCGAGTTATTGTAACGATTTTGGGCAAAGCATTGCCAAGTGGCTAGGCCAATGGGAATGAAATGAAGGAGGGAAGAGGGGACGGTCAAAAAGTCAAAGGATCCTAAGCACTGTTCATGGCGTCATCCCACACTTATAGACTGTGGCAATGGTGGTGGGTACTCTCCCCAAAATTCGTCGTGTAGCTTCCTGCCACATGGCACTCATCCATTGGTTCTTGACCTTCATCTCAAAACCATATTATTCTCGATTCTGCCCCCTAGTCGTCCTGTCTTGTAGCATGATGTATATTTGTTTGTAAGCCTTTGGAAATCCATGGCTTTGCTATTCTAAGTTCCCTTTTCCCCTTTCCTTTTGGCCAACGGCTCTTGCCATTCTAAGAAGAAACATACACAACCGAAGAGCAAGCAAACCATGAGCTTCTTCAACCATGCTTCTTCCATGTGTAAACCATGTCACAAGTGGATATAATCATGTCTGACTTTTTTTAATACGTTGACAACGATGATTGTTCTCGTCAGAGAATTGCGTGCTCATGGCAATTGTACGGAGACTGGAGGTCGGACTTTTTGGTGACTGGCATTGGTCATTGGATAGGGCTAGGAAAATCAAATTGACTTTTTTCGTATTCGGGTGTTGGTTATTTTTTGATTCGGTATAAGTCATCATTTTCCTTGCATTTCCTCATTTTTCGGTGGGTATGCAATCATTGTACGTGCATCTCCTCCTTTTTTAATGTACATCAATTCATCAGACTGCTATTATACTCGATGCAAAATAAAAATGTCGGACTTTCGTCTCTCTAAAAATACATATTGTCATGTGATTCATTACATAGTTTGCATCACAATTTCTTCTTCTTCTTCTAATGATCATATATACTTGAGCATTGGTATCTGATTCGAACCGCCATACGAGCCTCGATCTTTTACGTACCCCCGCACACACTGACTAATCAATCGTCACAATCTTGCCTTGTTGTAGTACGTAACGTTTAGTATAGTGCTATACGAGTGAAGTAAGTGTGGTGTAATATATATACAGGAAGAGAGAAGATTAATGCCTGGGGGCCATAATCCATATCATATCATCATCAATCTGCTACTACCTAGCTAGCTGCTGTACAACATAACATAAGGCTAAGGGATTCATTCCTAGAGAGAGAGAGAGAGAGTGTGAGAGAGAGGAAAGACAAAGGCAAAGGAAAGGGAGCAGCCCCCACTTAGCTTTTTCTTCCTCCGTTCCATTAATTCTCTCCTTCCACCGCGACACGATCCGCCTCTGCCGCTCTTTCTTTTTCTCCCATCTCTCTCCCTCGCTGTCTCTCTTAAATTCCGCTTTCCTTTCTCCATCTCCACCGATCTTTCAGTATAGTATATGGAAATGGAAGACCGCCACCCATCTCTCCACCTCCAGTTCCCCGCCGCCGGCACCCTCGATCTCCGCCACTTCATCTCCTCCTCCTCCTCCTCCGCCGCCACAGCCGCAGGCAGCGGCGGCGGCGGAGTCCTCAGGCCCACCCCGAACCAGAACTCCTCCCACCACTACTTCCCAGTACTTCAGCCGGACGCCTCTCCTTTCTTCTCCCCTCTCCACCACCGCGATCACCACGTCTTCCCCCCGCCGCCGCCGCCGCCCGCCTACGACATGATGATGCAGCTCCTCCCCCGCTCTCAGCCGGAGTTTCGAGGGGCAGATTCCGGTACCCCTACTCTCAGCAACTGTGGCGCTCAGCCTAGCTCGAGCAGCCTGAGCGGCGGCGGTGGGTTGGAGGGTGACGTCATGGGCGGGATGTTCGGCGGCGGCGGCGGGGGAGCAGACGGCGGGACGGGGAGGTGGCCTCGGCAGGAGACGCTGACTCTGCTGGAGATCAGATCGAGGCTGGATCCCAAGTTCAAGGAAGCTAATCAAAAGGGTCCGCTCTGGGACGAGGTCTCCAGGTACATACAAATATCTATCTCTTCTACTAATTACCAACTAATTACTCTAATTATGGCCGCCGTAGATTCCCCTCCGCCCACTACTAATTACCGACTAATTATCAACTACTACCCATTCCCTTTAAAATTATTATTCGGCCGCAAATTTCGAATTCAGGGTTGAATTAGTAATCACCAATCATACGATTCGTTACTACATGATTTCTTACTTTAATTTCTTGCTCCTGTGGGTATAATCTCATAATTTCTCTTCGACCCATTTCGATTTGAAGGATTATGGATGGATTACTCTATCTATATCTACCTTGTGATTATCTTTTTTTGAAGCAAAGAACTCTATGGGTAGTGTTCATCTTCTCTTTGCTGCCCTTTTTTTCATTTGGTTTAATAACAGAAAACGACTGCACTATGCAACAAAAACAGCTGCTTCCATAATACCCGATCTCTCCCTTCTTTCAAACTCCCACTTCCACTCCCACTCCTCCCTTTCTACAATACACACAATCTTGTTGTTAATAATTTGCATGGCCTGCCTGCTCCCTAGAGCTAGCTAGCTACATAGCTACCTAGGTAGGCCAAGAAAACAATTAAAAACTAGTACTATTATTCATGTGTACATGTGCAACCCTTTTCTTTTCTTCTTCTTGTCACAGAGAGAGTTGGAGTTGGAGTTGGAGTTGTCTGAAGTCTGAACCTCCCCTTTTTCCTTAACTTCTTTGCCATAAAAATGGCAGACCTTTCAGATACTCCACAATAACTACTCTCTCCTACCTAGCAAGCTACTTCTGGGTTTTTCCCATTATTGATCAGAAGCTAACATCATAGCCTTTCACCCCCATGTTTTTTTTTCTTTTCTTTTCTTTTCTTACGGTACATGTTTGATTAATGGTGAAACTCATGAAACCCACTTTCAATCCCTAGCTAGCTAGGGCTCCATCTTCTTAGGTCTAACCTTGTTTATGGGTTGATGTGCGATTTTAGTAAAATTATCGGGTTTTTGGTGCAGAATAATGTCGGAGGAGCATGGGTACCAGAGGAGCGGGAAGAAGTGCAGGGAGAAGTTCGAGAACTTGTACAAGTACTACAAGAAGACCAAAGAAGGCAAAGCCGGGAGGCAAGATGGGAAGCACTACAGATTCTTCAGGCAGCTCGAAGCTCTCTACGGCCCCACCGACTCATCACCAACAAGCAACAACAACAACAACATGTTCATCAGCCCAACACTACCTCATCATCATTCCTCTCTACAGATTCAAGATTCTCCTTACAACATGGGCACAACCAACAACAACAATACTAGTTCAACCTTCCACCATCCGTTTCTCGGCAACACAATGTCGTCGGGTGTGGCTCCAACGAACCAAGACGTGCTCTACTCGAGCCTGAGTATCTCCAATGACTCCTCCGAGTTCGAGTCCTCGGAGGACTCGGAGGGCCAGGATCCTGCTACTGCTGCCACAGCTCGTGGAGCTGTGGCAGCAGCAGGGACCGGAGGAGGAGGAGTGGACGATCATAACGATTCGTCGGAGAGGATGGTGAGGAGGAGCAGGAGGAGGAGGAAGAGCGGGTGGAAGAGCATGATCAAGGATTTCATCGACTCGCAGATGAGGAAGCTGATCGAGAAGCAGGAGGCGTGGCTCGAGAAGCTGACGAGGACACTGGAGCACAAGGAGAAGGAGAGGGTGGTGAGGGAGGAGGAGTGGAGGAAGCAAGAGGCGGCTAGGGTGGAGAGGGAGCAGAAGTTTTGGGCCAAGGAGAGGGCTTGGATTGAAGCTAGGGATAGTGCATTGATGGAGGCTCTAGGGAAGTTGAGTGGTGGTAGTAATGGTGGAGGTGGAGATGTTCAACACCGTCGTGATCAAGGAGTGAATGTGAATAAAACTTCTTCTTCATCTCCCCACGAGAATGATAACGACAAGGAGATGAAGAAGATGAGTGATGGTGATTGTGGGAGGAGCTCTTCTTGTAACTATGGCTTCCATGGAGAAGCAATGTACAATCCTGAAGCGTTGCGGATTCATCAAAATCATGAGCACGTTAGCAATGCCAATAACAATAGGTTGGGTGAGAGCAGCTTTAGGTTCTTGATGGGGGAAGGAGGGGAGACGGCCATGTGGGAGAACTATGGGTTGAAGCTTAGCAAAGGAGATGACGATCATGATCACGATCAAAATCCATGACGATCTGAGTTTGCTAAATGGAAGGTACTATACGTGTTTTTATGCGCATTTAGTACGAAAGAGACATAAGTTAGTTACTATATGGAGCTGACATGTTTGCTTTGTCATTGAAATGACAATGCATTGTTGATTATGTAAAAGGTGAAGAGAAGATAACATTGGAGGGGGGAAATCAAGGTTATGGGTTGACTTAAAGTTTGGCAAATGCTGTTCCTCTATGATATCTAGGGAGTTGGGAAGACCAATTTTCTGTTCTTATATATATTATTACAAGCTGATCAAGATCAAAGCTAATTATATGTGATTAGTCAATGATATTAAGGAAGTATCTGACTTATTAATTTGCTTAATCACTATCTTTCTTCTTGTAATATCCTGGGGATTGGTCTCTCATTGTTGTAATGGAATCTTTAAAAGCTATATGGATTTTGTTCATATGGGAATTTCTTTGTTCATCTGAAATTTAGTTATGAATGATGAAGGACAGTTGCTAGAAGGGGAGGAAATAGTGCTCTCTATTATGTAATGTTGGTGGTCACTTAATTTGTTCATCCTTTATCATGTCCTATATTTGAACTCCAAAACTTATTGGGATAATTTTTCTCTCACTTCGGATTTAGAGTATAATCTTCTGGTATCAGGTAACTGAACATGAGAAATATGTTAGCTAAATGTGTTAGAGCTGCAACAAAATTTCATTGATGAATGAAAACACGAAATTCTCTGCGTATGCAAAAACATATAGGGTTGTTATACATACTTCACATCAAATAATTTTCTTGTATGCTCTTCGATAAGATTAACATCTTAGTTGTATATATTCATATAATTAGTCGGTTCCTTTTCTCTACCGAATCAATGACAATACAAAGATTATCGAGATCGAGAGACTACTCGAAGGTTAGCCCTAATGGATCTATGGAAAAGTGAGAAATTTCATCATCTTCAGCAGAAAGGCAGCCTTGCGAACTGTGAATTTCATAATTTGTTGTTGTTGTTTGTTTCTCATCTGTTCATGTTCGATGTTGGCGCTGTCTTCGAGCTCTGGCTATATACTGAATTTATAAAAACAACGAAAAGAAAATAATGAAGAAAAACAAAGTCTGGTGTCCGTTTTTGGTTGATGGGAAATGCTGGCTTTCCTGAAGTTGAGTGCCTGAGATACGCAACCTAGCCAGCTTAAAGTCCTGCACAATGTACCAGGTCTGTCCAGAACTCTCCCCCACCATATTCAGTAATAATTGTGTTTTTTTTTGTTAGGAAGAGAAATCCATCAAATACGACGACTCTAATGAATACTCGATAAGTTCATGGGAACGACTTATTCAGATACAATAGATTTGTACGTGGCGAGTACGAAAATTAAAAACAAGAGTGCATGAATAATTATTCACGTCCACATCAAACAATTATTGATATATTCATCAATCGATTCATTCAAAATCATTCGAGATATATATTTTTCTAAAAATAAATATTTTATCATTATTTTATACGTGGTTCAATAAATTATCGGTCTAAAAAGTAGACAGAACCGTAATATCTCGTAATTTAGAGAGAAAAAAAATCAAATAACACATTGTAATCTTTTTTAGCTAAATGAAGTCACCTGATGGTGATTAATTGGACCTTGCCATCACATATAGCCATGAAGGAGTGAAGAAGCTTCGTCCCCAGCCCCAGGGGAAGAGCCGAGCCAAAAGGACCCAAACAAAACAGGAAATGGCGAAGAACTAATCAATGGCCCCATCACATTTTGCAGCTAGGTAGAGGAAATAACATTGCAATTAGGTATTGTGAAGAATAACCGATAAAAGACTCCAACACTGTGTCAAAGAACCAATACTGAAGAATCTTAGTAAGTAATTGTGGTTACTTTCATGTGAGAGTTTCAAATTTCATAGCTTCGTTGTTGCACTAAGATTCTGGCGGAGGGTAGCTAGGCAAACCCTCCGCCAGAATTAAAGGGCCTGGTGCTGAAGCTCTGAATCACAATGCAGATAGCCAGCCGTACAGACAGCAACTCTGAGTGAATGAAAAGCAAGAAACCTCCCCCCCTTTTGAAAAACTTTGACAATTCAATTACGCAACATCTGCTGCAGATTTGTGTCCCCCATAAAAAAAACAAAAGGAAAAGGAAAAGGAATTATATTGCTCGCAACTATCAGTTTCTTTCTGGTGGTCAGGAAAGACCGAAAGAGTAGAGGTAGAGTTAGAGTAGCTCCTCTGGTGGGTTGGTTATGTTGTGTTCTGTGAGAGGAAGAGACCGCTGCTGCTGCTGCTGCTGCTGTCTACTACTACTGGGGCGCTTCTGATTTGACTCGTAACTGACTAGTCTTTGTATGCCTGACCTGACATTACATACAGATGATTACTTCATGCTCATGCATGCAACTGTACATATCATATAACCCAACCCTTGTGTTCTGTTGTGTGCTTACCTGCAGTCATACGTTGCCCATGAAATGAATGGGGAACCACTGTCCTGTTCTTTTCAGCCCTTTCACTCTTTCCTTTTTCTCTCTTTACCTTCTGGACATTTCATCCCCAAGGTTCAGAAAGAGCTGCCTACTTTCTGGTTTGATACCAAGTAACAAGGCATCAAACCAACTGGCCTATTAGCTCAGCTGGTTAGAGCGTCGTGCTAATAACGCGAAGGTCACAGGTTCGAGACCTGTATGGGCCATTAGTTTTTCCAGATTTTTTTCAGCAGGCCAACTGGCGCCATATGATTCCGTGGGCTTTTGATAGTTTTCTGTGAGAAACTCGTTTAACGTTTGGGCTGTGCACTATTTGGAGCAAATTACTAATTGATACCGAACTCTCATTTAACTCTTCCTTGGTTAATTTTGCATTCGTTGATGCAACATCTTCGTTTAAGTAACCTCCTTCCACACGTTGATGCAAATACTCACGACGATACAGTACACTGACAATCCCCGTAACCTCTAGAACCGGACGCAGCGTCTGCAACTGCAAGCATAGGGGCTAAGCCTTTCCACAAAGGCGAAAGTCATCTACAATTACGCAGATGGCTGCATTACCAAGTAACCAGAGCGACCAAGCTTAACAAAAGCTTATACCTCCAATCCAAGGACACACTACTAGTAGTAGTAATCCATCACAACAAACTACAACTGATTTCCAAGTGAAACCAAGCTTAGCCTTGGTAGGAAGTGTATTATTATACAAACAACGCAATTAGTTAAAGAAAATGCTGACTTAATTGAACTCAAACGTCAGCAGAACAATAGTAAATACAACCAGAAATGTAGACACCAAGTTTTGAAGCAAAAACATATCAAACACAGATATATGCCTTCCCTTAAGCCGAAGAAGAAATTGACCCAAAAGTGATCAAAACACTCAACAAAAAAGCTTCCCCACTTATTCTCTGTTCCTTCCATTTTTCAAACCTAAATGTTAAATGCCGGTAGGAAAAAAGAGGGAACAAAACGAAGCCTAGAAAACAACTAAACGCCGCCAAAGGATCTGACCTTTCCACTGCTCAGTACTTGTAGTCCTTGACGTGCAGGCTCTCCGAAGCGCCCTCAGCAGGGGTAGCATCGCCCTTGTACTTCCCGAGCACTGCCTCGGAATTGGCCTTGCACCTGGTGAGCAAAGCATCCTGCGCCTTCTTCCAGTTCTCCTCCTTGCCAGCCCAGGCCTTGAGGGTGCTCTGCTGGAGGGCACGTCCGAAAGAGAAGGACAGTGTCCATGGCTTCTTGGTCTGGAGCTTGTTCATGGCGTTGAGGTTCACGGTAGCCTCCTCCTCGCTCTGTCCACCGGAGAGGAACACCACGGCGGGGACTGCAGGAGGCATGGTCCTCTGGAGGGCACGGACAGTGTACTCGGCAATGACATCAGGAGACACCTTCTTGGCGTCTGATCCGGGAGTCACCATGTTGGGCTTCAGGAGGGTGCCCTCGAGGAAGACCTTGTGATCGTTGAGGGCCTTGTAGCAGGCAGCGACGACGCGCTCGGTCACGTCTGCGCACTTATTGATGTCGTGGGAGCCGTCGACGAGGATCTCGGGCTCGACAATGGGCACCAGGCCGTTCTCCTGGCAGATGATGGCGTAGCGGGCCAGGCCGTTTGCATTCTCGTTGATGGCCAGCTGGGACGGCTCGTTCGTGCCGATCTTGAGGACAGCACGCCACTTGGCGAACCGGGCACCAGCTTGGTAGTACTTGGCACATCTTGCAGCAAGACCGTCGAGTCCCTGGGTGGTGGTCTCACCGTTGGTTCCAGCAAGCTCAACAGTGCCGGTGTCAACCTTGATACCAGGGAGGACTCCACCTTCCTTCATGACATCAACAAAGAGCTTCCCTGGAAACAGTAGGACACAACAGTAAACATACAAATACAATTCAGCATATAGAAAAGCAAAGAAACACTCCATAAATTCTAATAGCAATCAGAGAACCAAATGTCAGGATATGCAGCTTATAGACCTGACTTGGTCTTCTGGTACAGGGTCTCCTCGAAGAGGATCACTCCACTGAGGTACTGGAGGACACCAGGAGCAGTGAAGAGGAGCTCACGGAGAGCACGCCTGTTCTCCTCACTGTTCTCAACGTTGATGCTGGAGAGACGCTTGCCGATGGTGCCAGTGGACTCGTCAGCAGCGAGAATTCCCTTTCCGGGAGTGCCAATGTAGGCAGCATTGCGAGCTAGCTCATCTGTGCAATACAAACCCAAAGAAACCAATCAGGCATAAGAAATTTCACCTCTGAATCAATCAAGTATAAACAGAAATCAATCATACTCCTATGCAAGAACAAACAATCACGAATTAGCAACTGAATTGGCAGAGATTCAACCAACAGCAGGAAGAATCTGAAAATGGCTAACAATCTCAGATGCGTAACTAACTAAACCCCCCTGAATTTTTAACAAATGAAAAGCGGAAATCAGCACGTCGAAGGAGGAAGACTCCGGAAATCAAACACAAACTCTGAAGCTACTCAGATCCACCAGCTAAAATGAACAGGAAGCGGAATCCGTCACAGAGACTTTCAAGTGATTCGGACGAACAGAACAATTACATCGATCAGAACTGTCCAGAAGACGCGGTAAAATCGTAATACAACAGAAATAAACGGATCTGAGACCTACATTTATGCAAATCAACTAGCTCCGGCTATCCAGAGACCGCTCCGGCGAAGCGCAATCAAACGAGACAAACCACAGATAAATGGATCGCGGAACAGCAGCAAAAACTCACACTCCTAAGCAGTTTACATACGAATCGAGATCGCACAAGCACAGTTCCAGATAACAACCGACTAGAATTCGTAAACGGAATTCAATCGAGCCATATCAAGCAACGCGAAACATAGGCAGGCAGATCTAAATGAAATTCTCAGCGGAAAAGTCGGACGAACAAGGCATAAGAGAACGCAAGAACAAACGAAAGAGATCAAAAGAGAGAGGAGGGCGAGACTTACCGGCGTATTTGCCCTTGTAGCAAGACATGATGAAGCGATGGAGAGGAGAGGAATGAGCAAGATGGGGGAACTGTGGGAAAGACGAGTTGAGGGAGAAGGATGATGGGGTTGGGTGTTTATATATCGGGAAGCGGGGGGAGAAGAAAGGCAAGTGAGGGAGGGAAAGGGCATCGAAATTGTCGCTGTTTCCCGTTTTTTTGTTTGGCTTTTTTCTCACGAGAAAAAAATTAACCATTCCTTCCTCTGGTCTCTGACTTGGAGAATACGTCGCTCCTCCACTTGTGTTTAATTCATCCCTTTTTCTTTTTTACTGGTTTCCCTCATCTGTTAATTTTAGCCCATCCCATGTATGGTGCTATATATCGCTCTAATACCATCCGTTAATTTCCTCTCGACACTATGAAAACCACTGAATTATCGTATACATAAAATAAAATAATGTTACATTCCATCATTCAGTTTGGTCCTCTATTTTTGTTTTTTTCTCAGTCATTTTAGAGGTAATGAATATAGAGTTATTCATTCACCCATCGATTTGAGCGGAGGGCGTAGTATTAGACAGCAAAACTAGCAAAGGCCAAAACGACGTGCTTTTTTCCTTAGTTTCCATCTGTTAGTTTTATATTAGCCCAATCTGCGTAGTAATAGTTTCCATCTGAATATATACTGATTGGGCATAATGTGTATAGTCACACCATGGTTGGCTCAACACTTGTTGTATAATTTAAAAAAAAAAAAAAACATTTTGCATCATCAGCATCGGGCTTGGGCCGTGCGTATGATACTATATACGAAACGACAGCTAGAGAAAATCCGGTCCACTTTCCTCGATAGCGGCCCAATTTGTTACGCCGACAAAAGATTATGTCGGTACTGACCACTGGGCCCTTGACACTTGGAAGTTTATATGGGCTTTGCAGGCTCTGGAGACGGGGTCCAGCTGGGAAAACCCACCCACCCAACCACGTGGTTGGAGAACCGGTTTGATAAGACAGTAGCAAAGCATCTAATTCTAAACCATCAATATCAACATAGCCAACCAAGACATGGCACACTATATCAGTCATGTCCTACGCGACTAAATCCATTGTAGTTAAACATTGTTTTCCCATAACTGTTGATAGGTAGAGAGGTAGAGCTAGTTGTGCTAATGAAGAGTCCAAATCAAAATTTGTCAACTTGATAGATATGAAAATGACTCAATGTTGATAATTTGACATATATATAGTTTCCAAGTTTTGAAAATATTCAGATATTTGTAAGGATTATCTAATTTTAGATTTGAAAGAAAGTGATTTTTTTTGTGTATATTCATTTTTCTTAATGGAAATTTAGAATATAAAATAGACGAAAGGGTTATGTACTAAAAAAAACCCTTCTACTTTGCCTCTTCTAACAAAGACATCCTTTTACTATCGTTGTTAACTAACACACCCTCCTACGATCAAAATCTTAACAAACAAGCTTCACATTACAATTTTCAATACAAAAACTCTTTAGTTATTGGGTCAAAGAGGCGACTCGGCGATTAATAAGGGAATTGTCAAGATGGATCCTTCTACATAAGCCTCGAGAGAGGTCGGAATGTAGCCCCCGACAGGTTCTTGGATGGAAAACATGGTAAGGAGCTTGTGATGAGGAGCATGTGTGTGAAGATTTTGATTATAGAAGGGTGTGTTAGTTAATAATGAAAGTGAGAGTGTGTTTGTCTAAATAGGCAAAGGAGAGGATGTTTTTAGTATATAATCCTAACTGAAAAAGTATATACTTCATATATAATTACTTATTAAAAGTTCAAAATTTTACTCGAAAATGTCCGGGGTCAATTGCATATGGACTACAGAGGAAACATCAAACTTGGGAAAGTGTCTACAAATTAAAAGGTATTTTCTTTTGTAACGTAACAATATGAATATTTATGATAATAAACATCATAAATCTCAATTTGTAACGTAACGTGTGATTTTTTATCAATTTTTTAATTAACAGATTATACCTATTTGCATCAATCGTTCAACGATTCTCGACCGTTTGCTAACATACATAACCGAATAAGCATATCTTTTACTCATTCCTAAATATATTTAAAACTGTTGATTTGTGCTCATGAAATTTCCCAATTTCACTCTTAATGTTCTATAATAATAATTTTATAGAATCAAGATAGATTAATAGCTTCTGTTCCTTTCCCCATCCAGCGGCTGTCCCCTCGTCGCACTTCATCCCATGTGTTGACAGGAACAAATGAAAGAACTTAAAACTAATACCCAAGAACCAATTAAGATATATATTTATTTGCAAATGACATTTGTAGTCCATGTATTTTTATTGTTTGACAAGCAAGTCCTTTGACTATTAATGTTGCAACAAATATGTTTGAGTAGGTAGTAAGTTGTTCATCTACTATTAGTCACTTAGGCCAATCTTTTGTGTAAGACAAGTCCCTTATAGTCGAGATCGACATGCTTAATTGCTTAGTAAACAAGTTCACGATGACGTATCACATGTGTGATAATTATCCTATGTGCTAAAAAGTAAAAACATTTGTTCTGCATCTAAATAAGATTCCGCAAATATTTTTTTTAACTTGTGACATGGGCTTTTTATGGGTTGGGTTTAGTGGCAATAACCACAATTCTAGCATGCATAACATGTGAAAAGTTGTTAACGATGTGAAGGGTTGGTTAGAGAATAAGTAGTGAGACTTGAAATAAATAAAACATGTAGTTCATAACGTATTTGTTAATGTTCATATTAGAAAGACATGTTTGTTAGAGTAAAATAGTACACATACTATATATATATCATATTCCATTAAAATAATCTCATTGGAGAAGTTTCTCATTTACAAAGCTTCAATCCCCACACCACTCCTTTCAATAAGTACACTTCTCTTTCAACCATCAATGTGCACATTCTAGCTAGCTTCCCTTCTTGATTCCCTCAATTACCCTTAACCAAGAAGAACAAATTCGAAGTGGAGAACCCATATGGCCATATCCAAAGTTAAAGACACACAACAAGAAACCACCACACCACCAAAAGAAAGCAACCAAACCAAATGTGTATTACCATTAACCCACTTAATCTATGTCTATTGCCTTCTAGATTTACAAAAATGGAACTACATTTGATCAATCAACGCCACGTATTTGAGACTGGGACATAGCCATTGTAAGGAAGTGGTTAAGCACCATACACGGGCCTGTATAAAGTCCAACATAATCTTCTCCCAACAACTCGAGTTATTGGGACCGACTGGTTCTTGACATGGTATCAGAGCTGGTTGTCCGTGAGGTCACGTGTTCAAGTCCTCACGGCCCCCAATATTAACCGTTGTCTTTCAAGCACATGGTATGGCGGGCCTGTACAAACTTCAAGCCCATGAGTCGGCTTTCGTTTGAGGGGGCGTGTAAGGAAGTGGTTAAGCACCATACACGGGCCTGTATAAAATCCAACATAACCTTCTCCCAACAACTCGAGTTATTGGGACCGACTGGTTCTTGACAGCCATATACCGAAAAAGTAAAGGTATACGACATCTCGCAAAGTTAAAGATTTAGTTTCTGAAATCCACAAACACCACTACACTTGATAGTTGATAATCAATAACTTGTACCTGAGACTTGCAAATGTGGCTAGCCTAAATCGCCAAATAAGTTTCCATATTCTTCTATCAATAACTCGGTCAATATAACTATAATTCTATAAACTTGGTAAACTTATCACCTATTAACTTGATGGAAACGGAAGTATCTATCATATTCAATAAACTTCAATTAAGAGCTCGAATTTCTCAAATCATAAATTAAAAAAAATTATATTCACACTTAGAAAATCTTATCACACTCGACTCAAACTCAATCAAGAAACGAACGAGCTTCACAAGATCAACCAGGCTTCTTACATGCACAAATCAATAGAGAGAATTCAGCTCTCTCTGGATCCTTCTTCTGCTCAAGAATCTTCTCCTCCAGCCACAGCCTGCTGTCCAATCCGCTTCTTGTCCTGAACAAAAACACCGCCGCCGCCGCCGTACATCCTCCTCTGTCGCGGCCGTCTGCTTCTCCTTCCCCTGTTTCCTTAAAAGACCAGTCGTGCAAATCCCACATCACGTCCACCACAATCCCGTCCAAGAAAATCGTCTGATTCCCGCGGAAATTCCACCTCAACCTCCTCACCTCGAAAACCCGCCGCCCGTCGATCAAAACCGACATCCCCGCCGCCGCCGACGACTGATCACCCCCAGTCCCGAAATTGATCATCACATCGTGCATTTCCCCCACCCTGCTGAACTGCGCCCGAGTCGAATACGAACCGCGACCCGACCCGCCGGAGACGAATTTCTCGATCCGGGAAACAGGGGAGAGCTCCGCCGCCAGGCGAATCTTCTCCCCGTCTACCCCTCCTCGCCTGAACCCATCCTCGCCTTCCTCGTCCTCGATCTCCTCGACGTCTCCGAGGAACAACCCGGGTTCCGAGTCAATCAATACCACGACGTAGAACCCACTGACCGGTTCGGGCCCTGCATCGTAGAAAGCAGGGGAGAGGTTCCAGAGCAGCTCGATTCTGCAACCGCAGGCTTCGAATTCTTTGCTCCCTTTCGGTTTCCGAAACTGGCGAGCCGGCGAATTAGAAGCAGAAGGGATTTTGTCCGTTACCGAGATTGAAAACCCCCCGTCTCCTCCGCCGCAGCCGGACCAATTGACGGTGACGAAAATCGGATTGGAATTCAGCGAGGAGTTGTTTCTGATTATTTTGTAAGTGGAAGTGACGGAGCTCGGCGCCGGGCGGGTGGGGTGCTGGGAAATGCTGGTCCGGCTCGACGCCGGGCCGGAGCAGTAGGAGTCGGAGACTTTGATGGCGTTTTCGCTGTAGCAGGTCGCGATGCTCCTCATGATTTGGGGTGCAGGGGAAAGAACAGAGTGTCGCGAATTTGAGGGAAAGGATGGAACTTGGAAAGGGTTTGATTTGAAGGTGACAAAAGGGGAAGGAGAAGGAAGAGAATGTTAATTAAAAGGGTTTACTAGCGATGTGTGAATCTGGATTTCCCACCATGTGGAAATGTCGTTTCCATTGCCTGGTGTGGGGAGAACGAAAATGGAAGGAACATTATAGCTTCTCTAGGATGGATGTGTTTTATAGAGATTCTTAGGTCAGGCAAAGGATGAGTTTGTAATAGGGTGTTCGGTTAATGTTTGAACCGAGAGGGTCAGACGAACGACGGTCTGGTCAGGTTTGATTCGACATTGGATTCAATTGCTATAAAATTTTAAGAAATGATGACGAATTGGAAGGAGGAAATTATGATTTATTCTCGTCTAATTCTATATAAATTTGAGTAAATTGGTGTACTTAGTATATAAAACCCCAAGAAAGAAGCACGAAATTATGATTACATGGTCGATATAAAAATCGAAGTCATTTGCTTTAACTATGATTCACATATTTCTGTATTTTTGTTAGGGGATTAAATAGTATTAACACAAGATAGCAAAGAATATTATATCAGAATCAAAATAAAACCATAATATTAATATGACCAGATCGATTCAAATATCAATTCAATCTATTGTGTCAAGTTATTTGCTCCTGATTGGGTACTATTTTGATATCGCATTATCACCATTACCAAAACCCTAGAATTGGGACTTATTAATTTCACTATGGTATTAGCCAGAAGAGGGAAATTTCGAAGATGGGTTCCCTTTAATTAATGACCATCAATGAGTTAAACAGTTTGACTTCGTGAGGGGAATTAATGGATTATGAAACTGTCATTACGGGTTTATTAAGCTCTTTAATTAATCTGCCATCAAGCGTAAAGTGAGATTTGATTCTTTTCCGTTTTTTTTTTTAATCCACGAGTATTAGGGATCTCAGATTGGCTTAATGCCAATTTAATGAGGGAAAGAAACAACAAAAATGGAGGCGTCTCATTTCTACCGACTAATTTTCATATATGAAACAATCAACATCACCTTTCATGGTTGGACATGACATGATAATGAAAAGGTTTACTCAAAATATAAGAAATTAAGAGAATGCTATTTTTTAAAGTATACGAGCAAACAAGCTAGCAGTTATATTGTTGATCTTCAATTTATAGATCTCAAGTTCAAATTGCTTAAATAGCACATAATACGAACAATTAATCGATATCAACATTATATAAAAATAATACAAGGTATACGATATATTTAAAGTACCTTATAATAATTTGAGTTATTGGAATTTGAATAAGTATTGGTTGTTGGCATTGTTGAGTATTGAATCAATATCCAAACTTCAGGCTTCACAAATGATTGTAAGTGTAAGGAAATAATAAGAAATTTATTCTTCATTCTCTTTCAATAACTTGACTAATCACAAAACGAACATGAAACAATTCGTAACAATGAAATCAATAGAATTTGAAATTCCGTTAAATACTAGTATACTACGCAAGTTTTGTAATGAAGGCTTGTAAGTTTTATAACAAAATCAATAGAATTTGAGATTCCGATAAACTAAATTTTATTACTAGGTCCCCGTTCTCATGATCTTAGTTGGACCGAACCCTTAAACTTTCTTAAGTGAGCTGGGATGAATGCTTTTGGGAGATTTTAATTGGGATGGGTGCTTATAGACCAATTGGGGAGGGCAAACGATAATAATCGCATACATGTTAACGAGTAATATTAGTTAGAATCAAACAGTCCATTTCCGAAACTACGTCTGGTCAAGAGATCGAATAATAAGTTAGTATTTTATTGGACCACAACGAATTAAAAGTTGGGATTTGAGCTTCACCTACTCCACCAACGGCAAAGACAATTCTCCCATATAACTTCCCTTTGGATATTCTTTCAATCCTACCATCCAAAGTATTTCTTTTCCAATTGGAGATAGTCGACCACCAATTTTAGGTTTAATTTATCATAAGACCGCATCATTTTCAATATACTATACTTAAAACAAAGGCTAAACCATAAATTTGAAATTTGCATACCATCATCATATATATCACATATTTATATTAGTACTTCTTATATAGACATTATCGAGTGTTTAGAATGGAATTTTTAGATTATACTTGGTCCAATTTTAGGCATATAGAGTAATACTCTTAACCTTTGAGAAAGAACATAATTATCCAAGAATACTAAATAAATCAAATAATCATGAACACAAGAGGGATTAATATGATAACAACGCATCCTCCTAATAATTAGTACTCATAATTGCACACTTTCCCCCCTTTGGTTGGTTGATTTCCCTTTATGTTAATAAAACAATTCTTGGAAGTTCCATTATGAACCCTAAAAAAACAATAAGTGAGAAAATCGGAAACCTTTATTGAGTGAAAAGGTCTTTAATATCTTGAACAATATAAGTTGATATATATGATATAATTGCAGCATCTAAAAAGGATAATTGGTTTCCTTTTTCATGTGGTTAACATGTGAGGAAAAAACAAATAAGGGTTTAAATGACCAAGTATTTAAAATTTGAATGAGACATGTCAACCAACATCGGGGTTTCTTATAGATTATAGGACAATTAGAAATAGGCATATAAAATTAAGACTAAAGATATTTAAATGGATCTATCTATTTCCCTTGGGTAATGTATAACGCAAGCAAGATATAGTTGCATACTATAAGTCATGTTGTTCGAGTCAATTTTATCTTGAATATGAATACATTTGTTGGGAGAAATGAGTGCAAAATGACATCTAACCTGTATTTATAATATTTCGAGATACGGAGATCTAAAATACTTTTTTTTTCGTTTAGAGTAAAATGATAGCCAACCAACATCAAGAGAGTGCCCACGATTAGCTAAGTATGTAATCAATCAAATTGGTTGTATTCTTAATGTGTGTAGGTAGGAGAGATTCATTGGTTGATTGGTTCAGACTTCATCAGAGGTTCATGCTAGGTCTCTTCACATTTGAAAATGTGATATTCAGTTTTGTAGGGGAAGTTTATCCCCTAGAGATTGAGTATGTATGTAACTCTATGTAATGTTGTTTGCCAACAAAATATAACAAAACGATAAGGGACAATTAAGAAAGGTGATTCTCATGACCAAGTCTTTATGGATTCCAGGTCATGACACGATTAACACAATAACACTCTAAGTTTGACAAATAAATAGTGTCGAAATGTTGAGATAAATTTTGTCAAAAAGGGATTGAAGCAAGATGGACTGAGTGATTTTGGTAATGAAGCAAAACTAATTTCACTCATTCCGGTTGTGGTTAATTTTATACGTGAATTTGGACGACTTAATCATCTTATTGAATGTTTTAAAATTGGGAGTGTAAACAAATTGGGAATTTTGATTATGATAAGACTTGTCGTAAATGTTAGTATTGTTAGGAGTAACCATTATTAGTATTGTATACGAATTTTTACCTTATTACACTATCCATATAGTATAAGTTCATTCGAGGCTCGCATACCAAATGATAATGCACCCCTCTCTTATTCACCTCGTTGATATAAAAAAAAAAAAAATTAAACATGAATCGCAATCCATGTTTCTACCTTTGTTTGCTATGTTTTTACCCGCCACATTTGTCTACTGTAATCCATCTCAAATCATGATCCTTCTCGACAGGAAAATAGACGACAAACCCACTCTCTCTACCAAGCAGGGGTGAAGAAACGACATGAATGGCAACTCTTCCAAGCTCAATATAGAAAGGGCCACCGCTTCCTGTAAAAGGAAAACAGAGTACTCTGTTTTCGCCATGAACATTGACCTATGAGCCTCTGCTTTCATAAATCCATACCATCATCCATCCGGCCCACCATTTTCATGCCGCAACAAAACCTTCTGAAAGAAACTGTTCGTGGCAAAACCCTTCTAAAAGCAAAAGCTTTCAACAGTCACACAACGAGGCAGCAATTGATGTCTTGAAACAGCCTTATGATGTTCTTTTCCCCTGAAGCAGTTCAAACTTCTGTGAGATGGAGAGGGACAGATCGAGCCCACTTTCCTGGAACCTGGAAGAAAACGTGCGATCCCAGGAATATGGAAAGTGGTGGATATGAAAAAGGAGAGGAGGAGAAAAAGGTACATATTAGCGAGAAATGGATGATTCGTTTCTTGTCACGGGAATGGGAAATAAGGTATTCAATTCTTTTCCGGGTGAAAAGGGTTACTTCCTTAATTTACTGGCCTGCGGTGAGGCTGCTGAAGAAGAAGACATAGCATTAGATGAAGGGAATAGTTTAGATCAAATGGTAACCTACTGAAAGGGAAGTATCGAGGGACAGATGTCACATGTACCTTACGTACTAGAAACGGTGCCAAAATAAAAAAGTGTACAATTTTGGTTGTTTTCCCAACGACTCAAATTATTAATCTGGATCAATTTTCGACATTAGTATATAGATTGTGACACATTTTCACCATCACGTTTCTCATACAAACTTCGAATTGATGATTTCGCTCATGAATGATGTAAGAATTAAGATGTATACAGAGTGTATAGAAAGTAAAAAACACAAAGTAGAATGAATCAAGAGGTTGGAAGGAAAGGAGGAGAGGATCATTAATGGCGGTCAACAGGAGTCAGCTAACCAGCTAGCTCTCTGCTCTTTCATTTTCGCCGCTTCAAGGAGTGGCTTGGCAGGCGGAGGAGAGAACGTGGTGTTTTCACAGTACGCCAACATTGAAAGAGGTGGACAATCTGTAGCTGAAACAAAATACAAAAAGAAATGAACGAATATTAATTACAAAGGATTTCCTGCAGCAGGCCGACTGATTATTGATCTGCATTGATTATGAAGCATGCATGTGGCTGTGGGGGGAAGTGGAAGTGAAAGTTCCAATAGATACTGCAGTCTGCAAGGATGCGTCCTTGGAATTGGCAAATTGGACTACTTGACATGTAGTAGTTTGACTCTTTCGAAATATACACTTACATAAATCTAACTACATATAACATTGTACGTATTTGTGTGTCTATCGGGATGGCGGTTCGGTTAACGGAAAATCAGTAGAATCAATTGGAAATTTGGAATATATCAAAATACCATCGCGCTAATTAAGAATATGGCTAAACCCATTACCCATGTACGTGATTGCTTCTTTTCTGCTTTTATGGTTATCATCCTACTACCTACTACAAGAATGGCCAACGGTTATGCCACCCTTTACGTAAAGCCGATAAACTAATCACGCAAAGGGCGTCAGGCTTGCATTGCATGGGACCAACTTTATTAGTAGTACGTCGAAAGCTATAGGGCGCTCTCCTAGCTAGGCTAGCTGCTGCTTTTAGATCGTGGCAGAAGAAAAGCGCTACGAAAGTAAAGAGACAAGAGGCCATGCGCCATTGAGTTTGAGCCCCAAATGACTTAGAGCCGGAAGCAAACATAAGAGCAGTAATTGGGCTAGGCCGACAAAAGCTCCCTAATCATATGAGCTTGCTTCTGGAGCCCAAAAATGATAGGCCTTTTTCATCCTTCGGCCCAAATTATAGGAGGGAAAATGGAGCTCTCGTATCATATGAATACTCTTCAACATGCATGCAGTAACAAAATGTTCTTATATACAATAATGTGACAAGTGTGATTGAATTTTTTATTATATACTTTTACGACCCAGAAATAACATATCACTCTGAATATGCTAATTTGTTTAATTGGTGACGGTACAAATACATCATAATATAATAATATTTTATTTTCTTGAATTTAATTATGTGGTTAGTCTTTTGAATTGTTGTTCAACGTTTGGTGTAAGTTTTGTAATTAAAGATATATGAATTTTCGAAATGATCTCAGCCCTTAGAGAGATGTTAGTTTTGTAATCAATTATAAGTAGTGAAAAAGCTTGACTAAAATTTTAGAGAGATGAACTAACTCGTATTTTGATATACTTTTTTTTTTGTGTGTGTGAAACATTTTGATATACTTCATTGTATTTGTAGATTGAAAAAATACATATTAGTTTTTCACATCCAAGTTAGGCTCAATTGATTATACTCGTTCATATCCTTAGTAAAATAGTGTGCACGTTAAAATTTGTATCTTCATATTCTCTATGTTCTCGAGATTCATATACCTCTCTCGTGAATGTACTCCTAAGTCTATCATTGCGAGCAATCAACCAGCCATTATCAAAGTGCTTGATGATTAATTAATTGTGTATCTCCTTTAATATGGTTGTGATTGATTACTTTTATCTAACCATGGATAAATTATCTTGTACATATAACAGAGTTTTTTTTCTTCCGGTAATTCATATAACGGAGTTTCATAAAGTAAATAGTTTGCTTTATTAAAAAAATGAAACAATCAACCAAGTAGTGATGGGAAAACAATATTGGAACCATTCCCATTAGTCACAAAAAGTTAGTAACGAATGACGTTTTGGCTCTAATACTATTTTTACTTGTTACAAATAAAATTATCCCATAAAAACAATAAAAAATAATGAAAAAAAGGATTTTGCTTGTCCCGTTTGACTACTATAAAGAAAAACAATATGAATATCCACAATTTAGTCAAAACGCCCACCACTACGTAGCGCCGGCCACAAAAATGTCATCCCTTACGTCATCTTCTCTCGCCCATCTCAATGGACCGAAAACTATCCGACCCGAGATCCTTATACGGGCCCGGCGCCGAAACCCCTTCCTGCTCTTCCAAGATCCGGTTCCTCCCCCTCCGGTGCTTCTTCCACGCCCTAACACACACAACCCCGACCGCCCCGACCAAAACCAAGACAGATAGGCACAGGAACACGAGTCCGACTCGTGCACCCGAACCCATCTTCTTCTCGTCGACTTTCGAAGCGACTTCATTCCTTATCTTAAAGTATCCGAACTTGCTATCATCGTTGACACCTAACATCGTTTGGATCGGATAGTCCAACATGTAACAGAATCCGGACGCATTGTTATACACCGCGCCCCAGCACGTACAATTTCTCTCGCAGGAGCCCTCACATTCTCCCAACGATGGGGTCGTTATGTAGCTCGTCAGCTCCTTGAATGGTAGGTCCACCCCAATCCTCCTGAGGACTCGAAAATTATCGACGTTTTCGAGTCCGATCCGATTGCACAAATTGCCCGCGGTTGGAGCGGGCAAACACTGACTCGTGGGTTGATTAGAATCCGGCTCGGTCCCGCTGTCCAGACACGAACAAGTGGGACCGGGTCGACACAGCCCGTACGAACCGCACGGGTCAGGCAGGCTGCACCCGTCCGGTATGGCCTGGTACTCGAGAACCCAATTGGCTCCATCCCAGTTGTAACCCTTGAGGTTCCCGTCCGGTTCGACCCGGACGATATAAAACCCGCTGACCCGACGCCTGAAGCTGTTGAACGATTGAACATCGACCGGAGTACTACCCGTCCCGTTCTGGTACAACCCGAGAAACCCTTCCGGTTCGACCCGCGCGTGAATCGGGCCCTGACCCGGCACCACGTCGGCTCTCGCCTCGAGCGCCTTGTGCTTCCAGTAGATCCGATCGGCGGCCCCGTCACCGTCGAAGTCGGCGTACAGCGCCATGAAGTCGTCCCCCAGCCGCATGGCGTACCGGCCGCCGGAGGCCACCAGGGAAGCGGCGGAGCTGAAGTTCTGCCCCTCCGCGAGGGTATCCGCGGGGAAGTCGAAACTCTGCCAGACTGTCACCGAGACGGCGCCGTTTCGCTTAACCAGCTGGAGGTTGGAGGTGTTCAGCAAAACGACCGCGTCGCCTGGGTCGGTCTGACTCGTTGACCAGAGAATGCCACGGCGGGAGTCGGAGAGCACGAGGGTGCCGTTGAAGGAGAGCCGAGTCCGGTCCGACCAGCTGGGCGAGGCTGGGGTCGGGTTGGCGGCCCAAATGGGCTGGAGGGAAGGGAGGTGAAGGACTGAAAGAGCGAGTTGGGACGAGTTGACTCGGAGGAAGCCGAGTGAGAAATTGCCTGATGGGTCTTTGAGGATCGGCTGGAACGACGATATTGAACCGTCTGGGGTGGCTTGGAATCCGGGTCGGAGCTCGGTTTGACCGGCAGCGAGTGATGAGAAGAAAAGGGAGACGAGAAGCAACTGAGCTGCTGACGAGTGAGAGCGAGTCGGGGGTGAGTTGATCACGGCGAGTTTTCCCATTTTTTGGGGAAGGGAGACGATTTTTCAGTGGGTTGAGAGAAGAAGGCGACTGGAGAGAGATAGAGATTGAAGAAAAAAGGAAGATCATGTAGAGTGGAGTTTTTAAAAAGAAACGACATTGAAATGGTTTTTGTAGATCTCGTGTTCAATAAAATAGTATTTGTTTTCTTGTTTCATGGCCCTTTTGTTTAGTGACAAGCAAAGGGTTAAACTTATATACCAGGTTAAGCAAAAACATATACCTTTTTGACAAGATTAATCAACTTAATTAGTTTAAAGCTTATAGATGTCACATGCAAAAATAGATCCTTTTAAAATTAAGAGAGTCGTCGTGATTGTCTCGTTGTCTCTCGATTTGTATAATCTGCAATTTTTTTTTGTGTCATGAATTAGTAGGTGATGTCTCGACTATTCTATTGTTTATTGTGAAGTCTTACATTTGACTATAAATTTACTTTTGAATTCACTAGTGACATTATAACATACAATCGTCATAAACGTTGGGCATATTTACATTAACGAGATGAATTTTGGATGCACATGAAGTTGCCAATAGAATGATTTGTAAGTTTGTATTTGTGAATGTCAAGATCTAAAGAGAAATTAACTCTACAACTTGGAATTAGAAACTCATTTTGGTCTAGAAGAATAAACTGGAGAACAATGGGCATATAAGAAACATCAGATAATCTTACAAAATCTTTGGTCCCTGGACTTTATCTTGTTTTAATGGGAATTAAATCTTCTAAACAGTTCTAATTGTCCAAAGTCCAAACCCATTTAGAAAAACTATTTCATTCATCAACTACTGTCTACTGCCCAATTTGGTAATCGAGCAAGCTGTCTTCTCCTCCACCTAAATCTGAGTGCTCTTATCTCCCTCTCCCTCTCTCTGTCTTTATATATTCTGCCTTTTTCTTTTCAAATATGCTATTGCTGCAGCAAGTTGTAGATCGGGAACATATATAATATTGAATTCCATGTCCAACTCGCTCGTGACATTAGAGGAGAAAAGGGAAGAGAGCTAGATTGAATTTGTGAGTGGGCATTTATTGATCAATCAGGTGGGAGCAAGGGTTGACTTTTCATTTGTATAAATTTTCTAGCTCTTTGAGTAATGTGAATGATGAAGGTTCATGTTTAAGCATTGACAATGATGAAGGTTGTTCTAGAGAGAGGAAAGAGACCGCAACGATGATAAAACTTCAATAGTCGATGTATTAGGCTATTAGCATTTAGCATGTTATGTATTCTAACTTTTGAGTTAATAGATCATATATCTCAAAAGTTATTGCGCGAGAATATCCACGAATTATTGAGCAAACTACAAGTCGGGCACTAAACTATAATAATAAAAATTTGGGATCTTCTAAAGTCATGTTGAAAGGAAACGAACGATCACTGGTAAACTGAGATCTAAAAGAGAATCACATTGACATTATTCTTTCTATATGCTATTTTTTTTAATCCATTTGGAGTGTTGAACTTAAAGCCGACCTTGAAAAGAACAATTTACATATACATTGCTTTGAACCATTCATTAACTCCGAGCATACCAAAATTTAAACACGAAATTTGTAGATCGATATAGAGCCTCTAGTACCGTGTCAAAATAGTACCACATTACAACTACATGCATGCTGATCCCACAAAAGTTTGTCACCAAAACCAACTATTCTATAATGACTGTTTAGACAAATTACAAACCATAATTAAGAAATAGCAAACTCAATGATTGGTAAACATTAATGGTGTTTGATTGGGTTGGTCAACAGTTCATAAATACAGACCGCCCTCTCCAAGACTCCCACTCTCTTAAAATCATCATAAATTGTTGGAGATGGGTACGGTTATAAAGCAAGCACGGAGCCCCTACGGTGTGAACTCAATTGGATCGGATATGTATGCTTTGGCGACTCCGCCAGCCATTGGCAGTTGACCAAAATAGTGCACTCTTTCTTTTGGTTGCGTAAGTCAACGAGGAGATACATCCATCCTTGTACCCCATGGCAATAAGAGGTAGCCTTCAATACAAGAAGAGGGATATGCGTCTAAACTTAGTATGAAAAAGGATAGAGTCTTTGGTTGTAATAAATCCTAATATCATGTTATTAAATTAATTGGTTTCAATAATTCGATTTGCTGTAATTATAATCTTTTTTTATCTATTAAGATTATATAAATTTTGAATTGAATGTACGGATATTTATGACAAAATAAAAGATGATTAATTATCTTTTTACAAGTAAACACTCTTGATCTTTATTCTTGCAACGCTTTCTAGTTTCATTCAAATTTGTAGACTGTGAATTTTATATTTAAGGTGGACGATAATTTGTAATGAAACAATCAATTGAGCTAGATGTCTAGCCTTGGCTTATCCCATAGCTCAAGAGGTCTCGAAATTTCCACGACACAGAGCATTAGAAAGGCAAAAGGCAAAGTTTTCTCAATGATGCAGCTTCTGATACTGGGCCTTATAGCTCAACAGACAACAGCCATGCTAGCTCATCTCGTAATAGTGGGCTGCCATTTACCGAGGCCGAAAACATCAAGAATAAGAAGAAAACAAATAAGTTTACCCGAGGCCCAAAAACTGAAGAAGGAAACGAGTTGCCAAAAACCTTACTTTTGTCTTCAAGGCCCAACAGTGGGTGAAAAAACCAAAACCAAAATTTTTGTTGAGAGTGGGATTTGAACCCACGCCCTTTCGGACCAGAACCTTAATCTGGCGCCTTAGACCAACTCGGCCATCTCAACTCATTGTTAAGATAATCTTAATGACTTTAATAAACTATAAAGAAGGTTATAATCTCTAACACCAATTGGGCTTGGAGGTTTGGAGAAGTTGTTTTATAGTAGTTTGATGTATCCGATAGGTTTTTTTTTATTACGATGTATCCAATAGGTTAATTTCACAGCATGTGGATGTGCGAGGCCAAGAACCTATCTACAATAGGTAGGGTGAGTATTGAGTAGTGTACGTGGGTGATGGTAGGTATTAGTTGAGTTGAAATGAGTTATAATGATTAAGTGTTATCGTATATTGACTATTGAGTGTTAACTAAAAATTAAGTTATATAAGATTATGAATTAACAAGAATTTTTTTTATTCTATGTCGAATAAACAGTCATCCCCTATATAGTAATGTTTAATGCAAATTTTCAATTATTAGAAATTTCTATGAGAGAATATAATATTTTCCTTTAGTGGGTTGTTAAAACCCATCAACTTTGAATTCCCTATATATGAATTCATCTAGTTTTAGACATGGGTTTTTTCATCTCATTATTACTAAAAACAAACCATGGCCATGGGTTTCAACTTTCAATCGACCCATTGCCTTTGAAAGAATGGGCACACAACATTATTACCTTTACATTCATTTACAAACCCATGATCCAAGGCTCGTGTGTAAAAGGAATGTAAACCGACGACTATCTGAAAGAATTGAAGTCCAAAATTATACACAATTCCAAGTCATCATTCACATGTCTTGTTAAAAGAAGTACCAATCAATTGTGGCCTGAAGTTGTGTGGACTTCCATTATGAACAGCATGCTGGAATTAGAATAAGTACAATACTTCCCTCTGAATGATGCTCACTGGAAAGATAAACCAAATTAAAGCTATAGCTCTTAACGACAGACAATGACCTAAAACCAATTGTGTTTCATTCTGTGGTATGTTTTGTGCCTTTCGTTGATTCCTAACCACATGGAATCTCATGGTTGTACTAACTACTAAGCTCATATTCTTTAGTTTCCATGCACTTAATGAACAAGGTATACATACATCATCGATCGGTCACCACCCTTTTGGATTGGTGTCATGTATGTCATTGTGGTCTTTGTTTTCTGCAAATTAAATGAATATGGTGTTAAGGTTTCTATATGCCAACCCGTCTACATTGATTGCAGGATATGAAGAGTTACTAGCGTCTAGATACAAGATTTTTCACACCTAGTACTCTCGATCGTACTATGCCAAGAAATTAAATTCATTTATCAACTTTGTCAGTTTCTTCTTGTCTATGATTTGGCCCATTACTAATTTATGAGTTTTGAAACGGTGAATCACAATTATGGAAGAAGAGGACAATGATTCGGGTAAGATTTGACAGAATGGAACGGAATTGAACTTTGGATCAGACGAGACATTTTTTATATAAAGATTGACGACAAAGGCTAGTGTACGCCTGACGTATGTTATATGTCTGTGTCCACACTTATTATATATACTTTGATATATTTCATCGAATATATCTGAATCGTCAGTTTTTATTTTTTTATATTAAATGAATCTTGTGGCTTTGTACTTTGATAAAAAAATTAGAGACTGAGATTCACTGATTAGAGGTTAGTGTACCTTACTAATTCATAGTTTAAATAGTAAAACTCGATGAGCGTACCTAAATTTAACATTTCCATTCCATTGAATTCTCTAAAGAACAAACAAAGTAAAGTATCACATAAAAATCATCGTATCTTTACAACTCCTCTATTCTCTCAATTATACCAATATTCTCTCAATTCTGATTTGATTTGCATCGATTCGGATTCAGACGATAGAGGGACATGATCACCTCCATGAATACTTTCTGCGGACGAAATGAATCAATTTTCCTTCCTTCTACTTTTACGAATAGAAACGAATCATTTAAAGCAAAATAGTTAGTTCTATTATTAAATGCAACTTCCCCCCACCCTTTGCCTTTTCTTCTTTCGGCGACACAAAGAATGAAAAATGGTCAACTTTAAAATACCCTTGCCGTGAACTCACCGGCGAGCTGAGTGATCAAAATCAAAAGATAGCCGAGAAACGAGAACTCCATATCTAAATATTGCATACAAGAAAAGAAAATGATAGATTGGCCTACATGCATATAATATATGAGAAATCACCTCCACCCATTATTCTACTTTTACAAGTGTACATGATCCACTCATATTGAGTAGGTGGTTCGTCCATATGAAGGTCACTTTCTCGAATGTATTAACATTGAACTCGATATCGATTAGAGTCCTCATTTACTTACGAATTTCAAATCCGAATTATGAACAGTTAAAATCTTAGCGTGTTTAATTGGTTTGCACGAACAATAAACTTATTAAACGCAATTTATTTCATGCAAAGGGCAATTAATTATAATGTTGGTAGATTTTAAATTCACACATCACTCAAATCATCGAAGCGACTATTACTAGGAATACATTGCACCAACAAGTGTGTAATACGATCTTCCCATAATCTTTGATTTCACTTTTCTCTTTTAGGGTATAGAGTTACTTTCACCGTCTCATTTGGTTCATCAGTTTTGTTCCCTTGCTAGTGATGGCTTGATTCATTATTCCGCTCCCACCGAGAGAAAGTCTTTTCCCATTGTGAGGAAAAGGATAGGCCAGCGTTCCTTTGGATCTACGTACAAAATTCGATTCTTTCTCACCATAACTTCCATCTGAGTAAGAACGTGACAGACGTCAGGAGGCGTCTTTTCAGTTTGAAGAATTTGCATACACAAACAAACACAATCACCCCAACGTGTCCTCTCTATTTAAAACTTTGCGAAAACGAACCAACAAATTAGAAAAATTAGGAATCTATAGAAACTAGACATTTGTGATATATGAGGGCCATGCACGTGTTCATACGTCCATTTTATAGGCTAAGTATATATTATACCATGTATAATTAACATCTATTAACAACTCGAGATATTGAGAATGAATTATTATTCGATGTAAAATTAAATCAAATACCTAATTTGGATATTAGTCACTTATCTGCTAGTGTAGATTTTGAAGAACTATGGTCTATGAGGTGTGGATTATTAGTATAATAATAAATCTTGAACTGATATATTAGTGGTGCAGTTAGATTTGTATAGGAATCATTATCCTACGTAATTGTGTTTGATTTTGCAGCATGCACACAGAAAACCCTAGCTAGCTGGCTGGCTGCCATCCGACTGTTAAATAAAAGCATAATGAGTTCATTATTGTGAATTGTCGATGGAGAGCATGTTCGCATGCCGATAATTAGATGATTACAAAAGTGGTTAAGCCAGTAAGCATCTCACTAACCACATTCCCTATCCCTCGAATAAATTACCCAAGCAATCAGCACGCCTAGCTAGCTAATTACGTACCCTTGTCTTTTATAACAATGAACCTTGAATTCTTTTAACAATTCGAGTCATCGAAATCATGGACATTCCGACATATATGAATTAATTAACCATGATGATGGGGAAATGCGAGGTTGACATTAATTAATGGCGTAGCTACATTCCCATCAAACCGATCGACTATGTATCTAAGATTAAAGAAGTACATGTGATTAAAGAGAATTGGTACGTCCACTAAAATTCCGAATGGACGCTACTAATTAGTACGAACTAGAATTGACCTAGCTAGCTAGTTAATTACTATGGATCAGTAGAGAATGCAAGTTTTTAATGTTACTGTTGGGAGTTGGGCCGGCGATAACAGTTGTCGTCGGTCGGCCACGGCAGTCTATTAGGTTTGTTTGCTTACTTCTCTTTTTGGGTCTGGATGTATTCAACTATTCATTGAAATCCACATATAACAGCGAGCCTACGTGGTCAATGCATAGCTATGGTGACATCGCCATTAACTCACCACCACGGCATACCACCACCACCACTAAAAGAAGTTAAGGATACACGTATGTTCACTATATATATCATCAAAAATAATGGTTTATTGTCATGATAAATAGAAAGAACCGATTTATAGAGTCAAAAGAACTTGAGAGAAAGAGAAGATTTGTATAGAGCTTAATTTCTTTGTTTGTGGTGGGGAGAGTCATTAATTGATTTGGATTGGTCACTATCTGGAGGAATTGGGAAACGATTTGTTTTAAGTCTGGAAACGGCGGGCTGGCTACTTTTCTGAAGCTTTAATCAATTTAGATTGACTAGCAATATTGTATTCGATTGTTCATACTTCACTTGTCCTTTATGTTTGTTGTCAACTAATTACTATTGCATGTTCAGTTTCCTAGTTGATTGCTCTTACGATCGAGAAGTAGTGAAAAAATCTGATATATTGTTAATTACTCCATGATGGCATGAATAATTTAAAATCAAAGACTTTGAGCTATATTATAGGGGAAAACATATACCGATCAAACAAATTACTAAGAAACTAACGGTTGTATCAAGAGATTTTTTTTTTAATAATAAGCAATCAGTTAAATCAAACAATTAAGATTAAATCCAAACGAATCTTAACAATTTATAACGGCATCCTAATTCCTAGTTATGATATTAACCACGGTTAGATTTTGTTGGAGTTTGATTCACATACACCCTAAGGAAAATGCTCTTGGGGATACTAACGGTTGTAGAAGTCGGCCAAGATGTGAAACAGGATGAATGCGTAACATTTGGCACCAAAATGTGTGTGTGTGTGGGGGGGGGGAATACAATACGAATATAGTCTATATCTATTAGATTTTCCTCTTACTTGTTCATATTAACCTGTGAATTACAGAAACTCAATCGTATCAGTTGTAATAACATCACATATGTGATGTAGTTAATTAGCATGAACAAATCATTTGTACCAGTACGTACTCGATTCAGACATTTAACTAAACTCCAACTCGTTATGTGGAACAATCTTGTTTCCTTCATAGTTAATTACCAGGAGCTCCATACGACGACGTTATCTACTATGAATTTGCGTGAACACTTTTGTACTTGTGATGCTATCATAAATGATATGAATTAACGTGCTAGTCTCGTAACATGATTAAGTATGACCTTATCCATTATGATATTATCTATATTAGTCATTTGAAACTTCATTCATCGATCCAACGTTGAGGGTCGGATTCGCTTGTTACCCCACAAAACTTGAGTGACTATGATTGTAATTAGGGGTGGGCGTTCGGTCGGTTCGGTTTGAACCGAACCGAACCAGGACATCCCGAATTTTCGAAGTATCCAGCACCCCAACCGAATTCGAACCGAGCTATAATTCGGTTCGGTTCGGCCGAACCGAATTATAGCTCGGTTCGGTTCGGTTCGACTGCCCAAACCGAAATGCTCACCTTATCTCAAACGAGCCCCTTCTCCCTCTCTACCCTATCTTTTCACTTCTCCCTGACTCTCTCTCTTCCGCCCTCTCTCTCTCTTTCGCCCTCTCACTTCTCCCTGACTCCTTCGATCTTCCACCCTCTCTCTCCCTCCAACCAACTAACACGGCGGCGACCGGCGATGGCGAGCACAACGCAGCTGAATCCTCTGATCTTCCCCCCTCTCTCTCCCTCCAACCAATTAACGAGCTGGCGGCGACCGACGACGGCGAGCACAACGCAGCTGCCGCGACAGCGTCGGTAGAGATCTCCGCCTCCAGTCGAAGGACGGCGGCCTGAAGCGATTGACGGCGGCGATGGTGATAACTTCAATGACGATGGTAGAGATCTCCGCCTCCAATCCCACTGACGTGCGACGACGACGAGCTGGGTACGCTCACCATAGAAGATTAAATCTGAGAGCGCAGATGAGGAAAATAGGATCTAGAATCGGGTAAACCATTTTCGACATGCATGTAGGTTTCTCGATTGATTTTCGATACTGATTGGATGCATGTGTATTTTTAAGTTTGGATTTGGGTTTCTGGTCTCAGGGAGGAGAATAGAGCGGAGAGAGAGAAAGGGTCTCGAACTTCAGTGGTCGGCGAGGAGAAAAGAATAGAGATCAGGGGTGATTCTGTGGCGTCTCTCAACCAGGAGGGTTCGGCGGCACCTTTGACTGATCCTTGATGGGCAGCGGTGGAGGAGGCGGTCAGGCGGCGACTAGGGATGAATTTTACTTAGGGTTAGGTTAGCACCAGCAGAAGACATGGAGTGGTGGGCTGTAAGAAATTTAATTTTGGGCTATGTTTGGTTTAAGTTGTTAGAGGGTTGGGCTTTGTGAGAGGCCTCAGTAGTCAAGTTGGGCTGTAGGATTGTGGGTTTAAGTTTCAGATCGATTTCTCGGTTCGGCTAATCGGAATTCGGGTTCGGTTTGCGACCACTGGTTTCCGAACTATGACCTTTTGACTTCCGAATTCCGAACCGAAAAGTAATATTTCGGTTTCGGTTCGGTATAGTTCGGTTTCGGGTCGGTTCGGTTCGGGTTTACCGAACCGCATGCCCACCCCTAATTGTAATTGACCTCATCATGTCATGGTGTGGGAATGAATGAAAATAAACTCGTAACTGCCTTTTTTGTGACGTGTCCGCACAAGTCCCTCACTTCCGTTCTTTCACATTCCTTCCTTAATTATCTTCATCATCTTCTTCCACCTTCTAGCTATATTTATATGCAACAATAACAAAGCAAAGCTGCCATTGCCACTTATTCCCCTCCTTCTCTCTTACAAGTCCACTATCTCCCTCACTCTTCTTCCCACTTCACCAAAACAACAAAACAGAAAATGAAGAGAAATTCTTATACTTATACCCCTTCTTCTCTGCCTTTTCTCCTCTTGTTTGCTTTCTTGTTGCTGTCTTCTTCCTTCTTCTCCCACTCTGCATCTGCTCGTCCCCTCCTGGTCCTGGACACAGCAGCTTCATCACAAATGGCAGGTAATCATATATATACTGGCCGATTCCTCCTTCTTCCCCTTTCTTTCATGTTGATTTACAATACTCCCATGGGGAGTCAGAAAATTCTATGTTTTTTATTTAGTGCTATTGGTTGACAATGAAACGATTTGTTATGACCAGTAGGTAGTAGTGATGGTGGTGAGACGGAGTTGGTGTTGGTGAGCAGGGAAGATCAAAAGGCGGCTGCGGCTGCGGCTGCGGCTGATCTCTTTGCAAATTCACTCAAAGAAGAAGATTTTTCCACGGTAAGTGCGCGCGCGTGGTTTGATTAGTTTGACTACTACCCATGCGGTTTGAAACGAATCCAATGATGTTAGTACGTGCTGGAAAGCCTCACAGGAGCCCGATTGCGTATGGAACTAGTTCTTATTTTTTTTCTTCTCCCCATTGATTGGCAGCTGATGGGGGCAGAGGAACTGGAGAAGGCAGAGGCAGTTTGTGGAGAGAAGGATGAGGACTGCCTGGCGAGAAGGATGGTTGCAGAGGCTCACTTGGATTACATCTACACTCAACACCACAAGAACCCTTGAAAAATGAAAATTACTTAATTAATTAATTTCTATATATAGCTTCCCCATTTTTGTTTGTTTTTTGGCCCCCCTAAATTAAACGGTGTTCATAGTTTTATTATTAATATAAGCTACCAACATGTGTGTTCAGAAATTCATATTATTAAGAAATACGGATCTTTTATATGTAATTTTTTTTATACATACATCCGAGAGTATTACTACGATTGTCAATATTGTATCATTATCCGAAAGTGGGAATATCACTAGGGAAGAGGAATTACGAGAAGGAATCAATGGGACGTTTGTGAACCTTATGCAAAAGGAATTCAGAAATAATGCAATGAATGGAGTTGATGGCCACTCCTATTCTCCACCACCATATTTAAAAGCAAAGATGAAAGATCTGGTTGATTCCTTTCTTGTCCTTTCTTCTTAAATTGTATCATTTATTTTCCCTCGGAACGCAAGCACTATGGTCCGTCTAACCACATAATCATCACAATTTTGTGTGGAGTGGAGTGGAGCTGAAGCTGAACATCTCATCTCATGATGCTTGCTGATAGTGAGACAATACCATCACGACATAACATACATATCCCATTCCAGTTTTCGGGCTTAGATAGACTTTCTGGATTGGGCCTGTCTATGGGCTTTTCTTGGATTTTGCTGGGTTTCCATTATGGGCCATTTTTCCTAAACCCACGGTAGTTTCTATTCCATTCCCATTCCCCGGTGGCAAGCTAAGCTAAGCCACGGCCCACGAGTCCCAATCCGAGGTGGCATCTTCGTCAACGTGGATATCCGAGTTGGAATACGCCCGTCAGTGAACAGGAGTGTGCCGGACGGGGATGCCCACGTGGAGGTCGTAGGCGATCAGTCATTGGCATTTTCTTGATTACAGATAATTAGCTGTGTGGATTACTGATTGACCAAACCAGAAATTAATTAATAATGACGAACAGAATGAAGGAAAAATCGGGATTCTCGTGAAACTCTAAACCCCTAATCTCTAAACTCACTATATATAGATAATACTGTGAGAACAAAGAATTGCAAACTGACAGTTTATTCGAGATTACTAAACATCCTTAAATACTCCTGTGTCTAAGCCAACAGACCTGGCTTACACAGCACTGACCACTAACTCGATCTTCCTGCAAATCAGCAGCATGATCACCACACTTCTAGTTCTACCATAACTGCACAATGGACTAAATTGACTATTTACAGAACTCAAGTACTAAGCAGACACTTAACCAATTCGACAGACAAACTCCAACCAAGCAGAAACGACAGCGTTCCAACTTAACACACAGACTCCAACTAAACAGAACGACAGCGTTCTGACTTATTCAAATCCACACTTAAACCTTGGCGCCAAACCAATCCTTCTCCTTCTCGGATTCGGATTCCCTAGCACTTGCAGCTTGACTCCTTACTCCAACAAATCCTCCCCTGAACTGAACCCTCTCAACTTCGTTCAGTTCACATGCCTCAGCATTCAATGTTCAACAGAAGTCTCTGACACATCACACAATCCCATTTTGCTTCTCAGCAGCTGAAACACTTCCAACTTCAATGGTTTTGTCATAATGTCTGCAACCTGCTCCTGTGTACCACAGTGCTCCAACTCAACCACTCCTTCATTTGCCAGCTCCCTCAGAAAGTGAAACCTCACATCAATATGTTTGCTGCGCCCATGGAGAACTGGATTTTTTGACAGTTTGATTGCTGAACTATTGTCACACAGAATAGTTGTGGCCTTCTTCACACTTTGCCTCCACCCCATCTGCTCCAGAATCCTTCGAAGCCAAACACTTTGTGCAGCACAGTGAGCTGCAGCAACAAATTCTGCCTCTGTGGTGGACAGAGCAACCACTGGTTGCTTTTTGGAAGCCCATGAGATGACTCCTCCTGCCAGAAAGAACACATAACCTCCTGTACTTTTTCTGTCATCAGTATCACCAGCATAGTCACTATCTGTATAACCCAACAGCTCCTCCTCTTCCTCCCCTTTTCTCTTGTACCAGATGCCAAAATTCACAGTTCCCTTTAGATATCTTAGCACCCTCTTGGCAGCCAACATGTGTTGTCGAGTTGGATGTTCCATAAATCTGCTAAGGAAGCAGACTGGGTACATGATATCAGGTCTGGTTGCTGTTACATACAGCAGGCTTCCAATCAGCTGCTTGTATTCTGTAGGACTCACCATCACTCCATCTCCAGCTTTGTTCAATTTGCATCCAGGGGTCATAGGATTAAGCACATGATTACAGCCTGACAGGTTGAACTTTGCCAGCAGCTCTTTGACATACTTCTGTTGACTGATGAACACTCCAGATTCCTTTTGGCTAACCTCAACTCCCAAAAAATAATGCATCCTTCCCAGATCTGTCATTTCAAACTCAGATTGCATTGCTTGCTTGAACTCAGCAAGCATCTCATCATCATTGCTTGCATACATCAGATCATCTACATACAAGCTCAGAATCAGAATACTAGTTCCAGCCTTCTTGACAAAAAGAGTATGTTCATAGGGACTTCTCTCAAACCCAGACTGAACAAAATAGGATTCTATCCTATTATACCAAGCTCTAGGTGCCTGCTTGAGGCCATAGAGTGCTTTGTGAAGTCTGTAAACCTTATTTTCCTCCCCAGCAACCACAAACCCTGGTGGTTGCTCCACATAAACCTCCTCAGTGAGTTCTCCATTGAGAAAAGCACTCTTGACATCCAGTTGGTAGACTGTGATGCCATGATATGCTGCCAGTGCTAAGAAAGTTCTGATGGTATCCCATCTAGCTACTGGAGCAAAAACCTCAGTGTAGTCTATTCCTTCCTTCTGAGAATACCCTTTGGCCACAATTCTAGCTTTGAACTTGTCAATACTGCCATCCTCTTGCAGTTTGGTTTTGTACACCCATTTCAAACCAATAGCCTCAAAGCCTTCTGGGAGAGTAGTGAGAGTCCAAGTCTGGTTCTTTTCAACTGAATTCATCTCTTCCTGCATTGCTGCATTCCACTTAGGATCCAGCATTGCCTCCTCAAATGTCTGAGGATCATCAGTGACAGCCACCATGGCCACCCAGTCAGTAGTAATAAAGCTCATATCATAATTCTGGAAATGGCCTGGTAGTTTTCTGATTCTCTTTCCCAGAGTAGCATTTGGTGTGTCCACCACATCAGTATCACCTTCCAACTCATCATCATTGGTATGTCCAACCCCTTCTGCTGATCCTTCTGCTGCTGCAGGACTAGGAGATTGTTCTGGTTCTGTTGCTGTTGGAACAACTGGCTCAGGTGATTTTGGATCCTCATCTTCCATGTCTGAATCAAACCATTCTTGATCACTACCTTCCCAAGACAATTGTGTCTCCACAGGATCCTCCCCAGAATTCCAATTCCATCCTTTAGTCTCATCAAATACCACATCCCTACTAACCACAATCTTTTTGGTACTGAGGTTATATAGCTTGTATGCCTTTGACTCAATTGAAATACCTAGGAACTGACAGGACTTACTCTTGTCATCCAATTTCTTTCTCTGCTGATCTGGAACATGCACATAGGCAGTACAACCAAAAACTCTAAAATGTGAAACAGAAGGAGGATGTCCTGTCCACAACTCCTGGGGAGTTTTCCCTTTGTTTGCTTTTGTAGAACTTCTGTTTAGGACATGTGTTGTCCAGGCTACTGCTTCTGGCCAAAATGCAGCTGGAACTTTCATATCTGACAGCATGCATCTCACCATGTTCAACACTGTTCTATTCTTCCTCTCTGCTACCCCATTCTGTTGGGGTGTCAAGGCAGCTGTTAGTTGCCTTCTGATTCCAACTTGGTCACACAACTCTCTAAACTCAGTGAGCATAAATTCACCTCCTCTGTCAGTTCTCAAGCATTTGATCTTCAATCCAGTTTCTTGTTCAACCTGAGTTCTGTATTTCTTAAACCACTCAAGAGTTTCTGACTTGGCAGTTAAGAAATACACCCACAGCTTTCTGCTAAAGTCATCAATTAAGGTAAAAATATACCTTTTTCCACCATTTGACTCTGGTGTTAGAGGACCACATAGATCAGCATGTACAAGTTCTAGTTTCTGACTTGCTCTCCATAGGCTTTTCTTTGGAAAGGACTTTCTGTGTTGCTTACCAATGAGGCAGGTTGCACAAACCTCCAGATCTCCTCTCAATACAGGTAAGTCCACAACAAAACCTTTCTGCTGCAGATGCTTCAATCCTTGTATGTTAGTGTGCCCAAATCTCCTATGCCACAACTCCAGGTCTTTCTCCCTGCCATTGACAGTTTGAAAGCACTGAAAGTCTTGCTCTTTTGACTGATCTTCAGGATGTATAACAAACATCCTATTTGACTTCATTTCTGTCTGCAGCAGTAACCCTTTTTCTTCATGAAAGATCTTGCAGCATTCATCTTTGAACAAGAAGGCTAGACCCTTCTCCTGTAGCTGGCCAATGCTCAACAAATTTGTTTTAAGACCAGGCACATAAAATACATCACTGATGATCATGTTCAGATTTGCAGCCTCAATTTTTACACTTCCTTTTGCTGCAACCTCCAACTTGTTGTTGTTGCCAAGCCTAACAGAACCTGTAGAGTCAGTATTTAACTCTGTGAACCACTTCTTGTCTCCTGTCATATGATTGCTACATCCTGAATCCAAGAACCACCAGTCCTCATGCCTGTCTTGTTTCACTTCTTCAAGTAATGCCATCAGTCCTTGTGCCTCTTCCTCCAGCTCCAGTGAGCTTTCAGATTCAACACAGGCCATGAGCAGCATATCATCCTTCATATCTCCTTGAGCCCTGGTTTGCACTTGATTTGAGGCAGCATAGTGTGCCTGAGGACCATTATACCAATCAGGACACTCATACTTGAAATGCCCTAGCCTGTGACATTTAAAACACTCAACAGCTTCTCTATTCCAGCCTCTTCCCCTTCCTCTTCCTCTTGCTACACCTCCATATCCTCTTCCTTGACCTCTTCCTCCTCTACCATACTCAAAAGATGCCCTGAGAGCCTGGTCATCTTCAACTACAGCCTTTGCAGTTTTTCTATTGAACTTCTGCTCATGCACCAGCAATGAGCTTTGAAGAGCATCCACTGTCAAAAGATCAATATCTTTGGATTCCTCTATAGAACACACAACATAGTTGAACCTGTCAGTCAGAGTTCTCAAAATTTTCTCAACTACCTTGTCATCTGGCATATCCTCTCCACAGTTCCTCATAGTATTTGCAATTACCATGACCCTACCAAAGTACTCTGATATGGATTCTCCTTCTTTCATTTCAAGTAACTCAAAGTTTCTCCTAAGTACCTGAAGTTGAGCCTTTTGAACTCGAGCACTCCCTTGAAACTTCTCCTTCATCGAGTCCCACAGTTCCTTTGCAGTTGCCTTCTTTGCAATTGTCTTCAGAAGGGTTCTATCAATGGAACTGAACAAGTAGTTCTTTGCTTTAAGATCCTTGAGTCTCAACTCATCCAAGCTCTTCTGTTGTGCTGCTGTAATCACTTCTCCTTCAGCAGGTTCTCTAATTCCAGGACTAATTACAGTCCAATACTCCTTCGATCTGAGAAGATTCTCCATGAGTAAAGTCCAGTGCTCATAATCCCCATCAAATTTGGGAATGCAAACCTGAGCACCACTGCCATTGTCAGTCATGATGATCTGACACCAAACTTCTCAGATTCCTCTCACCCCTTTTCAAAACAGCCTCACCTGTAATCTCTCGTGTTTCCCTATACCCAGATTACCAGAAGTTTTCACTCAGCACTCTCTTTATCACACTCTTGGTTACAGTTTGCTGCAGTGCTCTGATACCACAATGTGAGAACAAAGAATTGCAAACTGACAGTTTATTCGAGATTACTAAACATCCTTAAATACTCCTGTGTCTAAGCCAACAGACCTGGCTTACACAGCACTGACCACTAACTCGATCTTCCTGCAAATCAGCAGCATGATCACCACACTTCTAGTTCTACCATAACTGCACAATGGACTAAATTGACTATTTACAGAACTCAAGTACTAAGCAGACACTTAACCAATTCGACAGACAAACTCCAACCAAGCAGAAACGACAGCGTTCCAACTTAACACACAGACTCCAACTAAACAGAACGACAGCGTTCTGACTTATTCAAATCCACACTTAAACCTTGGCGCCAAACCAATCCTTCTCCTTCTCGGATTCGGATTCCCTAGCACTTGCAGCTTGACTCCTTACTCCAACAAATACAAACTCCACTCCTCTCTTCTGATCTCTCACGCACTCTCTTCTTCCCCCACACACAAAAGGATCGATGGTGGAGAAGAGCTTAATGCTGAAGATGTTGCTTTATGCTTTCGCCGTCGGGGTACTGCTGCTGGTTACCAAAACATGTCCGGCGGCGGCCACCATTACCGGCGGCGGAAACGTAATGCTTCTGAATTCCTCCAGATTGAAGATGTTTGTGGATGAGGTCCCGGAGATGCCCACGATCCGGGGATATAGGCTCGTCAATGGCTCGTATGAATCAGCCACCCTCACAATCGGCATGTTTCGCAAGGACTGGGTACGTAACCATTTCATTTTCTAAATCCCGGCCCCCGGAACTTCGTTTCCGGTAGGGTTTAGGGGTTTCAGTTGCGTGAGATTTTGTCCCCTTTTTTTTATATATTTTTGTGGAGTTATGTACGTCAAGTGAGTTTAATTTCAAATATCATACTTGTTGTAATTAGAGAACCCTCATTTTCATTGGTAGTGGTTGCAATATAGTTGTCTATTTGGTAACAAAAAAAGCTTTTCGTTTTTTTAAAAAATATTCAATTTAATTTTCTTGTTATTTTCAGTAATGTCACATTTGAATCCGTTAAGGAAAATTTGTGGAAACAAAGGAAATAAATCAAATCAAATCAAAAAGAATATATGATGATGAATTTTACAACGTTACTAATAGCACTCTAGCTCGTTCTTCCATCATCGTCATTATTAATGCTTGCTCTATAATTTAACGTTATTAATTTGTCGTTCAATTATATTTGTAGAAATTCCACAGAGACCTCCCTCCAACGCCAGTCTTCGCCTACGGTACATCCCAGCGCACTGCAACCGTCCCCGGACCAACAATCGAGGCAATCGCCGGCGTCTCCACCCATGTGACGTGGCAAAATCACCTCCCTTCAAGCCACATCCTCCCCTGGGATCCAACGACCCCGACAGCCATCCCTGCAAACAAGAAGGGCATTCCCACGGTGGTGCACCTCCACGGCATGATCGGTGGACCCGAGAGCGACGGACACGCTCACTCCTGGTTCACCAATGGATTTCACCAAACGGGTCCCACTTGGACCAACGAAACTTACCACTATCCGAATGTCCAGCACCCGGGGAGTCTCTGGTACCACGATCACGCCATGGGGTTGACCCGGGTCAACCTGCTGGCCGGTTTGGTCGGAGCCTACGTCATTCAGGACCCAAAAACCGAGGGCGGCCTCGGGCTTCCCTCGGGGAACGAGTTCCACCGACGGCTGGTTATATTCGATCGGAGCTTCCTCACCAATGGTTCCATTTACATGAACTCCACCGGGAATAACCCCGACATTCACCCGGAGTGGCAGCCGGAGTATTTTGGGGACGTGATTGTCGTCAATGGGAAGGCGTGGCCACGTATGTCAGTACGACGTCGTAAATACCGCTTCACAATTATTAATGCCAGCAACGCCAGATTCTTCCGGCTGTACTTCGAGAACGGATTGCGATTAATCCACGTGGCAGCTGACTCGGCTTATTTGGAGAAGCCTGTGGTGGCTACCCACACCTTATTGGCTCCATCAGAGATTATCGACTTCGTGGTTGACTTTTCAACTTCGAAGGAGGAATCCGTCCTTCTGGAAAATGACGCGCCGTATCCTTACCCATCTGGGGATCCCGTGAATGATGCAAACGGCGTCGTAATGAAGTTCGTCATTAGCAGAGGAGAACCGGAACCCGATCCATCATCTGTGCCCGGGACTCTGATCAAGTACCCGACCCCAGAGTTATCCACCGCGGTGAGGTCACGGTACATTGCTTTGTATGAGTACACGAGCGCAGCGGATGAGCCGACACATCTTTACATCAACGGCAAATCGTTCGAGGCTCCGGTGACCGAGAAGCCGGGAGTGGGTACCAGTGAGGTGTGGTACGTGATTAACCTGACGGACGACAACCATCCGTTGCACGTGCATCTGGGGCTGTTTGTGGTGATGGAGCAGACGGAGTTGATCGACGTGGAGGAGTTCAGAGACTGCATGAACAGATTGAACGACGCCGAGAGGTGCCACGTAGAGAAGTACGCACGTGGGAAGAAGATTGAGGTGCTTCCGCACGAGAAGGGGTGGAAGAACGTGTACAAGATGATGCCCGGGTTCGTGACAAAGATTCTGGTGAGATTTTCTTATATACATTCCACCCAGCCCTACGTGTTCAACGCCACGGCGGAGCCTGGTTATGTGTACCACTGCCACGTAAGTTTGTGCTACTCAATGCACGTTTTCTTTTTTATAAGTGAAATATCATCTTTTTAATTATTGAGTATATTTTTGTTTGGCAGATATTGGACCATGAAGACAACGTTATGATGCGACCATTGAAATTAGTGGCTTCAGGAGGGATGGGTCGCGTTGCGAACCCTCTAGGGGTTAGCATTATGATAGCTATTTTAATGATGGTTCATTACTTGTAAATTAAACTTGTGGATGAACAATATTAAGGAGTTTATTCTATATATATAAAAAATTCTTATCGCAAATCTCATTTTTATTGTTAGGCATTTTATTTATATTTAGAGTTGATCGAATGTAAAGTTATTTATTTATATCCAAAATCGTTATTACAAATCAACATTTAAAGTTGTCTAGTACCAGAAACTGAAACAAAAGATTCATCCATAAGACCATAACATTACATGTACGACGGAAGGAAAGTTTCGTGTACGTGAACTAAACGAGCTGCTGGGGATAACACATTTCGGGACTGAAACAGAGTAGTACAAAAAGAAAAGCTGGAAATGGGAACTTAGAGAAAGCGACTGCTAAAGCAAACCTTGTTGCACCCCAATCCCAAGGGCAGTATGGTATCATCAAGCGCGCACATTGCTTCAGCAACATTTCCAAACATAAAAGCAAAAACAGGCAAGGAAAGAAACAGATCAAACACACATTAGTGAACATAAGGTGGCTTTATAATTTCATTTCTATTATGGGAGGGAAGAAGAGGGGGTGGGGAAACACAGGACGAAGAAAAACAAAGGCTATTCGTCGACACCAATATTTGGAGCAAAGGCTATACTAGCAAGAGGCATACATGGCTTTTTTTTTCTTCTTGTTTTTGCAAAACTTTTGCAAGTGATGAGACACCTGCATTTCTGATTTCTGATTTCTCCAAGCAAAGCTGCTAGTGATGGATTGGCGGTAGAAAACACACCCCTTCTCCACCTTGCAATTATGAATCGATTTCCTGGAAAAACAAAGAAGAGACTTCATCAATCTTCCCATGCCAGAGCTCTATTCCTAACACAGAAGAAAATTCCAATACAAGATACAGCATCAATAAGAAATTTAGCCTACACAGAACCACCACTAGCGAGACAATCAACAAGATAAATAGAATAACAGCTCATAACCACCTCATTCCATAGAAATATAACTACCAAGAACAGGAATTTCACTCCCAATATTTCCTCCCAGCAAGAGAAGAGAATATCGATAAAATACACATCTTAGACTTACCATTTTCACGCTATTAAGAAGACCCAACTCGCTGGCTGAACCTTCTGAGCGACAATGCACATGGACTAAGGGACCATTTCCTTGTTCATCATTACCTGGAGGAACTGGTGTCATGTGCACAGCTCCTCTAAACATCCACCGATTACCTGCAGGACTATAATAATCTTCAAACAGCTCACCGCATAAGACGCATACACACTGGTCTTCATCCGCAAGAGCCATTGGGTCGTCATCTCTATCCACCATTTCACAATCTGGACCATCCTCGGGAGATGAATCTACTGCTTCAGAAGGAACACTTGCATTTGGAGAAATCCAATGCTCTATTTCAGCATACCATCTCTTTCTCTTATCATCAGGACCAATCTTCGTTTCACTGTGCCACTCCAAATGCTTGTCAAACCCCTCTTTCTGTTTAAGCCGGAGACCACATACATCACATTGGTGAGGAAGGTCACTGAAAAGGGAATCAATGACAGCTGGATGAAATTCTCGGATTACATCCGACTTAAACTTCAATCCTATGAGACTCTCAGTTTCCACTGATATAGACCAAGGCAAACTGACATTATCTTTTGCCTTCGGAATCACCGGGGTAGGCTTAACAGGCAAATCAATAGGGCTTTTCGCATCAGTTTTCTTAAGAGATTCTTCATCCGCCGTGGGAGCAGACTCTGACACAGAAGAAACTGGGGCGGGTTTAGGAGCTATGGTACTTTTCTTCTGGCTCTCTGGCTCAACAGTGTTCATCTGAGAAGTTGCTGACGGGGAAGTCTCTGACTTTATTAGACCTTTCACAAGTAAAGAGCTCAAAAGGTTTGAAATTGGATTTGAGACCTTATCTCCCACCTTTGAAGTCTGCATTAAAGGAGGAGCACCTTGTGGCAACTGTTGCTGCTTATCCTTCTTATGAGAGACACTTGAGCTACCCGACTTAGAAGAAGTAGACATAGGCAAAGCAGATACGACTTGTGCAGGAGGGGTCACATTCGGAAGAGGAGGTTTAGTAACTGGCTTTGATACGATGTGCCCACTACTTTGCAAGCTCTTCTTAGCCACGCCAGCAGCTGTGATGTTTGCCAGAATTCCACTCTTCATAACTGCTGCTAATAAACTACTTGTGCTCTGTTGACCTGAGGTTTCTGTAGTACGTTGAATGGATTGGTCTGATTCGGAGCTTCCTGATGTCGATGGAGCCCCAGTATTCCATTCGAGAGGTGGGTTTTGCTTCTGAAGGGAACCAGAAGGTACAGACAATTCTTCAGACTGGAACCTGTTCACATTCCCCAACTGAACACTTTGAGGGCTCAAATTTGTTGAAAGTTGACGCACCTTTTGGTGGGATGGCGGCAAGATCTGGGAGTAGTCATGTTCAGTTGCACTTGGCAATTGCCTACTAGGAGGATAGTGAGATGGAAAGGAGGAACTGGGTGAGGCTTGATGGAGTAGTGATTGCTGAGATGGTGACGAAGTCCCAATGGAAGAAAGTCTCTTTTGGCCTATGGCTCCATTAGTAGGGATGAATGCTACATTTGAAATAACCCCTAATCCTGAGGCTCCGGCATGAGAGGAGCCAGAACTAGGTCCTGCTACAATCCTGGATACAGAACTTGTCCTGGAAGGCAACCCACCATGGGTAGTTAAATTGCCGTCTGCATAACTGGGATTAGTGTTGGAACTAGAAAACATAAGCTCGTCCATTGATGTTGATTCTTGCAGTCCCCATGGCGAGCTCAAACGGTTCCCAAGTTCTCTCTGTTCGGTAGATAATGAATCTGAGGATGACTCTCTGTCAAACTGAAACCCAACATCATGCCCAAGTTGAGGTCTTCTCACACGATTTTCAAAACCCTGTCGTCAAATGTGAGAGTTAAGAAAAAAAATACACAAATTGAAAAGCAGAGAGAGGTGGAAGAGTAATGTAAATCATTAATATGCACCAAATTCTGAGGGTCACTGGGAGTCCAAGTATCCTTCCTTGAGATATCAGAGATGGTTGTTACATCCTGATCAGGCAATCTGGAATGCATATCCCACATGAACTCCTCTTCCTCGGAGTTTTTCCAGCTTGTCGAAATGCTGTTGCCCCTTTTACGGGCAATGCTGTCTGTTGGCTGTAAATGCACAGCTTTGGTTGATTTGGGGATCAAATGCTCTGGCACACCATGCTTCATTCGGAAAGCTTTTCTTGGATCAGTTAACTTCTGAGAAACGCCACTTGAAGCTCCATACCAAGGTTTGGGCTGTGACTGTTCAGCAGCCCTTGCACCTAAGCGCCCAGATCCCAAGATTGAGTTCCTTGGAGAATCTGTGCCATAATCCAAGTCACCATACAATGGCCCTACGTTCTTCTCTTCAATGGGATCACTCTGTGGTGTTATCTGGCTTCGCTGTATGTTATGGTAAACCAAAAATGTTAAACTTACAATGAATTGTATGAATCAGAATGCTATCAGCATTGAACAACAAAGGAATGATATCTCAGTTCCCTACATGGATTTTAACAGCAGAATTTGTCCATGGGCTTGAACCTACGATACCAGAAGTTCTCTCTGGACTTTCAATATCCTCAGGTGAATCTGCAATTGGTGCCTTCGTCATATAACAGAAGCAAAATCAGTCATATGTTCTTCATAAAAAAAATATCAGAAGTCATATGTTTTAAGCATAACAGGGGAACAGCTATGGCAATGTAATGGGAAGCTCAAGGAGACACCAAAATCCACATACCCTGCCTGACTGCTGAAGCCGCTGCCTTTCCAAGTATTTTGGATTCACATGAATGCTATGTTGTGGCCGTTGTGATAGTGCATCGGCCCTTGATGTCACAGTGGAAGATGATGATCCATTCACTGCTGAAGAAAATCCAAGTTCCTTCTCAATCATCTTCAGCGTCTGGAGAGGGAAGACACCTTTCCAAGTTCCAAAAAGATGCCGCATGCTGGATTGAATAGGAGGATCAACCTGACTATATGCCTTGCAGAACACCTGAATTGCAAAGCATCATATGTCACAAACTAAGGATCAAGGACCACCAAAAGCATAGCATGTGCCATTATAATGGCAACCAGAAGGACCCTGGTGAAGCATGTGAATAACTATGACTTCAACATGATCCTCTTGTTTCTTGTTCACTCCAAAAAAAAGTATTGGATACATTTAGGAAAATCTAACCTCTGGTAATCTCGCTGCAAAGTACTTTATGTAGTCTCTCCCAATATTTTTGACAATGCTATCTAAAAGATAAAGTGATGGCAGCTTCTGGTCACTGGGGACCTGCAATTAGTCATGGGATCAGATGTGACATGCCACCAAATAAGCAAAGTCTGATGTAGTATCTCCAAAGTATGAGTGAAGGACATGAAGCCGAAGTAATAAAATACCAATGGTTACAACAAGGCTACACTCAAAGTAACTGATACCTTCTGCCAATACACCTTCATACCAAAAGAACATAACTGACTGTGCACATAAAGATGATATACTACAAACAAGAGATTATTGAAATGGAACCGCTCAGATTCTAATTAATATAGTACAATTGCATTGAAGTCGCTTCTCTTTCTGCCAGGTTCTTGTTCCATGCTCCTTGATTCAAAAGTTTTCAGCCTCAATCAAGTGCCTTCATTTCAAAGATTGTCCTGACAGAGCTATCTCAAAGAAACAAGAAATCTTCACTAATTTTATTTATGTTCAAAATAAGGAATCCAAGGAGCGAGCTCAAAGGCATACAGAAGGCTCATCTTTGCACTCAGTTCCCCAAACAACACCAACATTCCCAGTTCCATAATCAACACTCTTTGAATAATAAAATTGAAGGCGGAAGTGGGTGGATAAAGCACATAGGAAACACTCCATATCCACCCCCACAATCATCGAAAGAGAGGCATAATGCATAAACTACTAGCATCAGATGGCTCAGGAGAATCGTATTTTGCTTGATCACGAATTTGAACACAACCAAGCTAGATTTCTCACATCTACAACACATCAAATGTATGCCCAGGGAGTTTTATCTCAAAATCGTTTCTCATTAATCAGAAGTTACACCACCCATGGATACTGGAACATCATATCTGTAGTCTCTATCACTTCCCTTCCAAAATAACCAACAACAGTTCAAGTTGGCGCCAATAACCAAAATAAAGTATAAAAAACTGGGTTCACCTCAATAATGTTATTGCAGACAGTTGCAGCAATGGCCTTCGCGGTGAGGACATTCTCCCCAGCAATTATAGTCAAATTAGTAATAATCGGCTTGGAGTTGAAAGTCAGCTCTGCTATAGCAGTCTTGTACTGATTGACCAGCTCCGAGCACTGCTGCACCGGCTGAGGATGGTACGCACCGCCTCCCCTGTCGTTACCCTCCGAGTCTCTGTCGCCGCCGGCAGCAGACCTGTACCTCGCGGGCGCAGGTGGCTGCCTCTGAACGAAAGGCCGGCCACCGCTAGGGTTCGATTGGTCCTCAGCTAATCGGGGCTTCTTCAGTCCCGGTTCTCTTGATCTGTCGAGCGATCTACGCATACTCTCCATTTCCATTAACATAAAAAAAAAAAAAAAAAAAACTATCCCCCGCCAAAATTAAAAAATAAAATCCCTAACTGTCTTTCCTCATTCCGACTCTTTCTTTATTGTTACATCGCAATCCCTAATCGCCATCGAAGCTAATAAAAACCAATAATGCATACAACCAAAAGAAGAACCACAAAGAAAGCTCTGAACGAATCGGAAAAGGAAAACAAGCTCTGTAGCATAAATTTACAGAGCTGCTTGGTGTACATAAAACGCGAGAAAACTGAAAAGAAAAAGCCTATGAAAGAGATGAATTTCTCTGAACAACTGCAGAATTCCGTTACAGGGACTGAATCGAATTTATTACAGGGGAAACGAGAGAGAAAAGAAGGGGGTAGTGATGGAAGCTCGCTCTAGTCTAGAGGGAGACGAGCTGCGGCGTTAAATTGAATCGAGAGAGGACGCAGAACGGAATAAAAAGGGGAGGGCCGATGGTAGCTGGTGATTGGCCCGATGGGGCCGCCAAAAAAAAATCGGTAGGAATAATTTACAATTTAGTACTCAAATTTTGGGATGTTTGTTCCTGATATCCTTAAATCCGATCTCTCTTACTAACTTAAGCGTCGAAGTATAGAGATCAACTCTTCTACACTCTCTGTAAGTTTCATCCACATCCGAGACGATCGTACAATTAAAAACAATCTCCTGCTTAACCTTTTTTCTCCAAAATGGAACCATTACCACTTCAAAAGAAGGTAACACTTATCGTTGTCAAGGAATCAAATGCTACACCATTACAACAGCAGAATTCTTTCCAACATTATCAACATCCAGTCTAGTACAGAAGACTTGCGTTGTAGAGACAAGTGATGGAAATACTCTCCTATCTGATTTCTCTGTATTCCCGAGAGGTGAGAGTTCTGGTAAAAGCTACTCAAAAGGGCTTCTATGTAGGTGAACTCAGAATCAGAGGCAGGCCTGGAGTTTGGAGAGAATAGAAGCTTGTTCCGGAGAGACCGGCTGACTCACTGAATCAAAGGGAGTAAGGATCTCATTTCTGATCCATTTCCATTGCAGACACAATATACTTTCTTCCACATATCTTCGGAAAAGGCTTCTGGGTTTATTAATCTTTGCCTGCCATGAACATCGAGAGAGAAAATTAGAACTTGAGATCACATGGGGAAAGGATTCAGAATGGCGTACACGTGACACATTACTAACTGCTTACCTAAGGTAGTAATGGCAAACAGTGGCTGCTTCATCTACATTATAGCGGGGCAGATTGACGCGAGCATCAACAGGAACATCTGGCAAGTCTTGACGTAGCTTTCCTACTGCTGTCGAATGAGAAAAAGCTCCCACCATCATATCATTATGCATCATCGACCTAAAAGCATTTACCTGCACAAACACTATAAACTCTCAACAAGTGTACATAATGTCATAACAAAACTTTCAAAAGGAACCTTAGAATATCTTGGTATCCCGCTGCTCAAAATTAAAGAGCAAGTTTGGAGTATATACTGACCGTTGCAACCTCTTTCGCATGCACCGGTCTGGTTGAGTGTAAAGTCATTGGTTCTTCATACTCGCTGAAGGTAAACCAACTATTATACTGAAAGAAAAGCAAGAGCAACAAGCATGTGAGCCCATTTTGTACTCAGGAGTAACAAGATTCTGAAAGCAAGCAAAAGAATCCAAACCTACTTGATCAATTGCAAAGAGCACAGGAACATCTTTCACTAATGATAGCTCTTTTCTCAAACGAACAACTACTCCAACTGCAGCATGAGAATGCTGGATTCCTATTTGTGCCAGGTCAAAAAGACTTGAGCCTTCAGGAACTGGCATGGAGTCTATTCCTTTCATCCATCCAACACCAGCACCTTCTCCAAGTAGAATAGGATCAAAGATGTGGCAATGCAGCTGCTTCAGCTGTGATTCGTTGTATTTCAAAAAGTCCTAAACAAAAACCACAAATTCATAAGTCTGTCTAAGACATCAAGCAACTGAAAACATGGTTCCAGAGCAGATATTACGAGACTAAACTCACCTGGTAACATGCAATAGTTGAAGGAAATCCCAACAATGGGGCTTATGGTTTTACACTCTTACCTTCAGAATGTTTTCTGCCTGAAGCGGAGTGTCCCAAAGTCCAGTGTGTGGGTTCTTGTAGAAATACCCACCATGAGTCCATTCCCATCCTCGAGGAGCATAAAACACTAGCCAACCTTCATCACGAGCCCAATGGACAAGCATTGCCAATGTAATACTCTTACCACAGCTTAAAGGACCATCTAATACAATTTGTTTTCTAGCTTTGATACCTGGAGTAAAAAACACGTCCAAAGAACTAGTTCTCTCAGATCATCGTTTACCAGAAGATATTTTACCATTCATCAAGTGGCTATATGTATTTTACGGAAAAAATCCCAATTTACACATGTTTTTAAAAAAAATTCTCAAAATACACACGTTATGAAAATAATTCCCAATCTACGTTAGTTTGGGCCATCACCGCTGTCGACGAAGACAGTGATTGCATCACTGTTGTCGACGAAGACAGTGATTGTATCACTGCTGTCGACGAAGACAGTGATTGCATCACTGCAGTACACGGCCGCGGTGAAGGCCTGACCTGCGTCGAAACTTTAAACAAACGTAACTTTGTGCTCGGTTATCCGATCGTAGCGAAATTTTTTTTGATTCCGCATAATTTTTCGAGATCTTGCAAGCCGCAAATCGCCGTAGGTGGTTTGGTCCCGCCTTCGTCTAAAAAATATGTCGTTTGCTACCCCGAACGAGCCTTTTTTCGATTTCGTCAAACTTTGAATGACCATAACTTTGTGCTCCACAATCCGAAAATCATGAATTTTTTTTTATTTCGCATAACTTTTTAAGGACTACAATATTTAGTAGGAGAGAATTTTCAAAAAATGAATTATTTATGGATATAAGGGGTTTTGGGAATAACTTTACCTTCCTTTTCAGGAATCCAAGTACATTCCGAAAATATGTCTATGATAAAAATTGTAGCCCTTAAAAAGTTATGCGAAATAAAAAAAAAATTCATGATTTTCGGATTGTGGAGCACAAAGTTATGGTCATTCAAAGTTTGACGAAATCGAAAAAAGGCTCGTTCGGGGTAGCAAACGACATATTTTCGAGACGAAGGCGGGACCAAACCACCTACGGCGATTTGAGGCTTGCAAGATCTCGAAAAATTATGCGGAATCAAAAAAAATTTCGCTACGATCGGATAACCGAGCACAAAGGTACGTTTGTTTAAAGTTTCGACGCAGGTCAGGCCTTCACCGCGGCCGTGTACTGCAGTGATGCAATCACTGTCTTCGTCGACAGCGGTGATGCAATCACTGTCTTCGTCGACAGCGGTGATGCAATCACTGTCTTCGTCGACAACAGTGATGCAATCACTGTCTTCGTCGACAGCGGTGATGGCCCAAACTAACGTAGATTGGGAATTATTTTCATAACGTGTGTATTTTGAGAATTTTTTTTAAAAATATGTGTAAATTGGGATTTTTTCCTGTATTTTACTACCAACAAGGTATATATAATACCATTCATAATTTCATACACAACACAGGTAAAGACAGAAATGAAATGTACAGCTGAAGAAGAATTAGCAAAGAAACTCGCACCTTTACCATCCAAAGGAGGATCAACAATACGCCGGAAGTTATCACGAAGGTCCAAGAAACTCTGCCGAACAATCAACGATTCTCGCATTGAATCCTCAAACTCGGCCACCATCCCCTTCGGTAATCCTTCAGGCAACACCGCATTCAGTGCCTTCTTACTTGAGACAAGGAATGAGGAATCCACTGTTTAGAAACACCACTCAAAAGACACAATTACCAGAATTCCCACACACCAAATGAAGCTGGTGGACAGATACGTACCTGAATTTGAAGTAGGAGCAGGCGTCTCTGCGAGTGAGCTGAGACAGGGTGGGAGTCGAAGTGAAGAGTGGGCGATCATTAGGACCCACATTAAGAGACGGGTTCTTCTCGTCCTCTGCTAGGAGACGGGACCTCAAAGCTTTTTCATCAATTACCCCTCGGTCTAGCTCGGCGGCGGCGCCGGGGCCAGATTCATCGCCGGGCTTCTTGGCGCCGGATTTCTTCTGTGGCTTCTGGCTCGATTTCGCTCCGGCTTTCGCGGAGTAACACCTCATGGTGATCGAGTTGCAACGGTGATCCCATGGGAGAAGAGCCCCAGCTTGCGATCTCGTCGCCGAAGTTCTGAGGATGCGCCATAGAACCATCTCCACTTTCTTCTTCTTCCTCCTCTCCTTCTCAGTTTTTTCTCTGGCGTTTTTTCGGAGAACTTCAAGATTTTGGGGAAACCTTTCGCTGCAACTCCATATTACAGGCCCATGAGCCGTAGTCCGGCTTTTCTCAAGGCCCAGGAAATTTTGGGCCTTAAACCCCGCAAAGTTTCTATCAAAATTCAAAACCCTAGTAGCTCTCTCTCTGTTCTTCTCTCCCAAAGTCCCAATCTTTGCCCTGCAAGCAACTGAGCTTCCCGCGAACGTAGCGCAAAAAATTCTCTGCAAGTTCGTTCTTCTATTGTCTCGTGATCATGATGAAGATAAATACTCCGAAGAAGAAAAGGGTTCTGCGGGAACTGGAAAAGCGAGCGCCAAAGCTGGTAACTTTCGCAAATTTGTTTTCATCTAGTTCTTAGTGTCATGCATGTTTGATTTCTGTGAAAGTCTTGCAGATTACTGAGCTTGTTTCGTTTTGGTATTTGGAAAGGTTGAGACGGGGAAGAAGACGCTGATACTTCAAGGCTTGAAGACTAGCAACGTGTTGAATTCGGTTCTGAAGGAGATATATCACCTGAAGAGGGATAGCGCGGTGAGGTACACGCGGAAGAACGATAACATCAGGCCGTTCGAGAGTGGCGGCGAGACTTCCCTCGAGTTCTTCTCTCAGAAGACTGACTGCAGCATATTTGTGGTGAGTTGCAGCTTCTTTTTTCATGGTAGGTAGTAGCTCTAGTATTCATCTTGGTTCGCCCTTTAGTGCTAAAGGGAACGGGTTTTAGCTGTTTGAATTAGAGAACTAATGCATTCGTTTTGTTTGGCTGATTGGATTTGCGGCTGCCAATGCTAAAGGAGGTGCCTTTTAGTCTAGATATATGAATGAAATTTTATAAGGCGAATATGGCTCTGTAGTATCCATTTTTACCGATCCGTTGATGATACAGATAGCTTTCTGCTTGTAGATGGGCTTCATTTATGGAGATTTGTGAATGGTAGGACTACTTGGCCGCCATTTTGCGAGCTGTAGCAGCTTAACGTTGAGGAGATGAGTGAGGTTGTTTGACAAGAGAGCTAATAATGCGTTCATATGGCCAATATAAATGGCTTTTTTTAAATCTTAGATATGATTTATATTGGGGCATATGCTTCTAGATATGCAATTTATCAAAACCTTAATGTTAGATATGTAGCTTTTCTGTTTGTAGGAGTTTGATCATTGGTAATAAGCTGAACTAATGGCTTCTTTTGTGGATTGGTCCTTCAATTCTCCTTTCCGATACTTTAGTTATGCTCGGATTTTTTATATCTCTATTTACTAAATGCTTGTTTTCCAGTATGGTAACACTTCAAAGAAGAGGCCTGACAACATTATCATTGGACGTACCTACGATCACCAAATATACGACCTTGTAGAAGTCGGTGTTGAAAACTTCAAACCTATGGAGTCATTCAAATACGACAAGAAGCTAGCTCCACAGGTCGGGTCTAAACCATTCATCACTTTCGCTGGAGAAGGATTCGAGAGCATTGATGAATTGAAACATTTAAAAGAGGTTTTGCTTGATCTTTTCCGAGGAGAGGTGTGCCCCCCTATATTTTCTACTTTCCCCTTGTTTCATAAGTTATGCATACTGCGTTAGGAGTCTTCAGGGATTCGATTCACACTGGACCAATCCATGCACACATACTGACTAGTAACTGAATCGTATGTGTGATTGAACAGGTTGTGGAAAGTTTGAGCCTAGTTGGGCTAGACCGTGTCTATGTAATCACAGCTGTATCCTCGGATCGAGTCTTCCTTACTCATTGCGCAGTGAGGCTGAAAAAGTCTGGGTCTGTAGTCCCAAGGATCGAATTGGTTGAAGTTGGCCCTTCTATGGATCTTGTGGTTCGCCGTCATCGCCTTCCTAACGAGAGTTTGAGGAAGGAAGCTATGAGAATTTCCACAGATGGTCTTAAGAAGAAGGTTTGCTTTCTGTCAAAGTTTTTCTCTTTCTCCGAATGTGAATAGGTGTATTGGTTGATGCTGATCTTTTTTTCTTTCTTCTGCTTATTGCAGATTAAAAATGTTGTTGGAGATTCCATACAGGGAAAGGTCGGGAAGATTTATATGCCTGATCAGAAGGTAAGTAGTAGTGGAATTCTAGATAGGGTAGTCACTTATTGTCAAGTCCTTAACACAAAACTCTTTTGGTAATAGAGACTACTCTTTACTTGTTATCGTTTGTTGGTTTTAGATTGGAGAAATGGCACTACCTAACAAAGCCAAAGGGGTAAAGAGAGAACGCCGTGAAGCCAAGATAAAGCACAGTGAGCACGCAGCAAAGAAGAAGAAGGAAGATGCTGCTGACTGATTAATAATGCCAGTTGGGTTATTGCTGACGCTCCTTTGGCACTCGGATATGTACACTTCTTTTGAGGGCTTGCGTTGTCGAACTTCTGGATGAAAGATCAGAGGGAAGAAAACTGGGTTGTTAATATCCAGTCGCCAAGACATCACTTGTGTTTCTTGGTCAATATGTCAACACAATTGATCAAGTTTTTTGTAGCCGTAATCGAAACGATATCATTGACATAAACTGCATATGTAATTTTCTCCACAATGCCCAGTACAACGAGTGTTCTAATAGAGCTAGGTATCAATGCCATTTTTTAACTTTTTCAGAGCATCGTCAATGTATAGTGTGTGATTTGCTTGGTCGTTCTAAGTATATAACATCTTTGACGTCGATTTTGAAGCAAGATCAACTATCTACAAAAGCAGGAGCAGAGGACTCATTACAGATTATCCTTCAAGGAAAGAGGAAACAAGCAAGGTACAGAACTTTGTTCAACATAAGCAGGAACTTTCTTTTAAGTGCAGAACTATCCTAATTCCTAGCAAACACCATAGTGAATTTGGCCCTGCCTATGTATCATGTATGAACAGATAAGAGGCCACTGAGAACAGTCGGCTAAATACAAGCAAACCGATTGAACAAAGTCACTATCATAGTATTATTTTCAGAGGAGTCCCATAATGTCGAAGATGAGAGATTTCCAGACTTCATAACAGCTGAAGGAACCATAAGCTGAAAACTCTGCTAAGCTCAACATGACACCAACCTGCTCTAGCTGATTTCACCTGCAAGTGCTCAAAAACTCTTCAAGTCATCCGTTAACAAGAATCCAAGATAACTAGCACGCCAACTTCCGGCTCATCTGTTGCATACTAGAGAGTTAAAACATGAATAATAAAGAAATTTCAGCAAAATAAAGCTGAAAAGTGAAAAAAGTAATCTCAAGATTGAAAATAAAAATCAAAATAGTGGTACGCATTCAATGAAAGAAACGTAAGTTCAGTAAAGATATCCAGTCTTGCATACTATATAATACTAAAGTTGGCATCGACAAGTAACGACGCCAGTATCTAACTTCTTTTCAAACTACCAGCATCCTCCGGCTGGGCAGCACGAATATCAGATTCAGGCTCATCGAGTAATAAGCTTCCATCAGCCTGCAGCTGCTTGTCGACACCTGAACTTCCTTCTGCTGCTTGTGTAGATCCTAAATCCCAGATGTCAGAGAACCCACCTGTAACTCCAAACTCCCACAGCTCGTTCCCTGTACTGTTAGCCATGATCGGATGAGTGTCGAATCCCATGCTCCATACATCAACCTCTTGTTTGACCATGCTTTCGAAACCTGGACTTGAGACGGCAGGAAGTGTCAAGTCCTCCTGCTGCACTCCCAATTCCAAATCGTCAGGGTAGGAGACAAAATATTCAGGACCTAGTTCTTGCTGTGGATCCATCACCACATTCTTCCCTTTATAACATGGATCCTCAATCTCCTCTGTGGGGCTTATGAAATCTTGCCCTGCAGCAGCCAAGTCATCTGTTGATACGAAAGAGCTGAGTTCAAATGGAAAACCTTCTCTGTCTGCACCTCCTGCCATGTTTTGCAAGATTATGTCGGGTGATAGCTCATCCTCCATAGGAAACAACTCAGACTTGTGCTTTATCATCTTCCCTTGAATAGGTGTAGAACTTCCACTCGCTTCACCTTGACTTTGTCTGAGGAACTTCTTCTTCCTCTTTGATCCTTCTCCTATGATGCCTCGTTGTCGTTCCTCCTTGCTTTCCTTCAGTCTGTCGAGGAATCCTGGATTTCTGAACAGCTTTGCCAGGAAGGAAAGCATCTGTTTTTGTCTCTGCTCAGCTACATTAATCCTCTTGTTGACGGTCTCCATATGCTGAATAGATCCTCTTTGCTGCTGCTGAAGTTCTACAACTTCCTGCATCATTGCTCCTCTCTCCTTCCTCAGCATCTCCACCTCACTCTCCAGCCCAGACTTCCCAGCTGCTTCCCCAGAGGACCCAACAACATGGCCACTGCTTTGCTGAGATGATGACGATTGTGGTGACTTCCGCCGCTGGATGTTTCGAAGGAGGTGCCTTTGACCTTGTTGAAAGCCTTCGTTTGCGAACTCCCATTTGTCAGCATCTATCTTGCGAAATCCCTGGTTAGAGTAAAATGCAGAAAACAGAACTCAGAGTAAGTGAGGGGAAGTAAACAGAACAAAAGGCTAGTGGAATTACTCTCCGAAACACAAGCACCGAACCAAACAAACAGTTTAAGCTGCCTTGGAAACAACAGGATGCTTCAAATTTGTTAAGTTCTTCCATAACAACAACACACAAAAGAAGCATTTGAGAAAAGCTGTAAATATCATTATTAATGGTGTACTGGGACCTGAAATCCTACCTGGATTCGGATTAGGTAGATAGCTCCCCGCTCCACTACAAATTCAGAGGTCGGCGCTAGCATGATCAAAACTTCACCTATAACTTATCATAATCATCTGAATTTGCAGAAGCTAATTACTATACTACTTCCCTAAATCTACCCACTATACTATTACATCAGATAATTAAAACCCTTTTACATGTCAATAAATCTGCTCAAATTTACAAAGAACCCTCCAGTTTACACACACGGAAGTTGCAATCTTTAACCAAAACAACATCAGGAAAGTTAGAAAAGAATCAAACCCAGTAAAGTATAGAAAAAACGAAACCCAGAGAAAGCTGTTTTGTGGCAACAGCAAGATACCCACATAAGTATTGAGCTGGCGAACAAAACTGGAGAAATTGTTGTGCTTGAAGTTGCGAGGGAGCACGGTTCTGGAGAATTCGATCGAATCCCAAACCACGAAGCTCACCCCGTCGGCTCCCCACGAGATCACGGCGTCCAGAGCTCGGTCGTCCACCAGGTCGAACGTCTTCGACAGAAACGGAGGGATGGGCGTCTCGTGAAGAATCGCCAGCGGCTGAGGAAGAGAAGGAGGACGAACTCCACCGCCCGCCGCCGGCGGCGATGACTCATCGGAGACTGTCTCCGCCTTGAATTCGAACGACTGCGAGAACTCCTCGCAGAACTCCATCAGCGGAGAAGCCGGAATCGAATCGCCTTGGGGAGATTTCGGTACGTCTTCACGCTTCATTTCGGATCCGCAACTGGAAACAAAACAAAAAAAACAAATAGATAAAGCTGATGAAATGTAACGGAGAGAGTAAATGAGGGGGGGGAAATGTGATAAGGAAGGGGGAGGAAATTGGTTGGAGAGAACTGCGAAATGGATTTATAAGATATCGCCGACAAACTGTTTGATAGGGGAAATCTGGAGCAGTAAGGCGGTGGCGCTGCTGCACAGTTGAAGCACCGGCGCACGTGACGGCAGATTAACGGTTCTTCCTGGTAATTTCTGGCAGTCGGGGTTCCCGCGGTTTTGGCTGGCCTCGGATATTTTCTTCCCTCTGTTTTGGCGGGTAGCCTTGTGTGCGCGCGGGTTGAAGATATTTTGGTTGGGGATTGGTGGTTGAACCGAAACTTCCAGAAGTTTTGAGGGTATGTGAGTGATTGAGTGGATGGAAGATGGATTATAATAATAAATAATTACAATTATGCAACTTGGTTTCTAAATTTGAGACACTAGAACATTCATAAACTTTCTAGATCCCTTAAATCATTCTTAGTTTTACAATTCAGTTTTTCCTTATCAACACGTGCGAAGATCACAGTAATCATATTTTGCATCAATTCCTCTCCGTAACACAAAGTAAAACAATTCCTTGATCGAAGACGCATGAATCAGTGTTACATCTATATTTTGTCACTAGCTTATATCAATGGCGTGAACCACTGCTGAAAATGACCAACTCACAAACTCACGTAGGTCGTTTGTGCATCAAAACTTTTTTCACAATTCGATTCGCTCAGATTTCACCGCTAAAAAGTGTCGGTGTCCAATCAAATACAGGTGGTGGCAATACTTGGTGGCAAAGCTAAGTCGCCGACCAATCAGATTTCAGGGGAGGTGCTGTCCGGCAGTTTCTAACCAGTTGCCACCGTCCTCGTTGAAAAGGATACTTAAGTACGACCACCCTCATTTAATTGTGATTTGTACACTAACACTAAGATTAACTTATTAGAGTCTACGGTATAATTCCATCAGAAAAAGAAATGCTTAAGTAAACAAGATTGACATTGTGCTTGTGCTTAGTTCCTATCATAAACGCCAATTCTGGGTTTCTCCGGTAGTAAGAAAACAGAAGAACGATAAACTACCACGGACCGAAAAAGCTGCTTCTCATTAAGAGTTACGACTAACATTTTGAAGTTATGGTTTGGGTTTCCATTTTCATCGCTCTAGGTACAAAATTATGAGAGGACGACTTTACACGACAACTATTTTTACCAACATCAACAATCGGGAAGGATACAAATTTTTGAGCAAAATCTGCGTCACAGAAGCATGGGGCAAAAGCAAAGCAGCGCAATCAGTTGAAACTCGGAATCTCCGGACGACACAAGACATTTACAACAATAGTCCCTGCAGCTCAATACGAGAATATTCGTGAGAACCCAAAATCAAAAGAGGGAATCGGGACTTTGAATAGCAGAACTCAACGAAATTCAATAGTGTACCTGAGAGAGCACCATCTACTGAGTGCTTTCCTCTGCCAGTCATCAAAATTTCCGGAAAAGAATGCTCTGTATTATGTGCATAGATACCAACTGTTGCCGGCACCTCAAGGAAGTAAGGCCATGTCTGGACGACCGGCTTGAGGATTCGTTGGAGGTTTGATCAATGGCCTTAATGATTCCATGATGTTGGCAAAGGAAGGGCGTTTCCATGGCTCACTACAAGGAGGACCAATTCCGTTAACTACAAACTGCTGGACTAACAGGAACCAAATTACAAGGATTTGTGAAACAATACCAATGCTTGCATTGATTTTTTATTCTCAAGGTTAACTAAAAGTTTGGTTCTGATATATAACGGAAAATCCATTTTGTCGCCCCTTCCAAGTAATACATAGAACAACTTGGTAAAACGAAGAGGTAATACATTCAGAAGAGAGGAGCAAGCGAATACTCACTTGGCCCAGCAAGCCTCAATGATGTTTGCTACTTGAGGATTTACTTCGCGGGGAATCTCAAGCCTTTTGCATTTGAAACCAACTGCTGCCACAACCTGCAAGATATGATCATCATTAAACGGGTTTGATATGATCAAGGATTTCCCCCCGGTAATTACGATCAAGGATATTGAATGCTATAGAAAATTGTTTATTAAGACTACCTGTGCGGGATTTAAATTGCCCCAGGGTTGTTGCATTGTTGCCAGCTCCCATAGAATTATGCCAAAGCTGTACACGTCTGACTTCTCGTTTGATGGTTCATCACGCAGGACTTCAGGGGCCATCCACTCAGGCTGACAAATACAGAGAGAGAGAGAAACATTCACCAAGCTATATCAAATAAACTTCTGACAACTGAGACATGGATCCAGTTACGTGTCGTTGTTACACATACCGTCCCTGCAGCCGACTTTGATGAAAGAAATGTATTTGCTTTCAAGCGAGAGAGGCCAAAATCACAAACCTGGGAGAATAAAAAGGAATTAGAGAGTATCCAATCGGGAAACTAAATCTGTCAAAACTCAGCTGAACAGAGAGCATAAGAGGACAATGACTTCTAAAGTAAACCTAGATTTAGCTATTACTCTAATGCTGCAGTCGGAGAATAAGATCAGGACCACACAAATCCAAGGAAAGCGTGGATTGATACAGATCTATCATAATGTTCACATTACCTTCACTGTGTACTTCTTATCGACCAATAAATTTGGAGATTTCAAATCTCTGTGAACAATAGGAGGATTGCGTTTATGAAGGTAATTCATTCCCTTTGCCTGTAGAAAGACAACAGAGACACTACACATCATTTCAAGATGAAATACCACAGCGAGAAAAGGCATAGATTGGAAACAAATACAGAGAGCACTGAATGGAGAAATATGTGTGGAATTGCGAACTCATACCACATCATATGCCATATTCCACCGACGCCTTTCATCCAAGGCCTCCCTTGCACCAGACTTGTGCAGCAACCTGTACAGGCTACCTCTGCAGTGCAAACCAAGATACCAATTAATCCAACTCCCGAAACAAGAACAATTTTGGGCACAATTTCATTCCATATTGTAAGAGAACTATAGAAGGCAGCACACAATTTGAAAGGGATTATCATCAGACCTTGATAAGTATTCTGTCACAATGGATAGGTTTGGTGGCTTAGTAACAGCACCCATGAATAGAACTATATTTGGATGTCTTAGGCGCTTCATTATTGCAACCTGGACAACAGGGAAGGTGTGGCGACACATTAAACTGGTTCACTAATAGTTGTAATGTAGTGGACTATTATCCAGATAACACAATGCAAACCTCTCTCAAGAATTCTTTGAAGCGTTCCGCATGAAATTCTTGTTCCATGAGAATTTTCACGGCAACATCCTACGACCAATAAAAGGCTTTGGATGAGAAGAAATATCAGAAGCACAAGGTGGAAAGGAAAAGACTGTAAGAAAGCATTCACCAAAGGAGCCCACTAAAATATGTTCCTAATGTATCTAAGCTACTTCAAAACGAAGTGTGGTCAAAACCCCCGTCAAAGTGAATGCAGCTTATGTTTGATAAGATAAATCAGTCCCTCCACTGTAAATTTATAAGCTTCCGCAATCCAAATTGAATTCATGGAAGATCACATAACTAGGGCATGATGAATAAAAAGTCGGCATGGTAAATGCATGCAGGTCAGCAACACTACTTGCGTTCATAATAACTTCTTTCGAACATAAATATCTCTTTCTACCTCAATATAACTTTTACACCATACAGCTTATCAGAATAGATCGGGAAAATATATGAGATATCGAGACCATAAGTAGCTCATAAGAACTTACTGAGCCATGCCAGTCGGCACGATGGACAGTACCAAAAGAACCTGGAGAAGCAGGATATCAATGAACCAAAACATTAGCTAATAGGAGAAGCATAATCTGTAAGGCCTACAAGCCACAGGTGCTGCTCTTTAAGTTCTTAAGTATACATATATAGAGCAGAAAGCAATACCTGCTCCAATTCTCTCTTTCAAAACAAGATCAGTCCATGGGATGTCGAACTCCTCCACCTCAAGGGATAGATCTTTACTTGGTCTACCAGAAATTAATTGACTACCTTCAGAAAACCTTGCATCGGAACTGGCTACAGACAAAAGATTTTGCCCAGTTGCAAGTACATGCTTAATTGAGGTGTCTTTGAGCATCATTGATGGTTGTTTGCTTTGGGCTGGGTTATAGACTTTTGGTGGTTGCAGACTCCTATCCTGGCCACCCGTCCGAGTAACTCGAGGGGGCAGAAGTGGTTGAGAAGCTTCATTGTTGTTAGGGAACTTATGGTCTTCTTCAGCAGTGGTAATAATTCCGGCTGTATAGCATTAAGCAACAACAGATATAATTTAAAGAACACAAATATCTGTGCAATTCAAATTATCAACAGGAGTAATCATGTGCTACTTTTAGAAACTAATATGGTATCATCATTTGAGATATAGCATTTACAAATTCTAGGTTGTCACTAGACTTTAACAAAACCAGAAAGATTAGTTACCAAAACTACGCCCCGCAAATGCCTATTGCTATATCTGAGATCTCATGGCTCATAAAGTTTGGGCCATAAACAAAGTCCTTTGATAAACTGTTGACACATTACTACAAACAAGAGACAAGAATCCCATGAATAACCCTCTGACTAGAAGACTAGATTTGGATGGGGAGGAGGGGAGGGGAGGGGAATCCACCTCCTAATAAAAGCAGATAGCAACATTAAGAGCCAACTTACAGCAAAAAGTACAGCTGTGTTCCACAAAACTTTCTCCAAGTATTACCTGCTGAAGTATCATCAAACACAATATTCAGTGACTGACAGTCTGTGAAGTACTGTTTGGCCAGTGACCTAAAATCAATGGCATGTTCAGCTGATTTGGTCTGGGGAAAGCGCAATGGTGAAGATATTGAGATGGATGAAGGACCATTGAGCGATGAATCAGGCTCACATAAAAGACCTGGCTTTCCTACCAAGTCAACTAGATACTCCCTGAAATTTCATAACCAAAAAATAAAATGGACAGTAAGAACTCTGATGTACCACACAATTTGCTATAGAAATAAAACTTACTGTTAACCTGCATAAGTTTTCCAAAAAATACAAGCATTACAACTAGCAAAAGTTCAGGCACCGGGTTGGAGAAACTTTAGCATGTACGCATACAAATGGAGGTATGTATACCAAAATTACAAGTTCAAGAAACAAGATGCAATTTATGGTCAGATACTGCTGAGGCAAGCAAATGCCCATCCTATTGATACATCAGAGAGGACACACGTGTTAAGGGGAAAAGGTACCTGTCAAGACCAAATCGGACAAGACAGGAGGAAGCATCATCTCTTTTACAATATTTGCAGCCTTTCGCAATTCGACATGGTAAATCTATTGCATCAGCAAGAACCTGTAAAATATCCAATGTGAGGAATAAACTCAAAAGCTCCAAATAATCTAGGCAACTTCAAGAGACAAAAAGTAATCACGGTATCCTACTTTGAATAGTAATGTCCGGTGTCTGCAGAGGCCAATAGACAAGCTGCCTATAGGGACAACAATGGATCCCAAACGATCTTTCAGATCATCATTGCACTCCATCCATATAGAAAATAATTCATCTTCTCCAGTAGTGGATGAACCCCTTGTAGCAATAAAAGCTTGATTAACAGAATATTCTACAAAACAGCACCTTCTGTTACATCCAAACAAAATAAACAGAACATAAGCAGGAAGACCATAACTCACCCCATGCGATTGCACACAAGATTGGCCAATTGATTAACAACCTCTTTTGTTGTTATAGAGTTGCAAGATATATTGTGGACCCTGGTTTGAAATTCTTTCAAGGTCGGATCACTTCGCCGATCAATCAACACCACTTCCAATGAAGTGTCTGCGGTAGGATCAGCCGACTTTAATGTTTCAATTGATGGAATGCGGCCATTCTCTTGATAGTCAGTGCACACAGACCATACATATGGCTCCATCCCAGAAATTAGGTAAAATCCATCAGGGATCTTATCGAAGTATGATAGGCAACCATTGACCTGATGCAAGTAGAGATAATCAGATCAGTTTGCCAGTGCAAATACCAATAAAAAGGAATAAGAAAACATAATACGCTGTTGCACTCATCGGAAAGGATGAACATATTAAAACTGATCATACAGAGACAAAATCCAACCAAGATACATACTGATTTCAAAATCTAGATTAATTGGCATAATGAATGCACAAGGACCTATCTTGCAAAGCTATTATAGTAACTACTGGCAGTGGCTAAGCTAGACATTACTGCCACATGAAAAGGACCTCTATGTTACTTCAGTCGAACTTATAGCTTGCACTTGCATTTTACCATGTTAGCAGCCACTATGAGCAACGTCACCCTATCAAATGAGGAAGGCAAAGAAATAAACATTCGCAAACAGAACCATGGAATCAATGTTATTTCACTCCGTTACAACTCTTACATGAATGAGGCCAGTTCCATACTCTCCTAGCTCTTCTGACCATATATTTCCATACTTCCCTCATGACACACAAAGAAAATGAATGCATGGACAGGCCTCATATGCTGCTCTTGTTTTGTAGATGATGTTAAAGAAGATGACATAACAATATAACAGCAAGACCTTTTCAAAGTGTTTTGAGAAGTCAAGGCTCCTACGCGGCAGCTCAATACATTATATCGGTATTCACACATATCAATCAGGGAGGTAGTACAGAACACTCGCATCTTTGGATCTTCACTAATAAAGTAATAATAATGCACCAATGAACGACCATAGACATATATGACAATTATCAAGTTTCACAGATGTTCTAGCTATTCATAATTTACTAGCAGATGCAAAAACTTCTACTTTCAAGGTTAAATCATCTAAATCGTTCCTAAGTTCTATTGAAAAATCACACCCACAAACAAATCCTTCAATTCCTTCTTCAACAGCAGCAAACAAGTGATCTGATATTAATGTCAACCAGATTCTGCATACGAAGATGAAGTATTGTTAACTATCCTAATTCGTTTGCTTCTCGTCATTTCAATAGTCCCCACCAGCAGTCGTTCTTCTCTTTATCTCAACTTATTCTTCTTGTTAGCTTTGCCATGGAAATGCAGAGATCAAATGGAATTGTCACTTACAATCCAATAGGTAGCTACCCACTCAGCTGAAATGTGCATATGATATAAAACTCGTGCCGCGCCATTGCCAACTACTGGGGGAAGAAAATGTGCATGTACAATCCCTCTAACGTTCAATCAATTTCATCACCCCAACGGAGTTCCTCGGGAAAAAATGAAGAGAAACTAGCACATACCCAAAATCGATGAGATAAAGTCTCTGCGGAGTTGGAGCTAGAAGACCGGGAAGCCGATTCATCCGGAACTGGATCCAAAAAATTGGGGTCATCGGCACAGGTCGCCTCGGACGATAACCTAAGCGCCAACGCCAGCTGCAGCTGGTAGCTCTCCTCCGTCTGCTGCGCCCAGCTCTTCCCAGACGAACCCGGACCCATCCCCGCGGCATCCATCCCTCTTGTCATGTATCCATAAGGCTCAATCTCGTTTCCGCCGCCCGTCGACAGCGTCGCCGCATAATACTCCCCTGACAACGAGCTCTCCCCGAAGCTGCTCCCGCTGGACTGCCGCTGCAGCCCGATCGACGAATACAAGTTCAGGTTACCACGATTACTGATGCCGTTGCTGCTGTTGTTGTTGTTGTTATTATTGGCCGGCTGATTCAACCTGTGATCCCCGCCGGCTTCCCAATCGAAGCCTCTATCTCTATCCGACTTAATCCTGCTGCTCTTGGAGTCACTGGAGAACGAGTCATAGTACGGCGGCGGTGGAGTCCCCGCCGATAGCTGTTCGTCCGGGTACTGGCTGAGGAGACTGTAGTTGGATCTTCGACCGGGCATTTCCATGGTATCCTGCTTTTTGGAGTTTCCTTCAGCTCAAAGCAGCCTAAAAACCCTAAACACCGCCATTTTGCCGATTGGAAGATGTAGAGAGAGAGGGAGGCGCGGTGAGCTGAACCTAGTACGCGTTTTGGTTTCTTTCTATCTCTAGAATTTTGGGGGATTTTGGAAGAAAGGGCGGTACAGAGCTGAGAGCTCTCTCTTCGTCTCTTTTTTTCCTCCTTTCTTCAGTCTTAACGTTCCGTTGTCGGGAAAAAAGAGAGTAAGTGTTATGAACCCATACATAACCGAATAGCGGCTAGCGGCTGGTCCGTTCGGGTCAACCTTAATTTATAATTCGTGTTTTTAATTTTTATGAGATTGATCGATTATAAAAAGAATGGATCGTCTTGGTTAATATATTGTCATATTTTGAATTTAATTCTTTATCACATTAGTCATATACTTTGTACATTTTAAGTTTTAACCAACACTATTTTCAATAGTAAAATAAATTCAATAATAGAATATAATATGGACTTTCTTTAACTCGATATGTATGGGTACTTGACTCGTGTTTTTTAACATGTAATGAAAAACATTTCCTTTACCCGCTTTGTTGTCATTCCTTTCCGGATATAATTCATTTGTGAATCTGCCAAAAATTGACCCGGAGTAAATCCGTCCAAATCGGTGCTTAATGGACTTAATCATCAATTCATCATTGAAGAATAGCCTCATGCCAAATTCGTGACCTGTAGCCTTCAAAATCCAAAGAAAATGGTCTTTCGTCGCCCCGTAAATTACGAAATGCCATCCGAAAATAAATTTGCACAAATCGGTGCTTAATGGACTTATCATCAGTGGAGCATAGGATCAATAGACTTCTTTATCGGTGGAGAATAGCGTTGGCCTGATTCCGTGATCTGTAGCCTCCAGAATCGAAAGAAAATGGCATTTCAGAAAAATCGCTCGAAATCTATGATGGTACCCCTTTGGAATCTGCCAAAAATTGACCCGGAATAAATCCGCCAAAATCGGTGCATAGTGGAATTAATCATCGTTGAAGAATAGGCTCAGGGCAAATCTGTGACCTGTCGCTTTCAAAATCCAAAGAAAATTGCCTTTCGTTGCCCCGTAAAATACGAAAATGCCATCCAAAAATCAATTGGCCCAAATCGGTGCTTAATGGACGTATCATCCGTGGAGAATAGGATCAATAGACTTCTTTATCGGTGGAGAATAGCCTCGGCCTGATTCCGTGATCTGTAGCCTCCAAAATCGAAAGAAAATGGCATTTCGGAAAAATCGCCCGAAATCTGTGATGGTACCTCTTTGGAATCTGCCAAAAATTGACTTGGAATAAATCCGCCCAAATCGGTGTTTAATGGACTTAATCATCGTTGGAGAATATCCTTAGGCCGAATCCGTGACCTGTAGCCTTCAAAATCCAAAGAAAATGGCTTTCATCGCCCCATAAATTACGCAAATGCCATCCAAAAATAAATTGACCCAAATTGGTTCTTAATGGACTTATCATCCGTGGAGAATAGGATCAATAGACTTCATTATCGGTGGAGAATAGTCTCGGCCTAATTCCGTGATCAGTAGCCTCCATAATCGAAAGAAAATGGCATTTCGGAAAAATCGCCAAAATCTGTGATGGTACCCCCTTTGTAATCTGCCAAAAATTGACTCGGAATAAATCTGCCCAAATCGGTGGTTAATGGACTTAATCATCGTTGAAGAATAGCCTCATGCCGAATCCATGACTCGTAGCTTTCAAAATCCATAGAAAATGGCTCTCGTCGCCCCGTAAATTACAAAAAGACCACCCGAAAATAAATTGGCCCAAATCGGTGCTTAATGGACTTATCATCCGCGGAGAATAGGATCAATAGACTTCATTATTGGTGGAGAATAGCCTCGGCCTGATTCCATGATCCGTAGCCTCCAGAATCGAAAGAAAATGGTATTTCGGAAAAATCGCCCGAAATCTGTAACAGTACCTCTTTGGAATCTGCCAAAAATTGACCCGTTGTTGAAATTTATGATGAACTAATTCTGATTGACTATTGATAGTGATTCGTGTAATTTACTTTCACGAACAATAATAAGATTGAGCATGAAGGGTATATCAACACTCATAATTATTTGTATCAATCACGATTAATTTGGATAGTCTGGTTCAAGATATCAACCGAAAACAATTCGACAATTTTTGTATGCATGCTCAACCTTAATATTTGTGATCAGATAATATGGTTGGGAGACGACCAGGTGGGTTGTGGATTGCATGGCTTGCTCTGGTCTTTTGGTCCGAGAGAATGTAACGAATGCTCGTTTAAAGGTGAATTGGGACTCGACAATTTATTGCGACCTTGTGAGCCTCCTATTCATTTATTTGACACTTTTAACCTATTTGATCGTATGGCTTAAACGGTCTTGTCCAACTAGGAGTATGCCCGATTCTTTTGGGTTGTATCCTTTTTAATATTTTTACCATTAATAAAATTTAATGTAACCAAATACTGGTAGGTTGAATCGGATGTCACCCGGTTACCCATATTCCGGGTCGTTTATCAAAAGGAAAAAGGGAGATTTGGATTCTCGTTGGTTCGTTGGTTGGTGGGTGGTTTCCCCTTTCCGGGTTCGTTTTCTGTTCAGGTTCTGCCGGCTGCGCCGAGTTTTCACTACGGGAGGCACATTACCCACTGAAAATGAAAGAATTTAATTGAACATTTACTGGTGAATTACAGCACCATCCTCATAATTCGTTTATAACCCTCCCAAATCCCGCACAGGAAACAAATACGACAAATTGTGATTAGGTCAGTCGTAATTGTTAATTAGCAAGCAGTGCAAGTTGCCTAATTACGATCATTAAGATGCGACTTTTTTTCCTCCACACCTGCTGGCTGCTGCATGCAGGTTGGCCACCACTCCCCTTTGTCGTCTAGTGGATCCACGACTGCTTAATATTAAGCCACTGGAATCAACTGTCTTCTCCTTCACTAATCATAATTAATTCCTCATGTTGCCTTATTATAAACTTGGCTAATGGGGAGAAAATTCAGATCCATTGCTGACGTCACGACCCTTAAATCTCATGAGCTGGAGGATGTTTGTGTTACTAATTACTATGTTTTTTTTTGTCTCAATAACATAAAAACATATATATAAAGGAATATGACTGTCATCGTTTATCAAGTTTTGAACTATATGATTAAGTAAAGTCTAAATAATCTCATCATTAAGATATAATTGTATATCATTTTCCTTGCTCCGTATAGTTATAAACACAAATCATGACATTCACTCCCAAAATCGTGTGTTGTTATGTATACGTACGTCTCGATTACTACGAGAGCACTCAAGAATCCCAAGACATTATATGCTTGGTCTCGAAAAGTAAGAAATTCTCGTTTCCATTTCTCGACTGATAAATAAGTGTCCTTAAAACTCATGAATTGGTCATTAATTAATAATATTAAGTGTGTTAAGGATTTCTCTCTTTTCTCTAAGATCTTGATAAACTTGTTCCACTCTGTAAACTATTTTAAAGTAGTTCACTTAATTTTGTTTGACATAAATTGTTCCAAGATCATTTTTAATAAGGAACTTATTTATAGCTGATCTTTTTATTTCAATTATGGTGAACTTTTTTGGAATACACAAACCCTAGAAAATCTTACATGTGAACGCTTTTATACACCGGTCCGATCCGACCTCCTTTCGACGGACGGGCTTGGCGAATCCAATTTCTGAGAGTAAAAAGCCCACCAGATTCACGAAGCGGCACGTACTAGCCCACGGCCCACGTAATGTATTAAATTTCAAAGAACGCTCTAAAAAAGACCAGCAAAGCAGGAGGGAAAATGAAATGGCGCCTAAAAACTTTTATGAGAAGCGGCAAATCGGCGGAACCGCCTAAACGCATATGTCTCCGGCTCCTCGGTCAATTCTCCTCCTCAGCAGTCAGTCCCTCTTTCGCTCTGCTCGCTCGCCGCCGAAGGAGGAAAGGTGCGTTCTACATCACCTGCAAGGCTGCAACTCTCTCTCTCTTCATTTCTGTAACGAAAAGCCTTGGGCATTTAATGAAATCATGCTTCCACTTGCGAATTCCAGTTATTCTGAGTGATTTTGATATGATTTGAGCTGTTTTCTCGTCGTTCTAAGTGACCTGAAATGGTTTGGAAATTGTGTTCGCGTAGTATTCTTCGATATCTGACTGAAGTAGTTCATGTCGAGAGAATTTTCATCTCGTTTAGGTAATTTCTTCGCATGTAAGCCTGGTGGGTGCAGCTGCAGCTTAAGCCTATACAGAGAGAACAATTGAATCGATGCTGTTTGATTAAGCGGATTGAACATGTGCTTCTGTTGCAGCTTGGGATTTTTATCTAGCAGAAAGTTGTGAGTTTGCTATGATCCAATTAGGAGAAAGTTAAAGCCATTTGAGTAATCATGTTAGCAAGCTAATGCATCAGCTACTCCTGAACCATTCTGATTCTGATGAATGATGGTCATTGACATAGTTTTATATGTAACTAGGAAAGGCACAAGTGATATTTGGGGGATAGTTAACCTGAAGTAAGAAAAATGCTCAAATATGAGCACAACTCTGAGAAATTACAGTTTTCTGCTATGTATGCACAATCCTACACCCTATATTATGGGAAATCCAACAACTCGTTCGGGTTACCGAGTCTCTGTCATTGAATGTGATCCCTGCAACTTATTGTGTCCTCAAGCATGGTTTCACTATCACGGCAAGATTTGGTTCGGAAAAAGGTTTTGGACAAACTCTCTATTCATCATCATCTGCTATATTCTTGTCCTTTTCCTTTTCCTTTTCCTTTTCCTTCATCTTGCTGGCTGGTAAGTGCAGTCTCGGCTGCAGAGGACGTGGTGCTCTCGTCTTTCTGTCGAACCCCCTAATGCAAACAAATCCTGTATTGGAAAAGCAAACTTAAGTAAAACTTGTCCTAGTTACATGTATTCCTCGTAGGAGTAACTTTATTGAACCTTTGCAGCGTGGCTATGATTTACAGTTTATACATTTAGGACAGAAAAAGAAAGGAGAGCAACACAATTCATACCTTTCCAGAAACATTGTTGGATTTGCTCGGTAGTCAAACCTGTAAATAAGTATAGACAGTTCTTAGATCCTGTTGCATGACTGTTTCTTGTTTCGTTGAACACGGTAATCAAACAAACAGTTTCATAACATTACCCCTAAATATTGTTGGTACAGATGTTCCGAAGTAGACAGTTCGTCTGGGTAGATCCCATAGCCACTCCCTGGGTACATCAATTGGATTTTTACTAGTCTCGTGGTCAGCAAATACCTGTAGGAAAAAAAGGTATGTTGTATTACTACCCTTCTAATAACTAGAGAGAAAAAAGATGCTGCAAAGCTATGATTACCTCATTCACTTGATAGTATGTTCCATTGAGTGGGAAACTTCCTCTCATCGCTGTTCGACAGGGTATCTGTGTCATGTGGTATGTGCATTTGTCAGCAAGCCACACACCGTAGTATATTTCAATGAGTTATACTGCATAATAATGCGCATTTTGCTCACCAGAATAGTTCCTCTAACTACTTGACGTCTTGCTTCCAAGAAGCTGCAGCATGAGGGACATGTCCCTTCATCGCATAATTTCCCCTGTGACTGTGATGTGCATATTGTCTTAGGTGGGACAACAGACTTTGCCGTTTCACCTAGTGAAGGTAGTAGTTGAGGAAAAAATCAGTAGTAGTTTGAAAATTGCGGAGTTTAGGTCATTCACTCTTTGAAACAAAGTTCACATACCTGGGGTCCATATTGCAAGGAGATATGGAGATGGATCATCAGCTTCTCGCTTCTCCAACTGAACCGTGAGCAAAAATCAGTTAGTTTTTTTTTTGTTACAATAGAGTGAATAAACTGATTATTTGAGAAAATTGCAGAATTCACTAACCCTTTTTACAAGAGGATGAGTATCATGTAGCTCATATCTGCCGAATTATAGAATAGAAAATGAATTAATATATGTTGGACTAGCATGCTACAATAAATATATTCCATCCAAAGAAGCACATATAGAATATTTTGGGAGGGGAATGGCTACTTACACTTGGTGCTCAGTTCTTAGCCGGCTAATGTTTTTAAGCTTTGGTGGAGGAATGTATGTAGCCTCTGTAGCCATAGCAACCAAGTCCAATGAAATGTCACCTTCACGAAGTTGCATGTTATGTTTGATATACGTCTCGATATTCTGAGCAAGCTCTTGAACATTCAATGGGATGGTAGGAATCTCCCCATTCAAATTAAGAGTGGGGATTTCATCAGGATCCTCATAAAAGGCATCTTCAATGTCATCTATTTCGACTTGAGTGCATTGTGGTTCTGGTGATAATGGCTCCTCAATGATGGGCTCACAGTTGGCTCTTGCTTTTACTGTTGGCAGGTGCAACATCCCTGGCTGGCAACTTTCTTGTTCGGGCACAGTTGACGTTGAGTGAGATACTGACTGCTGAGTTTCTTCACATATAGTTGGTGGAGGTAATATAGATCTTTGAACATTTTGCATAGCTGGGCCGGTGAAAGTTGGCCGGTCTTGAGGTTGTGCAGTAACTATTCTTTTTTCCTCTGGTCCTGGAAGGAGTTTGGAACTGCATCGACACATTTGAATACCAAATTCATAAGTCTCACAGGGAGGGTATTGCTTTCTTCAAACTGGTCTGAAGACAATAAGATGATTCCAGTACACTATTTTAACTACTGCACAAAGCAAATGGTAACTTTGCTTTTATGGTAATTTTCCCTGATGATTCCTTTGTTTCGTCAACGTTATCTAGCATTAGTTCAAACTTCAGATTTGTATCTAGTTTCAAATATAATATTTGTCGGAAAGTTTATTATGAATGTCTAAACTAATTCTGCACTATGTGCCTTCAATTGTAATCTGTTCCAATCTTAGTAAAAATAGCAAAATTGTGCACAACATACCTTGCAAATGCACTGGCAAAATGTCTACATTCTCCTCTCATTGGGCACGCATTACAGTTTGGCTTGCTTTTTGTACAAAAAACCTGCATTAATTTAAAAGATTCATGTTTGACTTTAGCTTCAATAATAAAATGATAACTCCAGTAGCGGTTTAAATGTGAAGGGAACATGCCTTTCCAAATGTGATCAGCTGGTAATGCAATTCGTACCTGCCATTTGTTGTCCATTAGGCCAAATATGTCACTTAAAAGCAGAAGATAATGGAACCATGCACATGTATTCACATACAGATGATGTGTACAAAATAAAATAATTAGGGTTTTGTCTTTACAGTGTTTTCTGATCAAGTTTGCACAGTCGAGGCCATAGATACTTCTGAATTGTGTCCAGTATAGGATACCTGCAGAGTGAACACGGCGTTAATGCCTTGCAGTGGCCATGCATTTATTCCCTTTCTCAATTTTATCATGGTTGGTGATGCTTACATTTCCAGTAGATGCAACTGAAGTGAATCAGGCAGTGGTTGCAGGGGGACCCATCCAAGTCGGACAGCTATACGCCCAACATTCGTGTCGACCTGTTCTTGGTGAAGTTATGAGTGGTTGTACGAGTAACAAATCCTTAATAGGTTTCAGAACTATATATGTTGAAACTTACTGGAAAGGCTAGGTGATGAAGCGTCAAAAGCCGGACACACTCTACACTTTTCAGCCCCAGTCCATTGAAGCTTAGCAGATACTCCCTACAATAGTAAGTAGTGCTTACTTTTCCTTGACAAAAAAACTAGTGTTGATTGCATTTGCAAGAGCTCATTGTTCTCAAGTACGTCCAGAATATGTTCATCCAGTGAAGTGCAATGCTTTAAAATTGAGACTTTTGTACTTACTTTGCTCTGTCTGGGGGAACATCTCTTAACCACTCGAGATCTATGCTTCCATGGTAGGTTATCAGTTTATTAAGAAACTCCTGCAAGTTAGTGAATGGTCAGTGGTAATGAAATACTAGGGAATTTAATGATAGCCCTCGGTTAATCAGTACAATGTGTGATGTTAATCTATGTACCTTCAAGCGCCCTGCAAGCACGTTGTTCATTCCACGAGCTTTGATCGTCTTGGCAATCACATCCACGTCTGAACATCTTACAGCTTCCCAGTCCACCGAGTCCTTTGCGTTCTCTGCTCTCTCCTTGTTTATTCCATTTGGCAATACACTTCTTCTTAGTGCCTCCCAGTCATCATCTTTGATCTCATCACCAACCCTTCTACTTTTTGCCTTTCTCTTAGCAGCATCCAAATCTTTTATATCCTTGCCTTTGGAAGATGCATTGTTAATCAAGTTTGGCCCTGATGTGTTCTGTGAGGACTTCTCCTTCTCAAATTTATCACTACTCTCCACAATATCAGACATCCCTCCTGAAAGGTTTTTCAATGGTTCCTTCGGTATTATGGTATAACCAGATTGAGCATTCTGCTGCAGCTCAACTAAAGAACTATTACCTCCACCCAAGCTGTAGAGTTGGGCTCCACCATCGCAAGTATCCGCTTCTTGCGAGTTGGTCTCTGTGCATGACTCTTTAATGTTGTCAAAAGTTTGACTGACTGGCGAATTTGAGTTTTGTGATGAAGTCTGAGAGGAGATCACTGATTCAGCGTAATTCTCTGTGCCAGGTGTCGAGCAAATATTAGTGCTCGTGCTGCTTGTGGAATCCAGGTTATGGGCCACTTCTGTTTCTTCATGCTGAGGGTCACAAAGAGTCATGGAAATCTGGTCAGAAATGGATTGATTTGACATTTCATCCCAGTTCAAGCATTCGTCATCTGGCATAGAAACTGTCGGGTTGATCACTATGGACCCTCCCTCTTCGCACTGTGGCTCCTGATTTCTCTTAATGGGGAAACGAGCAGCCATTGCCATAAATGCAGAGCTGAAATGAAAACGGGAATGTAAGCAGATCTCCCTTTCTATTTATAATCTGATATAGTTATTCAATGGATTACCTTGAAAACCTGTCCTTACCTAGAAAGATGGTCTGAAACGTTTTGAGTCAGAAACACTCCAATAACTGAATCCACAACTGATCCTTTCCATTTCGAGAAGCGCCTATCCCCTTCAAAAGTTGCAATGTAATGTTAGAAAATGATAAAGGACATGAGATAATTTCTGAAGTCATTTGAGATCCCATGGTGCCCATACTGGGGAGATTTTCAAAATCCACTTTTAAGAAAGACTTTTTAGGGTGCAGGAATAGCATAACCAGATGCGAGGTACTAAGGTTGATTATGGGAAGTCTAACTGAAATCGTAAAAATACCGTAGGCATCAAAGTTTGATAGACTTCATAACATTTCATTGAAACTTATTTGAGTGCCCTCCTTGAAACTTCTAGTCTAATATACTAAATTGGACGTCAGTATTCAACCACAGTGTTTAATTTCGTATTTGGTAGCAATATAAACCCTGATATCATCAATAGGGCATGGGATGTAGGATGCGAGTCACCTGTATATGATTGGGTTCGAATATTGTGAGTACATCATCAAACTAAAGCATGGACGAACTGTTTGTGTTACCTTGTACAAGATGCATTCTTGCTATAAATGTATTTGTGCGCCCACGGAAGATGCTTCTCTCCTCTTCCCAATACTTTGCCTTTGCTTCATCCGTTCCATCAATACCTTCACTGTCTATGCTTTTTAGTAGAAGATTAAACACCCTAAGTGTTTCGTCATCTATTTCAACCTTTGCCCTGGGTCGCTTTCTCTTCACGGTTTCAAATGGAACCATCCTATTATCCCCTCTGTAGATAACCATTGCATTCTGCTTCTTTTTGCTTTTGCTGGCCCTGTAGGGAACTAGTTCTTTTGATGCTGAAGTTGTTTTAGGGCGTTCCCTATTGATGTTAAGGTGCTTTAATTGCTCAGCTAACTCATCCACATTGAGCATCTGGTTGAATAGCAAGTCCAGGGAACCTGCATCAAGCACTAAGATATAAGGAAAACAGTATAGAACATTATGAAACTTATCTATTCAGTGACAGTTCTGGTTCCAAAGGCTGACCTGAGAATTGGTTCTGATTAAATAAAACCATCCTCCCGTGTTGTCCTTTGTCATGAGTACTTGAGGATGCATATCTACCTAGAGAATCCCGTTTACTATTCTTCTTTGGCTTCTTTAAGGTTGCTTGAGGGCCTGCAAGTAAGGCTCCCATACGTACCTCACGCCTGTTTAAGTTCTGAATGTGCTGATTGTTATGCTGAGGGATAGTGACAAGAGAACCCAGATCGTGAACCCGAACAGGAGCTTTAGACCTTCTTTTTGTTGACTTATCAGTCTCATTTAGTGGACTGGAACTGTTGAGGTTATATTGAAGAAAGCCAGCAGATTCTGCTTTTCCAACTGTCCCAGAAAGAAGTCTGTTTTCGTGAGAATGAGCATAATAAGAAAAGTGATCGACTGTTCTGGCAGCTGGGGAGACAACAGGTATGCTAGACACAGCAGAATTTTGGGCCTTTTCGCCCCTCTTTTTCCGACACTCTGGCATTAGTGTCCAAGGCCATGTCTGGCATATAGAGAACCCATTGTAAAAATGCCCAGCCATATTTATGGCTGGTTCACTAGGACTGGAATTTGTGTTCCGTGAAACACTTGCGTCACCGAGCTCAGTCAAAGTTCTGACTGAGCCACTACAGCTTGATGCATTAGAAAGTGAAATTTGGGTGTTGTACTGCTGCATGGACTGAGTGGCTAACATCCCTTTTCCTTTAGTGTTTGCTTGATTTCCTGCCTTCGGTGAATAACTTTTAAGCAGGTCTGTGACGGAACTTTCGAAGTCGAATGGAGATCCTGTGGAAGTATTCTGCATCCTCACTTCAATTCCATCTCCAAAAGAAATGGACGCCGTTTGGCTTTTTGCAACTGGCTCAGACACCAAACTAGGTGAGGATAGCTTCTTTGTAAACCTTTGATTTCCTGCTTCTTCTGAACTAAAATCTAACGCCCTCCTACAGCTCTTTTTGGCAGGTTGAGGACGACCTTGTGGATCCACAGATTCCCCTGTTGCTTCTCTAGGAATAGTTGTACATCCTGACTTTCCTGCACAAAAACAGTAAGAGCAAATTGGTCATGACTTTGGACTCCCCTCAAATGCTTCTTGAACAAATTAACGATATTTGCAGGCTATATATTCTCTTACCTCCAGAGATTGCTTCTGATTCCCCAACTGTTCCTGTTGGACTGTCTCTTGAGCCCTTCCTTGTGTACTTCCTCTTAATCCTTGGTGTGCCCTCTTTAGTCACCGGAGAAGTTAGAGTGTCAGACTTCATGTTCTTCCTCTTGCCGGTCTGATTCGCATTTGATGTGGCAGACTCTTCACTGTTCGGGATCTCTACCTCTCCACTACCATTAGCAGCAGCAGCAGCATCAGCTGGAGGACTCAACTTGTTCTTCTTCTCATACTTCCTCTTGGGCTGCTTCGGGGTCTGTGGTTTTGGGGTCTTCGGTTTCTTGCCTTCCACCAGCACTTTGGGTACGTGCTTCTTCCTCTTGGGTTTCTTCGTTGGTGGTGTTTTGTTCAAGTCGATGACACTGAAGTCCACCTTCTCCCTGTTCTGATTCTCCTGTGTCGTCAACCCAATCATCGATGAAGAATCCGGAACTGGATCCGGAACCAGAACAACATTCCTAGCCTCAGAAGTAAACTCAAGGTTAAGTGGACTGATAGCAGCTTGCTTGTCTGCTGTTTCTCCACAAGACAAACCATGTCTACTCTCCACTCTCACATCTCTCTCCATTGCTGCAGGGGTTCCGTCCATCGCCTTGTGTGGTGTCACAGGAGCAAAGAGAAAGTCTATTCCCCCAAATGACGACGAATCCGCGGTGCTCTCATGAGGTAAATTGAGGTCGTACTGAGCAGGAACTGTAAAAATCTCCAAAAAATTTAACAATCCTTCTTAACTTTCATAAAGCTACATCAAAATCTACTCTTAAACAACAAAATCTGACAGCATATTTTACCTGGATCATGAACTCCCAAATTAAAGGGTGTTGTATTCCATGCAGAAGAAGAAGCAGGGAGATCTCCTCCCATCTCTAGAGTCGTGCTCTCATCCAGACCCAGCAGGCATGTGAAAGGAATATCCTTCCATCTGTCCAATTCAATTGCATTGCATGCCTCGAATTCCCCACCCGCCGGAGATGTAAACCCCGACAACCAGTCGGTGTGCTGCTGCTGCACTGGATTACCCTGCCCGTCGGTGTAGATCACCGACGGCGCCTGAAAAAACGACCTCAAGCCCGAATCCATCCCCTCAGAAACCCCTTTGAGTCTTCTCCTCAACTCTCAGTAGAGGAAAATTTTAGTTTTTCTCCCCACCCAACTGCCTGAATTCTGCTCCTTTGATGCGGTTCTTCTAGCCCAAAACGAAATTGCTTCCCTCTTCTTTGTCCAATTCTAGAGGCATTATTGTAGATAGACGAATCCTAGATAGAATCAAACACACAAAAAAAAAAAAAATCAGGAAAATAGGGATTTAGAGAAAAACCCTCCTCTCCTAACAGTCGGCCATAATTCCTCTGGGAGCAGTTACCTGGCAGATCTGTGGAGCTCTCACAGTAGCTCTGTGGTAGAGCAAAGAGAGGAGAAAGGAGATTGTTTACCAAACCCAAAAAAAGAAGAAAAACGAAAAAGCCTAGAGAATCGTTTATTAAGTGAAAAACAGTAACTACGATTGAATGCTAACAACAATAGTAAAAATTAATTGTGTAAAAATGGAAAAATCAACAGCAACAAATTGGCACGAGACGAAGGAAAAAAAAAACTGAAATCACCTCCAGCGATTCTTATCTCCTCGCAATAAGCCAATTTACTCTCTTTCTGTTGTTGCTTTTGGCCCAAACATAACAGAAATCAAAATAAAAAAAAACCAAAGCTAAAAACCTTCAAAGGGGGCATTAACAAGGGGAAGATTAATATTTCATTAAAAACGGAGTTACCTGAACGATTGAGTCAATGCCGGAGATCTGTTTCAGTCGGTCCGCGAGAGAGAGAGAGAGGTAGAGTTAAGTGCAGAACTCTTCCTAGTGAGAGAACGGAGAAAAACCAGGAGGTGGGATTGAGAGAGGAGACTTCATAGAGAGAGAGAGAGTTAGCTAAGGAGAGACCGAACGCGAGGGACCAGCGGGTTTTATAATTTAACCCTATTATAACTCCCTGCTAGGTGACTGGCTCTCCCGGTAAAAAAAAAAGCTTCTCTTTATTCCCTTTTTTTTCTTTTTCCCGCGGCAAAGTTGGTTAATTGGCGAGTTTAGCATGGTAGGGTGGCGGCAACGTTAGTGGTAGACGTATTTGCATTATCACTAGGCCAACCGTAATATAATAATATTTTTACGTGCTCTCCCATATTATGGATGGGGAAGTTCCATTTTTGGCCTTCTAAGGTTTGTTATGATTTGTGGCTAGGATTTTAGTCTGCGATTGGTTCTTGACAAGTCAATGGCGAGATTAGATTTTGTTGCTAGTGGTGAATCCTTGGCTAGTTGTAAATTAAACAAAACAATAATAGTTGCTTTTGATTGCATTGTAAGTGGTAAGTGAATTTACCCTATGACAAAATACCATACTACTTAATGGAATTTACTAGGTTTTTCGTTTGAGAGAAGGTTTTCTTACACTTGTTTTAATCATAATAGAGAAGAGCAGGAAAAGTGTGGGAGTGTGGGGTTATTTGTGTAAGGAGATGTTTTAGGTGTCACTCAAGTTTGGCGGAGTTTGTTGAGGGATGATATTTAAAACAACTGACATGTGAAGCATTGATGATCGCGGCTAGTGGAGAATCCAACAGAGGGTGTAAACACGTGAGTTGATTCGGCGACATTAAGATAAGAAATACGTGGCGAAACGAGTCAACATGTGGCGTCCATGCCGGTCTTGTTCGGCGTCCGAACTAGGGGTTTGTCTTCTTGCTTTTCTTTTTTCAACTTTGCTTTAAGTTCATCCCTTTTCTTCTCTTTGACACCATACATTTGCCCGTGAAGTCCGTTACATATACCGGCTTTTGACCCAAGTCGTTTTACTTCGTCTGCTTTCTTTTCATGCATTCTGTCTTATTCGAAACTGATTTTGTTTGTTTCGACATTTACCACTTAGTACACAAAAATGGTTTTGAGGGTGTGCGTTTCTCGCCAACCCTTTTCATTGATCTATATAGGAGACTAATTTAGCGGGGAACATAATACTTAATTTGAAATTTTTCATATCAATACATACTCTTAGGAATATGCTCTACTCATTGGAGTTTTGCCTTTCTGATGTTTTGAACTTGATTTTTATCATTTGTCATAATCACCCCCCACCCCCTCCTATGAATATGAACCCTTTACTAGTTGGAAAACATGGTAGTTCTTCTCCTAAGGATGTCTTGTCAGCTAAAGTATCTTAAACATAGGGATATAGTAAAACTATCACTAGTCGTCACTTCACATATTCAACGTAGCATGATTCATTAATGAGGAGTGGTTGACGTGATGAGCGAATTATCGTTCGATAATGTTTGAAATGAATCTTTTGATGATTTATTTTACTGATGATATGATCTAACCAAATTCAATCTGTTTTGAGTTATTATAATCGATGACGTCTCATCAAAAAGATTATAGAAACTTTTAGATTATGCATATCTAGTTTGCTTCATCCACCTCTTTTAGAATACTTCTAACTGGTCGAGTTGGGGCTACAAGTTTGTCATTCTTATCCCTAGTCTAATTACTAGGCTAATCAATTCATGGGTGTCATTTCTATATCAATGCACATGTTAAATCTCGGTGTAGATTGACTTAGCGAAATATTTCTGAATCTTTTATTACAAATTTGGTACCATAGTTTCTCTATGTGATCTAGAAATAAAATTAAACTGATATCTGGTTGCTAGTTTTTCATAATTACTATTCGAGGTGGCACATGGAATTGGAGTCATTGATTGGTGGATTCATGGATAAAATGGATTGGGGATTTATGGATTGGATCAAATGTTTGGTGGATTGATCTATGAATCCAAATGACATCCAAGACTTGGACCAATATGTAAATTTTCGAAAAGTTCAGGTACTAAAATATCATAAAAAAATTTAGGTACCAAAATGTAATTTTCCAATGATATTTTTCGTATAAAAATAAAATTTAGGTACCAAAATATAAAATATAGAAAGTATAAATTGATGGATTGGATTCTAATTGCCACTTGAGTTCCAACATCCTAACTTAGTAGGATAATATAATTCTGATCAAATTATTACATTTTCAATGCCAAAAATATGTATTTTGTGTTACGTTTTTTAAAATATACTGCAAGAATAATAAATATCTAGTGAATCATAGGCGGTAGCATGTGTTTTGGGCAAGTCACGTGACCGTCGTCATGCATAATAAATAAATTGTTTATTTATTTATTCATTTATTTATTCAGCACACCCCATTATTTAGTCTGCTACCGGCGGGCTTGTGCGCTCATTGGCAACCTTTAGTACCGGTTGCATTCGTCCATCCCTCTCCTCTCGCTCCCTTCCTCCTGGCCGAATGTCAGGAAAAGGGAGGGAAAGTTTGTTATTCGTTTGGATTCAAATTTGGGATCATTATTAATAATCTGAATCGCTATTCGTCGCCCTAAAATTCAAATTTTATCGCCCTAAAATGCATTAAATTTACACTCTTATCCCTAATCCCAAATTCAACGTAAACCTTAAACAAAAAATATCTTACAGTGCCCAGACATCGCCGAGCTCCTTCATCTTCTAACCGCCGGTGCCGGATTGTTTTCTCCGGCCGCTTTGAGCTCTCATGTAAAAATTATCCATCCCACCGCTCTGGTCGAGAGTGACAACTCCATGCCAGCTGCCAATTGACAAGCTAAGGCAAAAGCAAACACGACGTGAACTGGTCGCCGTATGAAGAAATACAGAGACTTCAGAGACTGGAGGAGGTCACGGCAGCTCCGGGAAGGCCTCACCGGACATGGCAAACCATGGAGAATAGACAGGGTATTCGAGCTGCTTAACCTGCACCCATCAATTTGTCATCACTCTAACGTTGCCAGGAGAGCCAAGCCAATCAAAACAAAGCCATCAATAATCAAGAAGCAGAGGTAATGTCCTCAAAAAGCTTCGGCAAAATGATTTGAACCAATCAATCAAGCAGATAACCAAATAAATAATAGGGAACTCCACCAAATGGAGAGAGGCGCCGGCTGAGCAGGATAATGGCCGGTGACGGTGGGAGATCTAAAGCCGGCGAGGGGAAGTGCCCGGCAGTGCTAATAGGAAGAAGCAGTAGAGAATACGATTTATGTAATTAAGGGTATTAGTGTAAATTTAACTTAATTAGGGCGATGAATAATAAATTTTAGGGCGACGAATAGCAATGCCCTTAATAATTCGAGTTGTTGGAATAAAGTTAATTATTTATTATATTTTTTTACAATATTGATATTTAGACTTTAAGATTCAATTACTATAATACTATTTAATTTTTTGTTTTCCAAATGGAACACTACCTTCATCTTATTATATGATTTATTTATCTTTTCATGGCTAAAATTAAAATTGCGACCATTTATTATTAAATTGAAGTTCAATATGTAATCAGCGTCCCTGTGAATCAAGATTAACAATCGGGAAGAAATTGAATTTTCTGAATGACAAAACAATGGGACAATGAAGTTTGGTGAACATATGCCTCTCATTTCAATAGTATTATCTAGTGTAGTCCTTTATTTATTTCCTAGCTTACTAATTATTTATATCGTTGTGGACTTGTGGCTGCTTTTCCACATTGACTTCGTCCATAGTGGAAAAGTGCAAACCGTTATTATGGTTGGTGTCAGTGATTGTGGGGTCGGATATATCTTTTCGTACAAATTCTTTCTTTTTTATAAATTTTTTAGAGAACTAAGTCAAAAAATTTGTAAATCAATTTAGTAAAAGTCATATCATGCTATATTGTCTTACCATTGTCGGACAAGAGCACAATAAGAGCATGACATGGTCTTTATGTTATGCTCCCTCAATTTCAACCAACCCAACAATATGAACTAGTATCTTAGGATTCAGAATATATCATATTATTTTGACATGAAATGATGTCATTTCACCCCATCTTGGAATCTAAGCTACTTCTATTGACGTAAAAATCAGCTATAAATAAGTACTAGATCCCATTCCAACTTCAGTCTTAGCATCTTAGTTTAATAGATACAAAATTAGAAATACTTCAACAATTGAAGGGATGAAGAAATAGTATGAAGGTAGCCATGGAGGCTTGAGCCCTGGATAGTGGATATGGGGTGTGTATCATCTGGTACATAGAATAAGTGTTGATATACCATGTTCATTGTTTAGTGATGAAGCGTGACCTGAGTTATGACTTTTGTTATCTTATGCAATGCAAAGTTGATACGATTCTTCTTTTTTATGTATTGATGTCGTCTTACGTGACGACACGTAGAAGTAAAAAAGGAAATATAAAGATGGCATATCTCTTGATTTTATGCTGATGTGAGTTTAAGTTGACAGTAGACTACATGTTGTATTGTTAACCCTTTTAGGAGACAGAGAACCATAGATGTCATAATACTTTTGAAAATATACACGTGACCTCATATTTTCTTTGACAAATTGACATTGTGAGTCTTTGTTATTGGACGATAAAGTATGACCAACAACAAGAGTATAATATCCTAGGTCAAAACAAGTTGATAAGATGTTATTTTTGTGTCTCCAAGTCATTGGGTGATTGGAAGACATAAAATGGATGAGAAAGATGAGGTTCCTCGTTTCCGAAAAACTGCAAGCTTTTAGGGGATATTAGTTTAACTATAGTTTTTATATTTATTGTTTTAAGACACTAAAAACAATAACAACGCATAAATGCTTAAAATGTGCTTAGGATGTCATCTAAAAGCATCAACATGTTTTGAACAGCTTTAACTCCGAACAAGTTATATAGAAGTGATAGGAAGTACAAAAGACTAGTTGGTTGCAAAAACTCGAAAGTAACAAACTAGGTAAATACATGTGAACTCCTCACCTCCCATTCATATAGAAGTGTTGCTTGGTAACTATAGTGATGAAATATTTTGAATAAAGTACCTGAAAAGTATGTGAAGAAAAAACACTTTAATGCATAAGTAATTCCACTCGTGATCGGTCTAGTTTTATTAAACAACATGATAAATGGTATTTCTGGATGATATCTTGATAGAAACACCATTTTGACACTGAGGTAGAATAGTATGTCGAAAGAGAATAGTTTGGTCCAGAGAAAGAATAAAACCATGATTTTGGAGCAAAATTCTTGGTGTTTGGGATGCACATATGGGTTTTGAATTGTAGTCTCGAGGACGTGACAACGTTTTTCATCAATGACAGGGAGTCTTTGAAGATTATACAACTTGGTGGTGAAGCTCAACTAGTGGGAAGATCACACTTTGGTGGACATCCTCGATAATTCGGAACAAAATATTTGGATAAGCAAATGATGGCAATGAAACGGTTCCCGCTTGCAAGAATATGGCCATCCTTACTGAATCCACATATTGCCAACAATGTTTGTCTTTGGATGTATACATTAGTGTTGTTTGCTAGTCCGACAAGATGCTTAAGTGGAATGTGAAATGGTGACTGAAGGGTTTCTACTAGTGAGAATGTGGTCATCCCACTGAATCCACTTTTTGCCAGTGTTGTTTTTTTCGCTCGATAAATCGATTTTGTAGATTATATGAATTATATAACTTGTGATTAAAAAATGTATAATACAAAATATACAAAACATAAAAGAAAATAAAATGAGGGACAGAACATTAAAGTCATTAAACAACAAGCTAACTATAGCTCCAATGTGAATATATTTATATCCCATCTTTCAGGAACCAATCACTGAGAAACTTTGTGGATGTGTGACTTTTGTGTAGGGTCAATGTCTCCTATATTTATGTTTTTGTCTGATTGTTTATTAGTTTCTTTCTTTCTCTTGTGACAAACTCTTTTATTCATAAAAAAAATACTTGAAAAGATGATTCAAACTCTTGATTTTTAAATTAATTTAATATTCAGGTGTTCAACTTGAAATCTTTTAAAAAGAACAAATGCCCTAACTCCTAGATGTGTACAATGACAATAGTTTGTCAAATCAATATCCACAGTTCAAGGTTAGATCTCCCCCTCCTTTTTTTATTTTTTTTATTTTATTAATGCCTCATGCCTCCCTACCACCCTCTTCATGTAGGAGGGAGAATAGGGGAAGGGAGAAAAATTGGGAGAAATTGCTGGATCAAGAAATTTTCCTTGTTCATGAAGTTTCTCCGCCTCATTTCACCACCCCTAGATTTTCACTCCCTCTAAATTTTCTCTCACCTCCCAAATTTTCTCCCCTTATTTCATGAACATAGTGTACATGCTTAGAAGTGGAATAAACTTGCACATGCACGTGTGATGTGTACAATGTCACGTTATGTAAGAAGTATATCGATGAGTGGAAAAAATATATATATGTCATTTATGAGGTAATTTTTATACAATATTTGACGTGAATAGGCTTCATTATAAGTAAAATAGTATACAAAGTCGTATAACCACGAACCATAGATGGTTGGTTATGAATCAAGTTGTGTGAGTAACAATGAATTAGGGTTTACCTCGACTAGTAAGTCAAGTCAAGCCATACACACATTATACCTAGGCCATTGTTAACATTTATATCTTATATTTGTCACTCTCCAACCTTAAGCACCAATTTCTGATTTAAATTAGAGAGTGTCGTTGTTGTAATTGGCCATTGACCTACTCCCATGCTTAAATCTTTAGTTCTAGGTTGACAACAACATCCAAGCTAACACTAAGCATAGGACATTGCTACTCTCGGAAACTTGTCTCGAGTAAAAATGCATGGTCAAATAAATTTAACTTGGACGTGTGAATAAGGTCTTATTAGTTTCATTGGGTAAGTGGCCAGAAACCGATTATCCCCTATGTTTTATGTTGTACGTTGTTATGTGAATAGAGTTGTTCATGAAGTGACATAATAGTCAAATAAATTCTGCTTTATTTTCCTTTCTTGATTTTTATTCTCGATAACGACAGACTAAATTCTGCTTTATTTTCCTTTCTTGATTTTTATTCTCGATAACGACTCGTTGTAAGAATAACTCATTGTACATTAGACTCAAATCTTCAAATCAAATTCAAGTTGAGACTATTTGTATGGTTGGTAACTACCAGTGTTATTAAAATGGACTTTTATAGAGAAAAACCCAATTCTGTGATTTAGTTGATCCCAATAACTTGAGTTATTAGGAGAGATTCAATCATGAATCATATACCACACATTAACACAGCCCAAATTTCTTGAGTTTGTCGAATATTTACGGATTTGCCATTCGCCCAAATCGCCACCCCAGGCCCATTTACCGTCGATGCCACGGTCATGGTCAGCTGGCCATGTGATGAGATGAACGATCGGTGCTTTGCTTTGAATGGCTCCCACACCCTACTTGTCCTCCCCTCTTTTTTCACCCAGTTTAAGAAAACCAGAAGCCAAAAGAAAGAAAGAGAACGAAGAAGGGACGATTCAACTGATGTCTATGTTAAGACAAAAGGAACCCTCCACTGCACTCAACTACAACGAAGCTTTTCTGGAAAGAACCAACATAACTCAAGTCACAAAACTGAATTCGTATTATGTTTAACATTTACTATCCTGAAATGAAAATCCCTTCTTGAGTAACACAACCGTGAATTGGGTCTCCATTCTCCAATAAAACCAACTACTCAGAAACTTGCATCTAAATTTCAGTTGGGTGTGTGGTCGATTCTGTGGGGAGACAATGCAGAAGGTAGAAAGCAGGCACTGGCGAAGTTATTTGCAGACATAGAGCATAAAGGAGCAGACCGAAATATTCGCAGCCTAATGAATCGTTGTTCATTACCCTTTTAGGCTTCTCCAAAAGCATCTCAGACAAATAAGATAACAGAAGAGGAAATGCCATCTGTACATATAACTCAAGAGTACAAGGTAACAGTTACAAACTTTTCACTTGAAGTATAACCAAGATCATTATGCCAATATCACGCCTTATGAATATGAAGAAGCTCCCCCAAATAACTTCATTTAACAGATCACATGTTGATAGGGAAGGTCCTCACTAGGGTTCGGATCATCTACACCTTTAATGCTCAATTCCGAGCACAAAATCTGGGCTTCTTCCTCTTTCCCTTGCTCTCGAAGGCCAGAGGCTAGTTCATTGCGCATACCGACGTTTGGCAAGAGATCATTGTCGTACATTTCTCTGTACCAAGAGTATGCTCCACCAAAATCCTTTAGTTCACAGTAGCCTTTAATCAGAATACTGTAAGTATCAGCTTTTAGGGCTATCCCTCTGGCCTTCATGTCGACAACGAGATTGTTCACTTCCGCCAACTTCCCTTCTCTAAGGCATCCCAGAATCAGACTATTGTAGGTCATCTTGTCTGGTAGAATGCCCCTAGCTTTCATCTCATCATGTAACCTGAAGGCTCTTTCAACAAGTCCAGCCTCCACAAGGGAAAAGATAATGGCATTATACACAACTCTGTCAGGAACCAAGTTCATTTGTGACATTTCATTGAACAGTTTCTCCACAATCTCCACCCCTTCCTTGCTACAGACATTGATCAAGGGATGGTACGTACTTACAGTAGGTCTGATTCCTGACTTCTTCATAGTTTCGTAGACCTCGAGACATTTCTGCCTCTTTCCAGCATTTGCATACCCAGAGATGAAGCAGTTGTAGGTTATGGCATCTGGGCTAATACCATGGTTGGTAATTTCTTGAAGCAAGTCTTCAGCTTCAGTTAACTTCCCCTTTTTACAAAGACCGTTAATCAATGAATTGAAGGTCACAAGTGTAAACGGGATTTCACTCCTCGACATCTCATCAAAGAATCTCAAAGCATCATTCAACTTCCCAGCCAAACAGCTGCCATCAATGAGCATATTGTATATCTGTGTATTGGCAAGAACCCCCTTTCCCAACATATCTCTAAGCACTATTTCTGCTTCAAGGATCTTTCCCTGCTTGCAAAAACGGTTTATCAATGAACCATAACTTACGACATTGGGCTTTAACCCTTTGGTTTCCATTTCATCTAGAAGTTCAAAACACCGGTCAAATACACAAGCTTGTCCATAGCCATCAATCAGAGTGTTATAAGTCTCCACAGTTGGGGCAACTCCCTTCTTTACCATGTTCTCTATCCACTTCTCCGCCTCGTTCATCTTCTGCATTTCGCAAAACTTGTGAATCAAGCAATTGAAAGTGATACTATTTGGCCTCAACCCAATTCTTTCCATGCGCTCCAAGGTCAAAATCGCTCTATCCATGTCGCCAACCAGACAGTACCCGTTCACAATATTGTTGTAAACCGCTTCATCAGGAGCTAGACGACTCTCCAGTTTCGACAAAACCTCTTCAGCCTTCTCAACTCTACCTTCTTTGCACAGCCCGTTCAAAAGAATACTACTGGTGTAGTTATTGATCCGAACTCCGTCAGAAATGGCTGTCTCGTACAATTCCAATGCGCCTGCTCCATCGCCACTCTTCGACATACCATCCAAAAGTATGGATACAGTAAAGCCATCCTGCTGAAACCCATATTCCTTCATCTCCTGCAACAGTATTTGGGCTTCTCCCATTCTCTTAGCCTTACACAAGGCACTTAGCAGCGTGTTGAAAGTTACAACGCTCGGCTCAACGCTCTCTTTCCTCATCCTATCTCTCAAACCAAATGCTGCATCTACTTCCCCTACTTTACAATACCCATCGATCAATGTATTATACGTCACTTTATTAGCAGCCAAGTTCCACTTGCACATTTCGTCGAACACCTTCTCTGCATCCCGGATTCTCCTCTCCTTGCACAGCCCACCGATTAGGACATTGAAAAGAAACACATTAGGACGCACTCCACAACTCTTCATCGACTCAAAAAGCTCCGTACCCTTCTTCAGATCCCCCGACTTCACAGCGGCTTGCACAGCTTTCCCGTACATGAACGTATCAAGCCTGAAACCCAACTCCATTGTCTCGGCAACCAAAGCCAGCACCTTTTCAAACTGCTTCATCTCCACCAGCGTCCCCATACACTCCCTAGCAGTTAAAAATGGAGAAAGATCCCTCCTTTCCCTGTAACCTAGACCTTCCATTTTGGACTCGCAGCTTATGGCGAGCAGCATGTGGGAGAGAGTTGGTCTCAACGATGGAGAAGCGACGGAGATGAAAGAGAGCAGATCGGAGGGTGACGAAAACGGAGACTTTGAAAGAACGAGTGATTTGGTGAATTGGTAAGCCGCCGTCTCGCCGCCTTCCTGAAGGAGGCCCAGCAGCTTTCCAACTAGTTCATGGCGTTCCTGGTCTTCGGCTTGCCGTGGCGGAGAGAGCGAGCAGAAAGGAGAAGAAAAAGAAGAGAAGGTCGGAGGGAAGTTATTTATGGGAGTTGGGGAACTGAGTACGGGAAGGAGACGCCGCGGCAGCTGCCTCGCAACCATTGCAGAGCTTCGGCGGTGGTTTCTGAGCTCCTTCTTCAACAGTTAAAACCGTAATAAGGCGCCAACCGGGTGGCCTGCCAGTAGTCACATATCGCCAAAATATCGTGCGATATCATCAAGATATCGCGTTTCGATTTTGGTTTTGAGGGCCGCAAAAACATTCTGCGTTTCGGGTCCCTCTGTTTTCCGCCAAAACTCAAGCAGTACTATACTATTTCTTTATCCGAAATCATTCCACTGTTTTCCGCCATTGCTGCACTGGATTTTCTTTTTTTTTTGATGAAGGTGAGGAATGCATTAAAGAAAACAGTGAAAAGAAACATAGTCTTATACAGTTGTTGCACAAGAGGTGCAGCAAGCAAGAAACATAAAAAAAACCAACAGCGCTGCAGTGGAAGCCCAAAACCAGCCACAATGAACAAGGTAACGAACAACAGATAAAACAAAAGAACAGAACAATCAAGCTGATTAAACAGCACAGCTCCAACCAAAACAATCCATCCCGATCCACCCAACACGCGTCACTGCATCAAAGCGAAGCCGTAGGAGGGATCCAAGCTGCGACGCACATCCAACATCCATCCCATGCCCTCCTCCCTGCTTATCTTTCCGTGAGCGATCAGGTTGTCAACAATGAGCAGAAGGGCTTTCTTAAGAACATCAGCAACACCAAGGCATCTGTCTCTAAAAACACGGCTGTTTCTTTCGAGCCACACCTGCCAGCTAATCACATGAAGAGCGCAAAAGCCAATCCATCCAACAAGGTTATCAGGAAGGTCGCTGCTCCATCTTTGAATGGCCATAAGAATGTCACCTGTCGGCGGGGCAAGAATGGAGCACACTCTGCCGAACCCCCTCCAAACTTGCTTGGCGAAATCACACTCAATCAACAAGTGATTAATGCTCTCCTCCGCACTGTGGCACATGTAGCACCGGTTGGCCAGCAACCAGCCTCTTCTCTGTAGGTTATCCAGCGTGAGGATCTTCTTGTGCGCGACCAGCCACATGAACGCCCTGATTTTGTGTGGGACAAACTTCCGCCACACCGACCTGTCCGGAAAGCTTCTCACGCCTGGGAATCTATTATCACTTAACTGCCTGTACAATCGATGAACAGAAAAACCACAATCTGTATTGGGGGACCAAACAATCCTACTAGGGCCACAAGGAACAAGGTTGACCGCATCCGAATTAATAAGATTAAGAAAATCCACTCTCTCCCTCTCGGCCCCCCCTCTCAAAGTCGAATTAAGAGAAATGTTCCATTCAAGGTGCATACCTGTATTGTTGGCGAGGTCCGACACCCGGGCGTCAGGATCGGTAGCGACGGCAGCAACTCTTGGAAAAGAATCCGCCAAGACATGATTTGGGATCCAACAGTCCTTCCAAAAAGAAACCCATTCCCCACTACCAGGATCGATGTGGCACACCTTCCAGAACTCATCATATTCTTTCGTTATATTAGCCCACACAGATTCCCCAAATCCACTTCTACATCTTTTGCTTTGCCACTCAGAATCAGCAGGGTATTTAATTGAGATAAGCTCTCTCCACCAGCTGCCCCGATCGGTGGCATATTTCCACAACCACTTGATTAAGAGAGCTTTGTTAACACAGTATAGATCCTTTATGGCCAACCCACCATTGTCTTTCGAAGCTTTGCAAAGATCCCAGTTGACAAGCGGCATCTTCCGATCCTCTCCCGTGCCTCCCCAAATGAATCTTCTCTGAATCTTCTCCATTTTCTGAATAGCACCTCTAGGAGCTTTAAAGAGCGAGAAAAAGTATGTCGGCTGACTATTCAAAACCGCACTGTTAAGAACAAGCCTGCCCCCAAGCGAGAGGAGGCGCCCTTTCCAACCCGCAAGCCGTCTCTCCATCTTCTCAATAATCGGCTCCCAAATAGTAGCAGAATTAACTTTGGCCCCGAGCGGATACCCTAGATATCTCACGGCATCCCTGGTCCAATTACACCCAAACACAGCAGCAAAGAACTCCGGATTTGGGACATCGCCCACCGCAATCATCATCGATTTTTCGAGATTGATCTTTAGCCCCGAAACTGCTTGAAAACAGACCAGCGCGGAAAGAATATATAGAACTTGATCCACGGAAGCTTCGCAAAAAATCAACGTGTCGTCAGCGAACAGCAGGTGAGTGACTTCCCCTTCCCTACCAAGATCGTTCATGAAGAACCCTCTGATTTTACCTTCATCTCTGAGTTTAGACAACATACTGGACAGCAACTCCATGATAAGCGTGAACAACCCAGGGGAGAGTGGATCTCCCTGACGAAGGCCCTTCCCTGTGTTGAAAAAACCTTTAGCCTCCCCGTTGATGATGGTCGAAATGACCGGAGAGCACATGGTCCCTCTAATCCAATCACACCATTTTCTGGGAAAGCCCACAGCAGCAAGAGTCCTGAAAAGGCATCCCCAACTCACACAATCAAAGGCCCTCTCGATATCGAGCTTAAAAATTAACCCGGGCCTGCGACTTTTCTTCCTGCTGTCTAAGAGTTCAAAGCCAATCAGCGCTGCCTCCGAGATCTGCCTGCCACGAACCGAGGCCTGCTGGAAAGAGGAGACCAACTTCGGGAGAACCAGACTGAGCCTGCGAGCCAAAATTTTGCTGATGAGTTTGTTCAAGCTTCCCATCAAACTGATCGGCCTCAAGTCCTTAATATCTTCAACCGCATCCCTCTTGGGAACAAGACACAGGAAAGAGTGAGTGATACGCTTGGGGAGAGTCCCCGTCTCGTGGAATTCGGACAAAGCATTCAGAACCTCCCCCCGAATCAGAGGCCAACACCTTTTATAGAAGTCCCATGAAAAGCCATCGGGTCCCGGAGCTTTCCACCCATCACTGTCTCTAAGGCTCGTCCAAATCTCAGCTTCGGAGAAGACTTGCATGAGTGAAGCAGCCTCCGACTCATTCAGCTTAGCAAGTTCAAGGTTCCTAGGGAAGGGTCTCCTAACAACAGATTCCCTGAAGAAAGAGGTGTAGAAATCAACAACCCCTTTCGCCACATCTGCTCTTCCTTCGAACCTTACCCCTTGGATGTTGATGCACTCGATCATATTAAACCTTCTCTTGTTGTTTGCCACCACATGGAAATATCTCGAGTTGTCATCACCCAATTTCAGCCACTGCTCTTTCACTTTCTGTCTCCACAAGATTTCTTGTAATGAAAGAAGTCTGCTTAAGTCTATCTTAAGCCCATTAATGTCATTAATTTCGCCACCACTTAAAGGTCTTGCTTGCCCGGCCAAGTCAAGTTCATTAATCTTGGACAGCACCATCTCAATCCGAGTATTGATATTACCAAATACCTCTTTGTTCCAAACCTTAATAAGGCCCTTCAGATTCTGCAGTCTTTGACTCCACCGAAAAGCAGCCCCAAATCCTTCAACATCTGACCTCATCCACGTCTCCAGATCCCTAAAAAATCTCTCATCTTGCAGCCACATATTCTCAAATTTCCAGGGCCTTCTAATCCTATCCTGAGCCCCCAACTTGATCAGTAGAGGGTTATGATCGGATTCAACCCGCTCAAGTGCCATCATGCTACAGTTCTGATATAGTTGGTCGAACCCCTGATTAATAAACGCCCTGTCAATGCGAGAAAAAGAATCAGAACCATCACCTCTACACCAAGTGAAGAGGCTGCCGCTGAGGGGGATTTCGAGAAGGCCGTTGATATTAATGCACTCATTGAACTCGTCCATCAAAGTAGTATTCCTTCGAGCACCTCTGTAGTCCTCGTGAGACCGAACCAGGTTGAAGTCCCCAGCAATGCATAGTGGGATTTCAGTACCTGAGCATAAATCGTCGATCTCCCTGATAAATGCCAGCTTCTCCTCTCTATCTTGGGGGCCGTAGACCACAGCAAGCGACCACAGTTTCTGAGAACACTCTTCCTGAAAATCAACCTGAAGATAGTAAGCCCCAACTCTAGACGAAACACTCCGAAAGCAGTTTTTGTCCCAGTAAATTGCGATCCCCCCTGCATTGCAGACAGCATTCACAGCCGCCCATCCGCTGTCCCTGCTTCCACTAACCCCTGCTATGAGCTCATCACTACACTGGTTCCATTTCGTTTCAACAAGACCCACAATGCTTGCTTTCCGCCTTGCTAGAAGTCTTTTAACCCTCCCTCTCTTGCCGAAATCTCCAAGACCCCTAACGTTCCACACAATTAAAGAAGGATTCATTATACCATAGATAGATCAACACCCTCGTCCCTGTGTTTAGATCTTCGAGTTCCACTAATGGGAATCTCCACAATTCCCAACCTTCGATGCTCCATTTCCAATTTTGTCCTGCGGGGACGCACCTTCCTCTGGTGCATAAGCCTGGCCTTCCTTTCAACAATCATGTCTCTTTGCACTTGTCCGTCATCGTGATCCAAATTTATCAAATTCGCGACTTCACGGCTTCTATTGACCAAAGTCTCCGCATCAAAAGGGAACTCATTCTCCCGCCATTCCATGGCTTGGCTGTCTGGCACGCAAGAAGGTGAGGGTAAATCAGGCACAATATCCAAGTAAGGGCTGGGGGTTTCTGGGGCTGATAGGGGTGGGCTGGAGGTTGGTTGAGAAAGGGAAAGGATTGAAGGTGATGAGTGTGAGGGAGAATAGGAATTCTGCAGGGTTGAAAAATGGTTCTGGGGTTGGCAGTGGGTTGGGGAGGAGGGGGGGATGGGAGATCCAGAATCGGTACTGCATATAGCCATCGAGTGATGGTTTGGGTCCTGGGATGAGAATAGCAACTCTGGAATGGAAGGGAAAAGGGACGGCTTATCGGGAATGGAAGGGAAAAGGGACGGCTTGAAGTTCAAGGAGATCGAGGAGAGATGAGAAAAGGCTCGGCTGCTGTCGATCGGGATTGGGATTTGGTTTAAGAGAAAATGGAGGACGCTAGAAGGCCCGAGCTGCAGACTGAAACAAAAGGGCCTGGAACCCATATCAAAAATAGGATCAGGGTCTTTCTGAAGGGCCAAAGGGCAAGGGCCCGAGAGGGGGAGGCAGCCCGACTTTGATGGAGCAATTGGGCTCGACCGGACGGGCCCAAATTTTCTAACCCAAACCTTCTTAACCCGGTTATTACTAATGGTCCCAGCAGCCAATTGCTTAGTGGATGGATCAGGATTTGAGTCCCCAGAATGCGAACCGCCGCTAACAGTCACGCCAGCCATGCAGCCACGCTCTCGTCGATCCCCATGCTTCGCTTCGGCTTCTGAGAAAAGGAGATCCGACTTTACTCCCGCTTCCCCACGAGACAGCAGCGGCATCACCATTGGGTCGTCAGGGGGTGACACGACCGTCAGTTTGAACTCCGATCCAGCGAATCTAATCGGAATAAACTCCGGTATAACCCTTTCCGCCCTAATCAAAATTCTGACGAAGTCAGCTGACCAATGATTCCAATCCACCTCCACCAGAGTACCACAGAACTTGCCTACCTCTCTAATAAGCTCGATGCTCTTCAGATGCAGCGGAATGCCGAACACTCGAACCCACTTAAGCGGCTTCAACGCATCTCTGCAGCCCTCATTCCAGAACGAAATGTTGATCGGCAGATTGCGGAATAGACATTGATCAAAGTTTTTAATCCTCACTGCTTGTTGCCAGCTGGGACAAACCAGCATCCATTCACCTTCACCTTTGCAAATCCACTCATAATTTGAGTCCACCGCCCACTTGTTGATCGCCCATCTTCTGAAATCGCCGTCGACATTTTGCAGGCTAGTTCTTCCATCTCCCGGCAGCAGCTTAATCACAAGGCATTTTCCCAATAATTCTAATCTGTTATTTGTCCCTTTGTCTCCGACTTCGATGAATCTTGATTTACCCGCTTCTACAATCCGGCATTCCCCCGCTCCATAGAGCCCAGCTCCCTTAACAACCTCAGCAAACGATCTGGGACGAGGGTTTATATGAAGTGGGAACAACGAAGGTGGCTCGTGGCTGGCCTTTGGACTTCTATCGAGCTTGTAAAAATCCTGCAGGAGAGCTGTAAGCGAAGCCCAACCTGATCTTCCTTCCGGCTCCGGGATCAGGATCTTGAAGACTCTTCCACTAGCAACCCTCTCAGAAATCTGAAGGGCAGATCGCCCTTTGCGGGAAGATCTGCCGACATGAACCACACGGGATCCACTTCGCTTAACATACCCATGTCCAAACCTCCAAGCTCGCATTGCTGCCGTTTGAAGCACACCCTGAAGCCAAGCTAAAAGGTCTTCACTAAGCAGAATGAACCATCTCTTCGAACTCTCGATCACCTGGATTTTGTACCAACCAACCCTGTCCGCTTCTTCCCTACCAATCCGAACCAACTTGGACCCAAATCTTGCCTCCAGCGAATACTTCTCCAGTCGTCTGCCGCCGACGCCATCCGACCTCTGAGCCTGTGACCTGCGCGAACAAACAGACAAAGACGAAGAAAGCACGCTAGAATGGTTATGCAGACCCTGAACGCTTCCCCTCTCTGGATCACTCCCCCGCCGGGCAAGCCCGACTCTCCCACTTCTCTCTTTTTCTCTCTCTAACATTTTCTCACAGGAAATAGGAAGGAAGGTATTAGGAGTATTGCGGACTTCATTTTGTGTTTTTCCTGGATTTTCTTTCTAGCAACAGAGGATACGCTATTCTCCTTTGTTAATAAACAGAGCGGGGCGTTGTTTCATGCCATTAATAGTAGCCCAAAGAAGTAATGACAGCAAGTAGCAAGTTAACGAACTGACTAGAGTGGTTAAGACTTAAGCGTACACAAGCATACAAAGCAAGAACCGAAAGTTCATTTCCAGAGTTAGTTCTAATACAAGTATGGCAATATCCTCCACGGAACCAATCGACGGTATTCTGCCCACACTTCTCTGTACTTCTCAGCGCAGCGAGCTTCGTCTCTTCTCTCTCTCCATATCAGCAGGATCAGGAGATAGATTGGGTAGAAGTATGGAACCGGAGAGCTGCAAGAAAATGGCAGGCATGAAATGAGCTTTCGAGGGTGAAGCTCAGAGCAAAAATGACATAAAAATGTGAAGCTGGGCGGGAAAAATCACCTTATTCCGCATGGAAGGCTGAATGACAAAGCCAGCATTAAGTCCCCGAGATAATTGCAATGCCTGGCGATTCCCCTTCATGAAGAACAACATCACATAGCGTCAAGATCATAAGTTGGAGCGAAGCATCAATCACCGACAAAGCTTAGCATGTCATGATTGGGGACAGTCAGACATACCAATATCCAGAAGCAAGCAGTTTTCCTCCAATGACTCTCGGCGCCTTGCCCCAAATTGGCGCTTTGGGATCCTTCTTGAAATCGTGTTTCTGCTTGTTAGCTCCTCTGAATACCATATATCTGTACAAGATTTAATACATTCCAGCAACGTGAGTTTAGGTACTACTTATAAACAACTGAAATAGAGCAGCAGTGCATTACTCTTGGAAGAAGTTTACCCCAACAGGAAAACAAAGCAATTAGCAATGACGGCTGCTGTTGTTAGTTCCACGTTGTTTCTTAGCAGCCACCATCCCTGTTTAAAATTTTGATCATATCTGATATAAGTTATGCCAAGTTTTTCTCTAAACTGGTTAGAGATTAGGGAGTGGAGCATACAAAGATAATTACTCATGGATAATTGAAGAAGTACTTCCACAGTTCGTGTGTTCTATGATGAAATAAAGATCAAGCTGAATTTGAAGTGCAAAGTTAAATACCTGAATGCTAAATGTAAAAGGAATCCAGACAAGATCCCCAAACACCAGCATAAAGCCCAATCTCTCGGCAATTATGTCCCATCTAGAGATGAGAACAGTGAAGATAAGTCAGAAAGTCACGGATGGAATAAGATAATTCTGGAGTTTTGGCCACACGAAACAACAGCAGCTCATGAATTGGGACCAAGAACATGTTCTTCAGGTGTACTTACGTAGAGGTCATGTATTCTTCGTAGAAGAAGTAGTCCAGGATGTATAACTGCAAAAAGGATGCAGAGAGCAAAGGATTCACCAGGGGTATCAGACCTATTTCTTAAAAAGAAATCACACTACCAAGCATACAATTGCAAAACTTACTATACAGAAGCTTTGGTAAAGGATCATTGACTGGTTCAAGGTACCATTTTGGATACTCTTTGCTAAAACTGACAGATTTATAAACAGCCATCCCATCATTCCAGCTCTAACAAAGAAGAATCTGCAGAAGCAAACTAATTTACAGTTAGCCTCAATGTTTTTGCCGAAAGAACCAAGTGAAGCCAAATGGGAACAAGCTTACATACTTTAAATCAATACTAAAAAACTGAGGATTGAGCTGTATCCCAAACCACCTGAAGAATAGCACAAGAAGAAAATAATTTCAGAATCACTCAGGTGGGCAGAATAAATACATTATGAATTGGAAAGAGCATGTGGATGATCCAATGCTTGTCTATTGCACAAGTTTTTGTGCACTAGAAGTCTGCTTTTCCAGTGTTATCACCATAAGTTCTAGATTTAACTGAAATGCTCAAGTTATGAACTACAAGTACGCTCATGAAGGAAGAATGGCTCCAATAGTTGTGATACTTAATCATTGCTCATAAAAATCTAAGTTCATGTTTGCACACAAGGCATGACAGCTTTAAGTTCAGCAAAAGCACAATGTCCCTTATCCATGTTACAAAAATGGAATAAAGATTACCATGAAACTTCAATTTGCAAAAACCATCCTAGTAAGGAAAAAAAACATCATTGTGAAGTTATAAGGATTTATATGCGGCCAGATTACCAGTCTTCTATAAGGTTCCCAGTGACATGAGGCCTAAGGGAAGAACCCTTATCCTTTGACAAGCGACCAGCTACATACAGCATCATTGTCACCTGCATTCCAATTTCTCCACTGAATATCAAATGACATGAACGCCAAAAACTCAATTCCGAGCCAAAAGTGGTAAAATCTTGTAAGCTCATCACTCACCACAACACTGAATATAAATGTTGCTGACAGAAGCTCAAGTCCTCTCTCTGATATCACCTGCAAACATTGCTCTCAGAGAACCATCAGCACAACGAAAACCAACTACCCCAGAATTCGGAACATTGCCACGGAACGGAACTCACAGTAGCTGAAACGATCTCCATCTGAGCTCCAACACCAAGCAGCCCAACCAGCAATAACAAAGACAGCAAGCCTGTCAAAGAGGCCTCTAATCAGCATATAAAACAGAATGAAGTTTCAAACATCCCATCAATCAGAGAAGAGACTAGAACAGACCATTGCAGCGATAATGGAGACGGGAACCATCCTGTAAGGTAACACCCGAAACTACTTTCCCAGGCAATATAGATCCAGCAATCGCCAGATACCCGAAATACACACCCAATACAGCAACCTAAGCACGAATTGCCATTAGAACTCGTCAGAAAAAAATCAGGCATTATACGGAGCTTGGCTAGGAGGAGATGCTTACAGAGTTCCAGGTGGGAATCAGGGTGTGAAGTAGCGAACCAAGATCCAACTCCATCAGCAAGCCACGTTTGGCTCGTCCCCTCGATTAAAGATCCCGCCTTTTTCCTAGCTCGGTTTCTCTTCTTCAATGAGCTCAGCTGCTCTATCTTATTTCTTCAGCTCGACTGAGTTCCTGTTGTTTATTGCGGCTGGACTGGTCTCACACTTCCAGCAGTGTTTGAAGAGTGACAATGCCAACAAGCAAAAAGATCTGTTTTCTCTTCGATTTTGACGATGAGAATGAACGCGACGCCGGAGGCTAGAGAATCGTCCTCTTGGCGGTTGTTGGCGGTTACAACCGTTGGTGGGTGGGCCTAGTCCTGATCACGACCCGCTTTGTCTTCGGGCCTAAACTTTCCTGGGCCAGGCCTAAATATCAGTTTCGGCCTGTTTAAGGGTCTTGTCTTCTTTACGCGCGCTGCCGAGAGAGTTCCCGCCGCACTGTTCGAAAAACGATCCCAATTTCAGCCTTTTAGCGAAAACCCTGGTTCACACTGAGGAAGTAAGTGGGACTGTGGGAAGGAGGGAGAGAGCGAAAACCCTGTGGATTTCCACTTCCGGCGAGCTCTCTCGATCGGCGGCAATGCAGTTTTGGGGTAAAGCTTCTGTCTCCACATTCGTCGTCTCGCGATTTCTCCCTTTCAACCGGTTCTAGGGTTTCCGTGTTCGTTCTCTAGTTTCTTTTCTCTGTTGAAAGTGAAAAATATGAAGGGTTCCTGCCTGGTTCCTGGTTCTGGTTGAGAATTGAGTGTTGCGGTTCAATATTGAAAGTTTCTTTTCCCAGTTCCCTGCTGTTAGATTATCATGGCAGTTTACTTATTGTAATGATTGCAACTTGACAGATGATTTGGCTGGAGTTAAAGTTCTAGATGTCCTTGATAAGGTAATAGAAGGTGGAGCATTTGTTTTGACTCTTAAAGATCAGAGTATTCTTGCTGATGGCTACATCAATGGTGGTAAAATTTTATTGAATTGCCTTGTTCCGCTTGCTGCTTTATGTTCAGAATTCAAATTGACGACTTGAGTTTTGTGTAAGAGAGATTTTTTGTCTGATTCAACAGAGGTTGATGGGCTTGAAAATGTCAAAATTGGGGAGCAGAAGTGCCAAACTGAAGCTTATAAGGCCAGGAAGAAGCCTATGATGACAAGTAAGTGGAATATGCTTCTGTAGCTGCTACTGATTGAACAGTTTGACATGTAGACGCATTGCTAATCTTTCTATATCTTTAAGGTTCAATGATGACCCTCTGGCAGAGAAAAAAGATGATTCCCCCATACGATGAACCAGCAGATTAGGTATGAATGTAATGTTACAACTTGGTGTTTAGTGGTCTTGTTCAACTCTAATGTAACAGTTTCCTCCATAAATAAGGGAAACTTTCTGCAATGAAAGTAGACTTTTAAGCTTGGTACTTTATTTCAGGGGCTGGCCTTGGATGGTAGGAGACGTTTCAGTGGTGAAGCAGAGAAAAAATTGGAGGAGGTATGTTGTTTCCTGCTATTACCAGGGTGGTTCAGACCAGTTCAAAGGGACGTGTCCTGCCATGAATCTTTTTGTTTTGTTTTGTTTTGTTTTAGAGCTTTAGTCCCCCCAGTTGCGTAGAAGACTACAAGGTGTGAGGATTATTATTTTTGGGTCTTAACAATTCAATATGTTTTATTACTCTTATTTATGTTTTCTAGCTTAATAAGGAATAATTAGCCATTAAGGTTACTTGGTTCAACTAGGAAAGGGTAAAATGGCCTTAGCCTTATCCCATTAGGAGTAGAGGGAAAGTCTGACTCCTATAAATATGTATGTTTCGGTCTGATGATGAAGAATATTGATTAGTTATTTGTTCTTTCTTTCATTATTGTTGTGTATAGGAAAATATACGTGCCAAAGATCTAAACTCATCCGGAAGAATCTCGTCTGATTACTATACTAGAGAATAAATGTTTCAGTTTAAGAAGCCAATGAAAAAGCCGTCTCTGAGGAAGAAGGATAAGTTGGATATATATGCTCTTGAAGCAGAAGCCATCTCCACAGGGTTAGGTACGGGTGATCTTATTTCTAGGAGTGGCAGTAGAAGTAAGGCCGGAGAAGAGCAAGAGAGATCCGAGGCAGGAAAGAGAAACTGCGCATATCAGTCAGCCTTAGCTAAAGCGGAAGCGGTATCTGACGCATTACGATTAAGGCAAACGGTTCCTGCTGCTGCTGAAGAGGAAGTTAATGATATGGGTATGGAAGAGGATGATCTCCACAAATCTGTTGAAAGAGCAACAAAGCTGGCATTGGAAAAGCAAGTGAAGAAGGCTCTAGTCGGCCCTGAAGCAATTGCTCGTCTTGCCACCACCATTAAGAGCAGTCAGGCAGCTGATGAGCAAAACTCTGCAACTGAAGAATCACAAAAAGGCAAGGTCGTCTTCACGGAGGTTGAAGGGTTTGTTAGGGGCCTGCAGCTTGATCAAGGTAATTTCCCCTCTTTTTCCTCAACTCTGAAGCTTTTTAGGATCAAGGAACCATTGAGGTTATATTGCTTAGTCAATTATGGGTGTCACTTCCTTTTCCTTTCAACTTCAGTTTGTTTGTCCTGTTTCTTGCTCTGTCGTTTCATTTATCTATGTATACTTAGCTGATACGGGAACCAACAAACTTTCTTTTGATTCTTCAGATGCCCGCAAGGCTGATGCCACAGATGTTCTCGATAATGAAGATGATTCAGCTGTAGCTACTCATGAGAAGAAAGAAGATAAAGCTGGTGGGTGGCCGGAAGTAAGCAAGACGGTTAAAGATGAAGACCCTATGACGGAGGATGCTATAGAGGTAGCCCCTGATGAGATGTTTCATGAAGTCCCTATTGGTAGAGGATTGTCAGGTGTAGTGAAGCGGCTCCATCAGCAAGGGTCCCTGGAAGAAAGCATTGACTGGGGCGGTAGAACTATGGATAAGAAGAAGAGCAAGCTTGTTGGCATTGTGGACACTGAAGATGCCAATGAGAAGAAGAACAAGGATAAGTATTACGATCGATTTAAGGATCTTCGTATTGACAGGAGAAACGAATTTGGGCAGATCATGGCACCAAAAGAGGCATATAGGATGCTCTCTCATTCATTCCATGGTAAGGTGCCCGGGAAAAGGAAGCAAGAGAAGCGGATGAAGCAATATCAGGAAGCACAGAAGTTGAAGCAAATGAAGAATTCAGATACACCTTCATTATCAATGGAGAGGATGAAGGAAGCTCATGCACAGCTGAAGAGACCATACCTCGTGCTTTAGCGGTCATATGAAACCTGGGTATGATGAACTTCTCCTCTTCAGACTCTGCCTGCCCTTCTCCTATTAGGTTAAAGTTAGAAAGAGTATTCTGATTTCTGACCCTTGAGTACGAAGTTGCTGATGCGTTACTGTGCCTTGTTGCAGCAATGGCCTTTGCATCCAAATCTATCTTATATTTTTGTTTGTCAATGTCTTCTCAGGTTTAGCTTTTATTTTAGTATAAAACAAAATGCAAGGCTGACTGGGCATGGCTATGACAGCACAACAAAGAAACCCGGAACTTGATTGAACTTCCATCTCTTGCTGTTACAGATCTAGTAGAGTGAAGAACCATGTCATCTATACCTCACAAAAAGTGACTGAGCAGATGCTCTCTTGATGGAAGAACCAAACTAGAGGCTCATTCCAATACCATGCCATCTATACCTCACTAACCACGCCTTGTGGCAGCCTAATTAAGTTACTGCATACGTCATTGTTTTGTTCTTTGGATTAGTTTAGTATCAATTATTCATATTAACTTAACTATATAGTTGACTATCTGACTAGTCAATATCTAGAAGCAATTTTATTGTGGGACGTGGTTGCACATTTTTAGCACTTATTCAAATACCACTAATCACCTTTGGAAAGTTCCTAATTCTGGCTGCTGCTTACATAATGGCCACTTACCTGTTATTAACATTGCTAATTGATCCAATGTCATGCTATGGGCAAAGCAGTTAGTAATGAATCAGAGCATATATCTTTTCTCGTATAAACTGAACATTACAAAAATCTTGATTACAATTTTATATAAACATACTAAATTCTGAAATAAGAAATAAGAAATCTACTATTATGTTCACCGATTATTCCATGTCTGCTCCAAAAATACACAATTACTCATTTTGATCACAAGGAAAGGAATAGGGCTAACCTCGGGCTAAAAACCACAGAAGAGCAGGCAACTTAAACATTTTTAAGTCCTTTACCAAAATAAAGCACGCCTCTCACGAAGCACCAAAAGTCAAGCAAACTGCACCGGAGGCCCATAGAATTTTTTTTTTAAGGGCCGAGAGGGGAATATCCACGTTTTGCCGTGGGAGAGAGTTCAGCGGGAGAAAAAACGAAATGGACATCTCAACCGTCGATCTCATCCGACGGCCATGAGTTTTCCTGGGCTCCCCGGAATTTTGTCCTACATATACCGGATGTCTTCCGCCTTTGGTCACTACTCCAACTGCCTTCTGTCGATACTCTCTATTCCATCTCCCTCGTAATTTTCTAGATCTAAAAAAAGCTTCCTCGTCCATGGCGATCACCATCGTTTCTGTCAAGGCTCGCCAGATCTTCGACAGTCGCGGTAACCCCACCGTTGAGGTTCGTTCCATCTCTATCTATCCTTATCTCTCGCGATGGTTTCCATAATCTGTTTCGCCGTTTGATTAATCGAATACGATGCACGATGTATGAAACTCATGATGATTATTATGGCGCATTGAGGATGTTGTTTCCGAGCTTGTTTCAATGGAGCTTTGATTGATTGATTGAGTTTTTTTCATTTCGGTGGTTGTGTGTAGACTGATATCAAGCTGTCCGATGGCTACTTGGCAAGAGCTGCCGTTCCGAGCGGTGCTTCTACCGGTACGTAGCTTCTGAGCTATTTTAGGAAACTGTGAGATAGATAGGAAATGGTTGTTTAATTTGATTCTTCCTTTTTCCGGTGAAGGTATTTACGAGGCTCTTGAGCTGAGGGATGGGGGATCTGACTACCTTGGGAAAGGTGTCTCTAAGGTGAGCTAGTCACTACACCAATGGTGATTGCATCTGAGATTCTCGATCCCTATTACCTTACTGCCTGTCTGATTTCTGAAACTGCTTGTTTTTAAATTTTCGATTTGGCTTGTAGGCTGTTAACAATGTGAACTCCATTATCGGCCCTGCATTGATCGGCAAGGTCAGTTGTGGCATTCGATCAATCGCAGTTCATTCTCCTTTTTCGGATCAGCTGAGATTAAGTTCGGTTGAACTGAAATGGGTTTTGTTTTATTCTGTTTCATTTCGGCAGGACCCTGCTGAGCAGACTGCTATCGATACCTTGATGGTTCAGCAACTCGATGGAACTGTTAACGAGTGGGGTTGGTGCAAGCAGAAGGTATGTTATTAGGCTAACAGATCACCCTGCCATTGATTGCCTAAGAATGTTTCATTGCTGAATCTCGTGTCGGATTTCGTTCTTGGTCTGATTCCTTTTGTGTACCTCCTCCGTTCCAGCTTGGAGCAAATGCCATTCTGGCTGTGTCTCTTGCAGTCTGCAAAGCTGGAGCTCATGCCAAGGGCATCCCACTCTACAAGGTAGACTACTCTCTGAATGATTGCTCATTTTCAGGCCATTTCAGTAGCAGCAGTGGTTGTCTTGCTGGTTGCTTGGTATGGTTATTAGAGTGCTGGGTTCTGCTGTAACGGTGTCTGAAAATCTACATGGTTTCTGGATGCAGCACATTGCAAACCTTGCTGGCAACTCCAAGCTGGTGCTTCCAGTTCCTGCTTTCAATGTCATCAATGGTGGATCACATGCTGGAAACAAGCTCGCTATGCAGGAGTTCATGATTCTTCCCACTGGAGCTTCCTCATTCAAGGAAGCCATGAAGATGGGTGCTGAGGTCTACCATCATTTGAAGGTTGGTGTCTCTGTTAGTCTCCTCATTATTTGTTTTTGCTATGATAAATATGGCTGCTGATGTATATCTTGTTATATTTCAATGTGAACTATTAGTTAATTTTGTGGATTTTTTCTATAGAATCTGCAATGGATGGGCTTCCTGCAATTTATTTGGCTATTATGATTGATAGAATCCGTCATTTGTTTGCAGTCTGTGATCAAGAAGAAGTACGGCCAGGATGCAACTAATGTTGGTGACGAGGGAGGCTTTGCCCCTAACATTCAGGTATTAGCTTAGTCGCTGTAGTTTCCAGATGAATATAAAGAAGTTTCACTCCTTCGATTAGTTGGCTAAACTGCTATTACATAATTTGTTATATCAGGAAAACAAGGAAGGTCTTGAGTTGCTTAAGACTGCTATTGCCAAAGCTGGTTATTCAGACAAGGTCAGTTTGCTCATTACCATCTCAATTCAATAGCTTCTTGGGAGATCGTTTGTGAACATCTTAATAACAAAGTCTTAACTTGCCTTGATTAGGTGGTTATTGGAATGGATGTTGCTGCATCTGAGTTTTACACCGCAGACAAGAAGTACGACCTGAACTTTAAGGAAGAGGTATGGTTCTGCTCCAATGGTCACTACTCCCCTAAGAAACACGAATGATATGCAGGGTATACGGCTTAGTTGTGTGTCATCTTATTTTGCAGAACAACAATGGCGCTGACAAGATCTCCGGGGAAGCCCTCAAGGACCTGTACAAGTCGTTTGCTACAGAGTACCCAATTGTGTCCATTGAAGACCCCTTTGACCAAGATGACTGGGAACACTACAACAAGATGACCAGTGAAATCGGAGAGAAGGTTCAAATTGTCGGAGATGATCTCCTGGTCACCAACCCCAAGGTCAAGCTCCATATAAACCTCTTCCCTTCATATCATTTTTTTTTCTGTCTGTGTACAGTATCCAAATTACCCATGCTAATAAATCTTCTGGGTTTCATTTCGACAGAGGGTCGAGAAAGCCATCAAGGACAAGGCTTGCAATGCTCTCCTCCTCAAGGTTAACCAAATTGGATCCGTGACCGAGAGTATTGAGGCTGTGAAGATGTCGAAGCGCGCTGGATGGGGCGTGATGGCCAGCCACCGCAGTGGTGAAACCGAGGACACCTTCATTGCTGATCTCTCAGTCGGACTATCCACGGTAATTTATAAACAATCTCATACCGATCTCAGTTGCTGCTGACTTTGCTTCACTCATCGGTTTTACTCGAACCACTTGCAGGGACAAATCAAGACCGGAGCACCTTGCCGATCTGAGCGTCTGGCGAAGTACAACCAGCTGTTGAGAATTGAGGAAGAGCTGGGATCGGAAGCTGTTTATGCCGGAGCCAACTTCAGGAAGCCTGTCGAGCCATACTAAGATAACTGAGGAGCGAAAGCGATGAATGTGACGCAGAGGGTGTGTGGATTTGGCGGCCAGATATCAGAATAATCTTTTTTTTATGTAGGTTTGGATTGTGGGTTAACCCAAAGATATCGGTTTGAATAATTTTCTGCAATGGGCCAAAGTTGTCCTTTTTGGCCGTGGTTCGGAACGTTGTATTAACTGAGCTGTTTTGTTTTTTTTGTGAGCTTCTATGAGTTTTGGAAATGTTTAGACTTTAGAAGCATGGTCCAATATAATCCCCCACCGTTCTCATGTTTCTATGGTTAACTTACTTTTAACTTTGGCTACTTCAAATTATGTGCCTTCGACGTCATATCGGTTAGTGGTTAATCGACACTGAATTGATAAACCTCTAAACATGATAGATAAGTTTTTCTACTTAGAGACAACAAATCGGTCTACTCACTGAAGAAAATTTAACCACACTACTATAACTCATGCAATCCCAGAGACAAGTATCCACTACTTCTCACAATCGCTAACCACATAGTTATAATACCATTTTGATTTTGATCATAATCCGTGCCTACTCTTCTTCTTTGTCGACTTTTATACTCCCACAGTATTTGTAATCGCTAATGTTTTGGCCCCACTTTCCTTCTTTTTTTTATCCTTGTTCCTCAAAGATGTATTTCAAAAGGATACACAAAATATTTGGTTGCTCCAAACTTACCTTTTGAATGTATATTAACACACACTAAAAAGCGACAAATTTTGAGATGTTCAAGACATGCAACAACCAATAAGTAGAGTGCACAATGGCGCATCTTTACCTAACGAGAAGTAGTGTCTCGTTTAGATGTGAAAACATGCATAAAACATTTAGCTCATCTCTATCGATCATTTGGAAAGAGATATAAATTAGTTTTAAACTGTTTTGCCTTGAGATTTCAATCGTACATTCGATATACAACAGAAAAAATTAAAGAGCATTTGTTAAATATTTTGCAGGCTGTGGGGTTCGAACCCACGCGCACTTATGTGCAGAAGATCTTAAGTCTTCCCCCTTAAACCACTCGGGCAAACCTGCTAATTGTTTGTAAACCGCACAAATTAATTAACTATACTATCACGTTGCTCTTATAAATATAATAGAATAAGTGATCACCCTGCCTCCCAGTCCCAGGGGCTCGACCCTCGCTCGCGAGATCCAAGACCACTTGGAGGATTTCTACCAGGACTTGTTGGAGGAGGTCAGCAAGCACGGACACATCGAGAGCTTGAACATCTGTGATAATCTCGCGGGCGGGGAACGTGTATGAGAGGAGGATCATGCTGCCGGTGCACTCCAGGCTCTTACTGGAAGGTTCTATGCAGGTATGTCTCTGGTATCCTCCTAAGGAATTAGGATTGAGAAGGTTTGAGCTCATAGGTGATGTAATGGAAGCATTTGATTGTTGTGGTTCCTGATGGTTTTCAGCTAGCTATTGATCTCTCAGAAAGCTTTTTGAGCTTATAGGGGCTGTAATGATGATAAATTTTGCAGCTTGAATTGATTGTTCTGATTAGTGGCGCTGCTCTGTTAGTTATTGATGGCTTGCAGTTTTTTTTTTATGATGCAATATGGCTATTAGATCTGAAAATTGTGTGTTTGATTGGATTCTTGCGTGTTTATGATCTGTTTTTGCCAGGGTGGCCAATCATTGCTGACTTCTCTCCGGTGACGGATTTTCAGGAAGCGACATGTAGGCAGTATGAGAAAAATGTATGCAACAGAGGTGGATACTGTAACTTGGTGCATTTGAAGAAGACCAGCAGGTGATGGAAATAATTATGGTAGCCGAACAGAGGCCTCTGCTACAGAGTATTGCACCGAGAGACTCACAAGTCACAACTCATTGCAAAGTTCCAATTCCATCCCTCGTTTCATTCTTATTACCTTTCTTAAACAATTCCATACAAGAAATGGCTTAATTGCAAGTTTGGTCACTCGAATTGCTTAAAAATTTCACGTTTGCCACTCAAATTGATTTATTCCATTTATAGTCACTCGAATTAGTTGAACAGTCCAAGTTTGGTCACTCTCCGTTAACCTCCGTTAGACTCCGTTAGTGACGACCGTTAAGTGATGACGTGGCTAACAGAAAGACACAGTCAGCATATTTTAACATTAAAAAATGACGACCTGACCCGCCAGCTCAGCCTTACCCGCCCTGTCAGCCATTCTTGCCCAACCCGCGAACCAACCCAATTAATTGACCCTAAACCCAAACCCGAGACCCAACCCCCCTGAAAAGTAAATCGAAAACAGATGGTTAGGGCGATTCGGCGTCGGATGGAAACCCAAACAGAGAAGTGCAAGAAAAAGGTGGCTCACCAGATCGGAGCCCTCGTCGGGGCTCCAATCCGAGCCGAGGCCACCGTGTCTTCGGGTGATTCAACGCTGGCAGCGGCGGTGTGGCAATCTCCGGCGCCAATCAATTGCAAGATCCAGAAGGAAGACGGAGGAGCGGAGCAGAGGTCGCAACCGGCCAGCCCCTGCAAATCCTCCATCATCGGCGGCGGCGCGAGGCCAGATCTGTCCGCGAGCACTTCTGAATTTTGTCCAATGTATTGATTGGATCTAGCGAGACCAACCAGGTGAGTACTGAGTTCTTGAGAATTGACACCTGCTTCCATAGAAGCTCATACCTGTTGTACAGGATTTTCAGCAAATACGATTAACCCTCAATTAATTTCACTCATACTGATTTATCATCTAGAAAACAAAAGGGATGATACACTTGACATGAGGAGGGAAATCATCAAACTTAGAGAGGTACCACTCTCTTGTGGCTTTGCTCCTTCCCATCAGGTAGAGACTTGTCCCGACCATCAAAATTCCATTCGAAGAAAAGGGCTGGAGCTGGATTGAATTGGAACTGGGAGAAAGTACGTACCTCGAAAACCCTTTTGAAGAAATGTACGGCGAGGGCGGATTCGACCAGGAAGAGCCTAGAAGACGAAGCTCCGTCACCGCCATGGTGGAGGAGGAGCAGGGAGGGAGGACCAGGACGGCGACGGCGAGGTAGAAGCGGATGGTTGGGCGGCGAACTTGGAATACTTCATGTGGTTGCCTCGGAGCTCCGACAAGCCGGCGTTTCCCAGGGAGACTACACCCACCACCGACATTGCGGAGACCAACAACGACGGCGGCGGGTCTCGGGTTTGGGTTTAGGGTCAATTAATTGGGTTGGTTCGCGGGTTGGGCAAGAATGGCTGACAGGGCGGGTAAAGCTGAGCTGGCGGGTCGGGTCGTCGTTTTTTAATGTTAAAATATGATGACTGTGTCTTTCTGTTAGCCACGTCATCACTTAACGGTCGTCACTAACGGAGTCTAACGGAGGTTAACGGAGAGTGACCAAACTTGGACTGTTCAACTAATTCGAGTGACTATAAATGGAATAAATCAATTTGAGTGGCAAACATGAAATTTTTAAGCAATTCGAGTGACCAAACTTGTAATTAAGCCTACAAGAAATTGATCCAACGGCCAGAACCGTGTCTTGACTCTCGCGCATACGGAACCTTCTTTTGACGAATTTGCCCTTGTTGTGTCTTTGTACTTAAATCTGACCTCTCAACTCTCTGTACCAACTTATTTCTGAACTAGCCACATAACCCAACACCTCTTCTCCCTGTCTCTCTCTCTTTCTACTCCTTCTCTCACCATCTCATCTATCCAAACCTCTGCCAAAGCCACAACAGTTCTAAATCTATCACGGGCGCCTATACCACCTACTCAGCAGATGACAGATCCGATGGAGGGGCTAGGTTATGTGACTCTGTCGGCGGCGAGTGCGGAGGAGGTTTGGCCTTTGACGACGTTCACTCCCTGTTCATTTCCGGCTACAGGGTTGGTATGTAAATCCTTCCTGATCCGATTTTGAGCAGGTTTTTTTTTTCCTTTTTGTGTAAAAGATGGGTTTTTTTTTTTTAATTTTTAAGCGAAACCCAACCAGGTCGTCCTCATTAGCGCATCCGCCAGCCAGAGATACATCTAGATCTGGCAGATGGAGTCCCTCCTCTGCGGGATAGTCAACCAGGACCTTCACCCACGACCCTAGCCCGAACCACTGTCTCGATCTGTGTTGTATCTCTTCCTGTCAGATGTGGGCTGCCTTCAACGCCTGCTTCTTCCAGCAACGCCAGGCCCACCTAAAACAAGGTATGGATCATTCCCATTCTAATCCGCCCCACACAATCTGTAAGCCAATGCAATCAAAAGCGCGATTCTATCTATAAGCGGAAAAGGGGTAAAATCATAAAGCGTAGAATCAAAGCATTAAAAGCGTAAGTTTTTTGATTCTACAATATCTGTTGGAGCGTTCTATTTGAATCTGGTTTTGTAGTCTGTGCGATTGTTGCTATTTCTGTTGGAGCTGCGACTGATCTATTAGATGATTTTCTCGGTATATCAATCTAGTTGTGTACTCTGTGGGATTGTTGCTATTTCCTTTCTGCCGAATCTGTTTGAGCTGGGTCTGTTCTAATGGATGGTTTCTCTGTATCTGAATCTATTTCTGTACTAGATGTGGACGGATTCTGTCAATTCAATGGCAGTAATACATGTTATTGCAATTGGATATTATAACATATAATTTTGAACGGAAGCGAACTGTAGCTAAGGAGGAGATTCTCCCCTGCGGACGCGACTAGGTGAGTTCTTCTCTGTTTTGTCTGCTTGTATTCAATATGAAAGGGACGTACACTATGCTTGGGTCTTCTTCACTATTTTATATTCTTGTATTCAATATGAAAGGGACGTACACTATGCTTGGGTCTTCTTCACTATTTTATCTTCTTACAATGTGAATGGGTATCATCACATAGCTGTCCATTTCCATTCCTATAAAACCGTTCATATCTTTCAAGGGGATTTCCCACAATTTTCATCCTTTCTCGAGCCGTTGGGTGCTCTTTCGTTCTTTTCTTTTTCTACTTGTTTCTTCTACGGTTGCATAATTGTACATGGGATGTTCATTTCATGGAATTCATTGTTATTATCCCCAACCATTTCATGTGGTTTATCAGGAGCTGTAGCCTTCCTTTTTGAGTCATGACGCGACTGGTTGGGTAGGTTGAGGCTGTTGCTGTTGCTGTGGAGCTGATGCACACAATACTGTTGCTGCCATTTCTTTCACCGCCACCGCCAGGTTTACCGAAAGACAATGTTGTTGATGAATTAATGGTGTCGTCTGTGGCAACAGCCACCACGATGGTGATTGGGCTGGGGGAGGTGGATGCGCGAGCGACGAAAGCGGTGGAGGTGTTGGCCGTGGTGACGCACTAGCATGAAGGGCACATGGTGGCGGTGGTAGCATGGAGCTGCATGTAGAAAGGCTGAGGCACGTCTCGACGTGACCGGTACCTGACGACGGAGTTTAGCTGGTCGGAGTGCTTCATCACCAGGTCCTCGTTGACCACTCTTCTGGAGATTGGCGAAGAGTTCGCTTTCTTCGCCGAACTCGCGCAATTTTGTTGTCTGTTTATTCATTGCCAAATAAAGTCCACTGTATCATTCAAAAAATATGCTCATACTTCTTGTGCTATGGTGAATGTACATGAAAGTTGTTGTCACTTTCGATTACCTAAATCAAGATTCAGCCATAAACTAAATATTACAGTAGCTGGATAAATATGCTAAATATTCTGGGTACTTACTCAAATCAAATTTTAGCCAGCTACTTAGAACCTGCATGAATCGCGATCAACATCCAATTCATGGTTCAAAAAAACTCAGAAACGCTTTGGCTAAAATTTGCATGCAAAAGAGAACAACAAATTGAACTTAGAGCAAAGAATCGTACGAACAATTTCCAATTTCCAACCGCCACCGATCTACTTCCAGGGAAGCTTGAATCTAAAGGAACACCCAGGCACAGAGCATCGACGATGGATTGTGACCCTGTGATATTTGGAGGTAGCGACCGAAGCGAAAATCAACTAAGAAATTGATTCGGATAAGAACAACCGTTCTGGTCTTTGTCGTGCTGTCATGTTTGCGTGGCCTCTCGATCAGATTATGATTTATTGTTCTTCGCTTCTTTCCTATTTTTCATTTTCTGTTCTTTTGTTCGCTCTTCCATGGCCTATTGAGGTTAATTACTCTTGTCGATCTCTTTGTGTTTTGTTTCATTTCTACTATTTTCCCTTCAGGTTGATAAGATCATGTCTCCTAATCTCTGTTTGTTCTTGTCAGACTTTCTTTTTGGCCAAACATTTCTTGTAGTGAGTGACATATGAAATTGAGGTAATGATATATGTATGTATGTATGTATTAAGATTGATATAAATTTTGATCCCTGACTTGAGAGTAAAACTCTTAGCAATTATAACATATTACTTTTGTCACTAAAAGGAGATATAATAAAATGAATTAATATCAATAATTTCTTTTGTTTGGCCCATGTACAAGGTTACGACACACAGTTATTTATTCGAAAGAAAATCGTGAACTGTACAAAAAGATCAGTTAAATCCAACAAGAATAAGGGGATGATTGCACCGATTTGGTTATTATAAATTCAAGGCATGAAGATGTATAGTAGGTATCGTTCGTCAAATAATAGTTAGTAAAAGAAAGCATAAGCGACTGTGCATAAGAAATCGACGTAACATAAACTCTAAACTATGGTTATAACTTTTTTTGTTACTATAAGAAACAAATGCCATCGGAATGTAGGTATTTTCACCTATACATCTATGACAGCAAGTGGATGGACAGTCTTCAATCTATAGACGGGCAGGGCAACAACCACCCAGTAAATCAATGGTTACAGACCAAAATGGTCAAAAAGTCTTGATCGGTCAGACCCATCGAAATGTGAAACCATGCATCACATCTTCTTTCTGCTTGAATTCTCGAACTTGGGCCTTGGGGTACTAGGTGAGTTCTTCTCTATTTTGTCTGCTTGTATTCAATATATGAAAGGGGACGTACACTATGCTTGGGTCTTCTTCTCTATTTTATCTTCTTGTATTCAATATGAAATGGACGTACACTATTATTGGGTTCCTATAGTCAGTGTGCACTATTTGTTTTTCCCGTACATGCATTGTAGGAGGCTTTTGATGTCGTCTAGGTGAGCTCTTTTTTGTTTTATCTGCTTGTACTCAATGCGAAAAAGACATATACTATGCTCGGGTCCCTATGGTTGGTGTATGTTGTTGATGTACAATACAAGTATTATTAGATACGTGTAATGCCATTGCATGTGCTTGTACCACCAAATAGCTGGTCCATTTTTATTCCTATAAAACGCTCCTATCTTTAAAGGTTAATTACTCTTATCGGTCCTCTTTGGTGCTTGAATATCGAAACGTGACTTTGATATAAATTTGATCATGACATGAGAGTAACTCTTAGGCAAAAAGATTACCTTTTTCACTGGAAGGAGATATAATAAAATGAATTAATATCAATAATTTCTTTTGTCTGGCCCATGTACAATGTTAATGGACACAGTTATTTTATTCGAAAGAAAACCATGAGCTATACAAAAAGATCAGTTAAATCCAACAAGAATAAGGGGATGATTGCACCGATTTGGTTACAATAAATTCAAGGGAGGAAGATGTATAGTAGGTATCGTTCGTCAAATAATAGTTAGTAAAAGAAAGCAGAAGCGACTGTGTAGAATAAATCGACGTAACATAAACTCTAAACTATGGTTATAACTTTTTTGTTACTATAAGAAACAAATGCCATCATAATGTAGGTATTTCTCACCTATACATCTACGACGGCAAGTGGATGGACAGTCTTCAGTCTATAGACGGGCAGAGCAACAACCAACCAATAAATCAATGGTTACAGATCAAAATGGTCAAAAAAGTTCTTGATCGGTCGGACCCATCAAATTGTGAAACCATACATCGCATCTTTTTTCTGCTTGAATTCTCGAACTTAAGCCTTGGGGTACATGCGTGTAGCAAGTTGAAGCCAAACCGTGTTGGCCAATAATAGTGAAGAGAAAGGGACAGAACCAAAAGGGAAGAAGAAAGAAAATAAATTTGGCTATTTCAGAAAGTTAACGTCGGTGGTCAATTATTATGTTGCATGTTGCAGTACTGCTCATATGAAGACAAAACAAGCACACTTTTCATACTTGAAACTCATTTATTATGGACGATGATAAGTCCAACTTACTATTTATATACAGTGTGTTGTTACGTTTATGAAATATGGTTGTTATTATAAAGCAAACAGTTCTCAAAAACAGTTTATGCACGGAAGGATTTGTACATTTGTTTTCTGTATGTTCTAATTGTTTTAATTGTACATTTTATAGTATTTTACGGTCAATACCTCGATTTTGTGTGGATGGTGTTATGTTTATGTATTAAATATACTGGTGTAAGGTTGGAGTTGACGTTCACCTCCTTTTGTGGTATGCTCTTCACATATTTCTCGAGTAAGCTATATGAAAAGGTAAGGTTGTTATGAATAACTAGAGAGTTTTGCCACACAATTTCTCGAACTTGGGCCTTGGGGTACAGGCGTGTAGCAAGTTGAAGCCAAATCGTGTTGGGCCAATAAATAGTGACGAGAAAGGAACAGAACGAAAGAGAAGGAGAAATAAATAAATTTGGCTATTTTAGAAAGTTAACGTCAGTGGTCAATTAGTATGTTTTCCTGTTGCGGTACTGCTCATAGGAAGACAAAACAAATATAATTTTCAGACTTGAAACTCATTTATTATGGACGATGATAAGTCCAACTTACTATTTATATACAGTGTGTTGTACGTTTCTGAAATATGGTTGTTATTATAAAGCAAATAGTTTTCAAAGACAGTTTATGCATGGAAGGATTTGTAGATTTGTTTTATGTAGGTTCTAATTATTTTAATTGTACATTTTATAGTATTTTACGTCAATACCTCGTATTTGTGTGGATGGTGTTATGTTTATGTATTAAATATACAGGTGTAAGGGTGGAGTTGACTTTCACCTCCTTTTGTGGTATGCTCTTCACATATTTTCTCGAGTAAGCTATATGAAAAGGTAAGGTTGTTATGAATAACTAGAGAGTTTTGCCACACAATTTCTCTAACTTGGGTCTTGGGGTACATGCGTGTAGCAAGTTGAAGCCAACCCATGTTGGCCAATAAATAGTGGAGAGAAAGGGACAGAACTGAAAGGGAAGGAGAAAGAAAATAAATTTGGCTATTTCAGCAAGTTAATGTCGGTGGTCAATTATTATGTTGCATGTTGCGGTACTGCTCATAGGAAGACAAAACAAGCATAAGTTTAAGACTTGAAACTCATTTATTATGGACGATGATAAGTCCAACTTACTATTTATATACAGTGTGTTGTACGTTTCTGAAATATGGTTGTTATTATAAAGCAAACAGTTCTCAAAGACATTTTATGCATGGAGGATTTGTACATTGTTTTCTGTTTGTTCTAATTGTTTTAATCGTACATTTTATAGTATTTTACGTCAATACCTCGATTTTGTGTGGATGGTGTTATGTTTATGTATTAAATATACATGTGTAAGGTTGTAGTTGACGTTCACCTCCTTTTGTGGTATGCTCTTCACTTATTTCTCGAGTAAGCTATATAAAAAGGTAAGGTTGTTATGAATAACTAGAAAGTTTTGCCACACAATTTCTTTGCTATTAGATTTGATACGTCTAATTGACATGAAGAGTGGTAAAAAAATAACCAATTAAGTTGGAGATCACTAAATTAAATTGATCCGTTGTAAGATGTAAAGCAAATATTAGTAATTGAGGATTTAGTTTCCAAGTAATCCTTGCTTGTGAAGTTCAATGGAATTTTGAACATATGAAATCAAGTTTTAATTGCAATGAGCATAAAAATCAAAGATTGTAAAATTATATTGAAAGGCGTGCAGGAAAAGTCTGGACGTGATATTTTATGTTGAAAATATGATTTATATGTGGTTCAACCATTTTGTATCGCTAAAATCAAATACTAATTTAAATTATATAATAAATTTCTTACGACCAAATCGTGAGATGTAATAGACAAATTCATAATTACTAATTATCTAATTAGTAATTATAAAGACTCCTCGATTACTTAGCGTGTCAACCAAATCCATTATGGCCACAACAGTAAATATACTATTCTATTTACAAACCCCACCCTAATATTTCCTATTTTCCTCAAATGCTTTTGTCTTTTTCTACCCAAACAAACCCTCTAAAGCCCTTTTCTTTCTCAGCTTCTCTAAGCAGCTCACTCCATAACCGTCATCTCTTTCCAGGTGTCGTCCTTTCTTGCCATCTCACAGCAGCTCCCTACTCTTTAAAT